TTCGAGACGTAAATATGACTCAGGTTCAGTGTTACTATCTCCATTCGGGTTTGAAGGCCGTTGTAGTCTGGAACTGCATCCTGCCATACTTTTTTTTGTGGTTTTCTCTATCGTTCACTCCTCATGTTCGAGCAAGTCTATCATCCAATTTGTTCCAGTGTTCAGGTTCCATTTCGTTGCTGATTTCCAGGTGTAGTTCCAGCAGGACAATGTCCACCTCTGCCAACTGACTCCGNAGGGATTTCAAACCATTTTATATGATACTAGCTTTCATCTGCGGCTTTGCTCGCATTTATGTCATTAAATAAGTACAATAAGTACAATAGAAATGAATCAATAGGAGAACTATATTCTAATGCTTGGCTGGGATTATCAATTTTAAAAAATTATTACCTAACCTAATCCAACCTAACCTAATCTAACCTAACCTAACCCAACCCAATCTAAACCTAAGCTAACCTAACCAACGAAGTAGCTAGATTTTGAGATTTTTTTTGACAAACAATTTTTTCAACTCACATAATTTTTTCTTCAATAAAACGTATCCTATCTTACTTCTAATATCTTCAAGAACACGTGTACAAATTTACATTCACATTTATAATATTAGTAGGATTAGACAATGGAAGTCCGAACTAATGAAATTCAATGAGGGTTATCTTCTACTTTTGAGATGAGGTTGAAAAGAAAATCTTATTGAACTTATTATACATATTCTCATGTCAAAAATTCTTGAAGGATCTCTTTTGTGGGATGATCGATTCTGAGAAAATCGGTCTTGTTACGACAATAGAAAGAATCATCGAACATATCTTCATGGAGGCTCTTGCGCACCCCAGTGCAGATTGTGAAGATGATGCTGCCAATTGTCCAATGGTGAAACACCAGTTATTACCCAGCCTCAGATCGTTCTGCAGTGTTTTGAAAGGTATTTGAAAATGTTCATCAAGTTATCATGTCTTTGAATGATTTGAATACAACTAACAAAAAAGGCAATGAATTGGAATGTTGGAAAAAAAATAATCTTTCAAAAACTTCATCTATTTGTATATTATGCTTCTCTGAGATAATTTACTCATTGCTGAAATAAAGATAGACGTACTTCATGTTATAAGAGTGGTCTGAGAAGTTTCAGACCTAACAAAGATTCAAGACTTTTTTCAGTTTTTTTTTTATTTTTCAACGTAGCTTCCTTTTTACCCTACCCACTTCAGCGATGCTCTCATCTCTTCAAACCGTCCGAATAGTCCTCGAGTGCAGTTTTTAGATAGGGAAACAAAAAGAAGTCGCTTGGGGCCAGATCTGTTGAGTAAGGTGGATGGTCAAGCAGTTCAAACCGTGGACTTTCGCCATGGCAATCGCTGAGGTGTGAGATGGTGTGTTATCTTGTTAAAACGGAAATTTTTTCTGCAAACGTAAGCGTTTTTTCGCAGGTTCTGCCTTCAGCTTGTCAAGTAATGTTGCGTAGTAGGCTCTTGTGATGGTTTTTTCTTTCTGAAGATAATCGAATAAAATAACCTCATGAATATCCCCTTTGCAGTCCACTGTTTGGACTGTATTTTCGTTTCGGGCGTATAATGATGTATCCAAGTTTCATTTACAGTAAGATTGGCACCAAAAGTTGGATTTATTGCGTCTAATGTTGTGGAGCGCGTTTCTAGAGTTATATCATTTAATGAAACGTATTCATATAACTTATTTTATTTCATAAACATATGGCATGTTGAATAAAACCTTATAATTAATAATCCAACAAATGCGACACTTCACTTGGCTCGTTTTGTCTAGCTTGCATTTTCATATTAATTGGAACAGTAACTATGAACTATGCACTGTTTTGCATCCCGGTGAGGTATCGTACATAAAAACTAATCATGCCCTGCGTGACGTGGCAGTCATTCACCAACCTTGTTACAACCACAACCAACTTCTGTAACTCCGACTTAACTGTTTTTAGTATTGAAATAAAGTACTTTACTAGGAAAACTACTACTCTTTCAAATTGATTAACGTCTGGGGTCCCTATATGGCATAACACCAACATGAAACTGGTGTCAGGTGTGGGGTTTCGAAAAAGAGCTAGACTTCCAAAAAGTAGAGTGTTCCTAGTGTTCCTACTCTGCAAGGCAAACTACAGTGCGTTTCTGTTCAACGAAAGTTGATGTCCAAAAAGACGCATACTGCGCCAACAGAGCGTTGTAAATGTTGATTCATGAGCAAACGCGGCACCCTACGCGCGGACAGCTTTCTCATGCCTAAATGTTGATTCAATATGTCTCCAACACGTTCTTTTGACAAGTTCATGACTTCTGCTATCTATGTCACTTTGATTCGCCTGTCGTCTAGCACCATTTGGTGAACTTTGGCGATGTTTTCGTTGGTAGTTGCAGTTTTTGGACGTCCCCAACGTTTATCGTCCCAAAAATTCGTACGGCCAACTCATCTTTGATTTTTGTAGAATGACAGTTCGATACTCGATTTTTCATAAAAACACTTACGTTAACTCACTCAAATGACTGTTACATAACAACTGCTCGTCGAAAATGGCTGTAACTTTGGTGGATAACTATCAACAGATGAACAACGAAATTCATTAGCTTTCATTTACTAGTGCTGTTATCTCCATGTTGAGGTTGGAACTTTCCAGACCACACTCATAATTATTGTTTGTTTCGAGTTCCCCCGAGTTCTCCAAAGCACCGTATAGAAGTAAACACAAGTAAGTTCACTCTTCGCCATATTTGGGTCAAGATTCCCCACCTCGAATTTTATGCGCGGACGACCTACAGCGCAACCGACTGAACCTGATGGGTTTACCAAGCGAGCCAAGTTGAGGCATGGAATATTATTAAAGAGTGAGTCGTTGTAGGTGGTGGCTTTATATATGTGAAAAATTCGTGTCTTGTTTCAAAATGAACAATTGTTGAGCTGTGGGTTGCTGTAATCTGCAAGGTGATGTCGGCATTAATTTTTTTAGATTTTCAACTGACGAAAAAAAAGATGTTTTCCTAGTATTTATTATGTGAGACTGAAGGAATGGACATATAACGAAAATCATAAAATAAATTGTTATAGACCATATACATGCAGATTTTTTTATGAAATCAATTTGATGGAATTGAACTTGACGAATGGTATAGGCGTCACAAGTAATGATATAAAATGACAAAACAAGCGGAGTTCCACTGGAAATCCACAAAGGAAAATAATTGTTGAACCACATTTTTTGATTTGGCTGGTATGTATCTGTAGGAAAAATATTACTTTCACTGAAATTTCTGCAAAACCAAAGTATCAAATGTATATTCAAATAACCTTTTTTGGAGTCTACTGTTACAAAATTTTTTACCAATTCATCCATATCAATACTGGATATAAAAAGTAATCTGATTGAAGATCAGAAATTCAAAAATTTGCCAGATAATGTAGCAGAAACCCTTTTTTCGATGACTTTTTGGATTTTAATGAATTTACAACGAACAAAAGTCATCTTTTACAACTTTACAACTTGAATAAGGAAAAGCAATATACCTAGTTTGATTAATGACTTATTTATTTTGTAGAAATTCATGTTGAATATAGAATAAAGAAAATACTTTTGTCTAGTTTCTACTGTGTTTATTTATTCGTTACGACCGGTTTCGGCTTATAAGGCCATTTTCAAGTAATTGAGTTGCAGTAAACTAGACAAAAGTATTTTCTTTATTCTACATTCAAAAGCAATATAGACTAGCACCCAAACTTACTGATTCTCACTTATTTTCAACTAACTGCAACTTTGAGAAAACATACATAATGAAGGACTGTCCTAAATGTTGACAAGGAATATAGATCAGGACTGTGTAGAAAATTATGTTGGTCAACAGAGAAATACTTGTGTAAATGCCAGAAACCTAACTCCTGTTCAAATTACCAGAGCTTTCAAAAACACATTTACTCTTCAGTATCTCACACAAGTTGAAGGAACTGTCTAGAAGATACTAGTGAGATTCTATCTAATATCACAGATGCTGACATAGAGTGAAGATTCTTGTGGAAATTCCAAAAAATCCCTATACACCTTTGAAAGTAGAGACAAATGATTATAGAACTCCACCCATTCCTGAAGGCAACAGCTTAGGCTATGTTTGTGGAAATCTTTTGAAAAAATGGAAAACATTCATGTAAAGTATGTACAAATTTTGCTCGGCTGCTAGTATCACACTGAATGAAACAAATGTATACAGTTATTTCAAAACATACAGTAATACACAAACCAATCAGTTTAGAAATTCATATATGCCTTCAGATTCATTTTTACAAAGTATCATGCAACTAGAGACAGAATTTCCTTAGCATTTTTTAAATTTAGGTGCCATATGATTGCATTGGCAACCATCTCAAAACAATATTTTCAAAAATCAACATTTCTCACCCTTGTGATAATTTTCCTTAGGATTATTCATTTTTCCTTTTCATAAGGGTAAGAATTTATTATACTTTGAAATTTGCCAAAAGAAATTTGAAAACACAATAAAAAAAATATAAAGTCAATATTCTGGAAAACCTTCAGAAGAGATTAGCATATCACCACCTTGTCTTATTTTTCATCAATTCCTAAACAATTCACAATCATATTTATTGGGAGCTCCTCGTAGCAATGATGAAGTCAGATCATGCTCACATATTTTTTGATCAAACCTCGTGCAGAGGTGCACGATAGCTCTTAGCCTTCTTCCTCCTGCCTCGCCACATGCCAGCAAAAAATAAAATCTCGACTCGTCACATCAAAGACGCCGACCGGGAGTGAATTTACTAGTGTTTACTTCTAAACGGTGCCCAAAGTTTCACTGACAGACATGGTTGACACCTTCGATGGGGTTATTTCTCCTGATGAATTTTTTCAACATTATAAAGATGGTTAGCAATCCCGAAAAGCTACAAATACGATATTATTTCATGTCGAAGTTTGCGAGGAAGTGTGTGGTGAAGGTAACTTATTTGACGATGGAAAATCGATGATGTCGTCATATGATTGTGATGACATCAAGGAAATGTCCAAACATCCAGATAAAATTCCACCCTTGGAGCGGCGGGTCAAAGGTTGGATTAAACGGTTGGATGAGATTCTCAAGGAAAGTGAGCAAATCAGGAGAGAAAACGATTCCTCAGGTTTGTATTGAAATTTATTAGTTTATTATTAGTAATTACCCGTATTTGAATATTCATTTTCTGTAATTCAGCATTCTATTTTATCCACAATGAAATTACTTTGCCACAACAGAACTGAAGCTTAATATTTCGATTCCAGTTGAACGGGCGTCAGTTCTGATGTGGAAAAAGTAGTTTCATTAGACTCTTTTCACGTCTGAAATTCAGAATCTATCTAAGAACGTTTTTTTTTGTGTTCAATTTCATCAATGATATATTTTTTTTTTCTGATTGATTCGGTCGTTATTTGATGAAGATCCATAGTCATTTAAAAAAACTACACCTCACGATTTGATCATTGAATAGTGAGGTGTAGTTTCAAAGGTTTTTGAAATCATCAATGATATTTTTGTTGCTCTGGCACATCTGACTTGTTTATTTTTATAGAAATTTCTTAAAAAACCCACAGTCCTGAGAACCTTATGCGTGTTCACTCCCATCTTCAACAATTTAGTGTTTTCTTCTAGTTCATGAAGATCCTTAGTCAAATGCTCATGCAATATGAAGACAATACATTCTTAATAAGGACAGCTAACTCAAGCAACTTCACTTTTTGATAATTCAAAACGATTTTTTGGATATATTTATGTTTTCTGGTGTTACTGCCTTCACTGCGTTCTCCATCATCGGTGTCACTACGACACCGTGTAAAGTCAGCAAAGCAACGCTCCATTGTTGTTTCTAATGGAGCAGAGTCTTTATAACACTTTTCAAGCCATTGCTTTGCTTGAACGGTATTTTTTACCATCAAGAAGCAGTGAAAATTGAAACACGAGATTGTTTTCGATCCACTGTTTTGAAAATAACAAAAGTAGTGTCACTTTTAGCACAATAACTCAAAAACTTTCTACAGCTTCCTTTTGAAGGTTACTCCTAACTGAGAAAACGGTGAATGCAATAAGACTAGCTCCGTCTATGTGTTAGTAATATATCCCCAGATCCTCTAGAAACTTTTTTATTGTTATTGCCCTCAGCTGAGATCTCTGTTACGAGCTCTATTTTGTTCCGATGTTCTGTAAATAAACAGTGTCCAGTAGGTAGCCGTGTAATTATTCCGAGTCTTAGTTTTTTCAAGAGATCCCCTCATACCAATTTTCGCAATATCCTCTTCAGTTTGCACGAAAACATTCATGTTTTTCATTGGCTATTTTCCGGTCTAGTTCCATATCAATAATTTTGATATTACCAATCATACATTGAAGCTCATACATAGAGCTGATATTCCCTTTCTGGCACATTGTCACGTTTCTACAATCTGCCTCTTCTTTGTCTTTATTTATGGCAATGTGCGAGTTCACTCAAATAAATAAGGTTAATTTAAATTTTTCTAAAAAAAACTGTAATGAAATTGTGCCAGCGTTTTTTTCAATAATCGAAACAGTTCTGATTTGCACTTTTGGTATGTCCTGTAGCTCTCTCAATGATTCGGTTTTTGTTTTCTCAGTCGTCGCAAAACGCCGTCCTTCCATAGCTCTCTCCAATCTTGCGAACAAAAAAGGATCGCAGAGAGTCAAATCTGGTGAATACGGTGGCTGAGATTAGGGTGTTGTTTTTGTTATGGCTCACAACTGAGCAGGTGCAACCAATATGCCGACATCCTCAGGAACTTCTCTAATACTGATTCAATGATTCTCCATGAAATTTTCATCAATTGTTGGTGTATCTAGTATCTGTAGAGTAGGGAGGGTGAGTGAAGACTCACAGCACTAAGGCCACATTTGACCCATTGTACACCCTTCCGAGGAGTTGTCTTTCTGTCCATCCTGTCCTGTCCAGGAAAGTGAACAGGTCTCTGGGAGACATCTCCTTCATATCGGCAGGTGTAGGTCAAGACTTGCCGAACACATACTCTCTTTGGCAACCTTGAAGTGTCTCACGCTGGCCTCCGCAAAGGTTTTGGATGGTACAGCGATATTACTGTCGTTGCGTGGCTTCTTCAATCTTTTTGGGGTTCCCTCCGTAGAGGTGCACAAGTGAGGAAGCATTTCTGCAGGATCAGCCAGTTCCTTGCCTTCATTCAAGGCGGAGCTCTCGGCTCCCGCCGCAGGAAGTGCTCTTGCTGTTGGAGGAGATCTGCTATGTCCAGCCTCATTTCAAGCGGGAGATTAGGGTGGACATTTCTGTTCATCCCCAGCCACCACCTTAGATTGAGGTGAGCACTTCTGTCCAGCCTCGTGATTGGTTTTGGTTTTTATTGCTTCTGTTTTTGTGTTGTTTCATTCATGAGTGTTCCCACGAGTAGCAAGGGAAGAGTTGGTCACCTCTAGCAGAGCCCCGCATTAATAGAGGTAGGCTGATCACAATGAGGTTTCGCCCAGTTCCCCAAGGGGATCGTTGGTGACCGCATATCACCCTACAACCATTCAGCTATCGGCAAGATTCCTTACACATTAGCTTGGGTAGGCAGCTCCACGGTGGTATGTTTTGCAAAGGCTTTTGGGGGGTTTCAGTTCCCCTCACCCTAGTTATTTCTGCCACTGACCAGGAGTCCGGCGACCCCATCCGTAAGGCCACATTGGCTTCCTAGACAGGTCCTTCAGTCCCCTGGCCGTTCTTCTATCCGCCACCTAGATACGCGCCCGATAGGTAGCTCAACCCACTGGAAATTGTTAGTGTGCTGAGGCTTCTAGGGCTAGCGTCGTCATTCACATCTTCTCTACTCTTTGTGAAGATATTGTACCACTTGCAATAGATCCGTGGTATCTCAGGGTTGCAATGGATCGATTCTGTATCTTTGTAGTGCAGGGCAGAATTCTAGTAGATGGTTTTTTCTCAGAGTGAGATGACTTGACGAGACTAAAATAGTGCAGGCAAATGAATATCTAGAGGGATGATATTACGAGCTTTAATAAACACAAAGCATGGAAACAGTTTCGTCATCGAATTGAATTTTTCTCCCTTTCAAATTATCTTGCAGTACCGATGACGAAAAATGTATTTCCCGTTTGCATATTGATTTAAAAAACCTGCTTAGAAAATCATTTTCGAACCACAAATTGTTGCTATACCTAAAATACACGAAACGGTATTGTGGGTCATATAAACGAGTGGCACTGTGGAAACCACGTTTCGCTACACAATTGTGAACATTTTTTCGACTCGTTTCAAGTATTTTTGAACACTGTAATCCATGTTTACATGAAATTTGATGCAAATTATCTTATCAATTTTTTTCGATAGCAGAAAATCGTTGAACATGCAAAACTCTCCTAACTTTTATGTCTCTCACCATCAAACTGAACATACTGAACTATTGAACCTGTGAACGTATGTTCGAGACGAGTGCACTAACAAAAAAAAAAGGAGCCTTCGAAACCTGAACACTCACCTAATTTTTTCAACAAATCTCGTATATGTTTTGAATGTTACAGGACCGCAGGATGAGTTAGAATACTGGAAGAAGAGGGGGGCGCAGTTTTCCCAAATAGTCACTCAGGTCAACTCGAACGAAGTGCAGTTGACCATCCTCTGCCTGAAACTTGCCCACTCAAAAATTCTGAAAGACTGGCGTGAAACCGACAAGAAAATCACTTTTTGTTATAACGAGGCGAAGGACAACGCCAAGTTTATCCAGTCTCTGGAAACTAAATGTCATTCTTTGTATCTCGATGATCCAGTAAGATTATTCTGTTTCCCATATGGAGTAAATAATTAGATAAATATTTCACAGGTCAAAATGAGAAGGTCAATTATGGGATTGCTGCAAACAGTTCGGTTGATACACAGCGTTTCACAGTTCTACAATACTTCCGAAAGAACTTCAGCACTCATGGTTAAGGTAAACCTGGAATTATTATTATTAAATTTTGATGAAAAAATATCGACAGCAAAAATAAATGCTCACAAAGTAGGTTAGGTTAGGTTAGGTCCAAACTAAGTGGGTCTATTCGACCCGCAAGGGTTATTTGTTGGTCACACGAAGCCGATTAGTTTGTATGATGAGTGGTCTTTCAGGTCGGATGGCAAGACTATGGCTCTGCCGAACTCTAAAAATCTAATTAGGTCACCAGCAGAACAGGCACGAAGTATATGCTCTACTGTTTCATCATTTCCCAAACAGAGGCAACACACACCATCTTCTGACAGTCCGAGTCTCTGCATATGATGATTCAAATGACAGTAACCTGTAAAAAAGCCTGTTTGACATCGTAGTTCATCCCTACTGTAGTCCAACAACTGTTTGGTATCAAGCTTCGAATGATGAATGGACGTCTTGGAGAGAGTCAATCCTGAAAGATTCTGCCAGAAGTCTATGAATCTTCTTGCCAGGTTTTCAATGTTTGCTTGGCAAAGCCTAAAGCGATTTCAATGACAGGTTCTGGTCTGATGAAGCTGCTTGCAGCACCCTCCTTTACAAGGGAGTCAGCAGGCCAGTATGGCCAGGAAGGCAATGAGGCTGCTGACTCTCTTGGCCAGTATGGCCAGGAAAGCCATTCCCTTTTCCCGGTGGATCCAGTACTCTCTACCCGGTAACAGTACTTTATAAAGCAGTTCGTAGTTGACAGTTGAAGGCATAAAGTCAAAGATCATTTCCAGAATGCTGCGACTTCCAGTATGAACCAACAGTCTGTTGCACTCTGCATTAAATTGACTTGTGCAATTGGCAATATGCACAAGTTTATATGCAGTCCATCTAGCCTGTTTCTCCAGAAAAATGCGGAGTAGAGGTAGATTTAAAAGGATCTCCATGGCCGCTGACGTTGTGGTACTTATGGCACCACCGATGGTCAGACAAGCCTGTCTCTGTAAGCCAGACAGCTTCGTTTGGGCCGTAAAGCCTTCGGTCACCAGGCAATTGCACCATAAGCGATCATTGCTCTGGCAATCATCACATGAATTCAATGGATTTGTTTGGGACCCAAACCCCAAATTTTACCACAAATCCTTCGACCATAGGGACAGTCTGGCTTTGTGTAAAACCTTTTTCATGTAAGCGTTCCAGCCGAGTTTTTATCGAGGACAATGCCAAGATATTTTACCTCCATTCCAAATGGAATGATGTCATCATTGAGGGAAAGTGGCGTTAGGTCGTTCAATTTTCTCCTCCTGGTGAAGAGGATTATCACAGTTTTGCTGGGGTTGACAGACTGCTCTCTCGGGCACCAACTGTGAACAACGTCCATCGTGATTTGAAGTATATTACACGAAGTAACTTTAATGAATACTTTTCACACTTCTGTTTACTTATTTAATCATCAGTAACGAATCCTTTTCCTCTGGCTTTTCTGTTTCACTTGCATTATTTCAACAGTGTGATGTGTGCATCAACTTCATAAGATAAAGCAACTATCATAGTTATTTTATCTCATGAACTAATAGTTGTTCAATATGAGTCATTAACAGGTCAGATACCAAAATACATTAGTCGCCATTATCACAAGGTTTCTGTCATAACCAAGAGTTGTGATATGTTCTAACACCTGCTAGAATTATGTGATTATCTTGGTTTCTGTTTGATGTTGTGTTGATGTACCCAATAGGTCTCTTCTTCCACAACTTTTCATTTTGTTCTCTTCTTGTTGGGTGTTCATTTTCGTGCTAATCAATCTCGTTCGTTGCTTTCTTTTTTTCGCAAAAGTGGTACTAGATGCATTCACATGATTTCTGAGGTTGCTCTTCTTTGCTCCACAGAAATAATTTAACATTCACTGGGTGCGATCTGATGTTACGCTATTTTACCGGACATCTACCAGTGGCTGTTCATTCACTTACCTGATTGACTCCGACATAGGCGTAACATTGCCCTCCACTCTAGGTTCTCTGTCCTTGGTAACCATTCTACATAACTTCGTCGCAAATATCTGACAAGATTATTACCAATTCATGAAATCAATTCCTCTGCGTAGAACATCAGAGGTTTACTCGTTGGAGACAGCTAGATAAACCAAGTCGTTCATCTCCTTGGTCACCAAATAGATGATTTATCATTTTCCTGTGACTTGGTACGGATTTCTTCGTGATATTTAACCCAATAATAACTGTCGAACTCCTGCTAGAATTATATTGATGCCTATGGAATTGGTCCAGCGTATCACTGACACTGATGTACCTATTCAACCTCGTTAGTGCTACCCCACTTGCAATGCACATCATCTTGGAGGAACGTGGAAGCTGACTTTGTCTTTCATTTGATTGAAAAATTTTTTCTCTCCGAGGTCGCAATTTGCACTAGTTCTTTCTTCAATGATCTACTTGATCTTCATCGAACCTACATATTCCTCTTGTCCATTTTTCATTTTTGATGACCTATTCCCAAGTCTTGGCGACTCTTGCCTTCTTTCTGTCATCTGTTCTCGACTCAATGTCTTGTCTTCTGCTCCTCTCTGATCTAGGAGTAATCCTTCTTTTCTTCTCAAGTTAGTGGATACCTTAGGCGTATCACACCAGTTCTTGACCCTTCATTATAGTTTATCTGTGAATTGAGCTCCATTTTTCACAGTTATACCAACACTTCTCTCTGAAGAATCCTGCTTTTTTATGCAACATCATGAATAGTTCGTTGACCTCCCTCCTGGAATTGCTGCATCTGAACGTCTATCAGTCCGTCGTTGAAAGATTGTGCTTCAATCTGCTCTCAAGGCTAAGAGGCTCAGACGTATCAAGTTTTTTGTAATCTGCTCCATTATCCTGCAAGGTTTCCTGCGGTTGTTGATGTCTGCTTCTGAGTTGGCTCTGATAGACTCGTTTTGAGTATTTGTTACGTTTAGAGAGCTTCCACAACTACTAGATATTCATTCTGGCTTTCTTCCTGAATGTTATGGAATATTGACCTCGCAGTCTACGGTATATGGCTCATGATGACTAACTCTATCAGAGAATCTCAATAGTAATATCTTTGTGAGTTGATTATCGATGGATAGAAGTCTTTTAATCGTCGATGGACAGAAGTTTCGTTATAGTTTTCCCCATTTTCATATCATGGAGGCATTGTTGACTTATCGTAAGGCTTGTTGAGGTTTTTTTGATGAATAGCACTTCAAACTATTTCATGTGGGGATCCCATTACTCATAATGAAAGATTTTTGAATTGAATCCCACCAGAGTCTGATGATAATATTACTATTCACTTCTTAACCAATAATTTCAACTGTTCATTGATTTCTTTCAGATAACGAACCAAATGATAGAAACCTGCAAAGATTACTTAACATGTAGAGGCCAGGAGAGCATCTGGTCTCAGGACAGAGTTCTGATCAAGGATAAACTGACCCAATGTATCATTTTGAACAAGGTTTATCGAAAAACGTATTCTGTTGTGAAAAGTCAGCCCTTTTTACCGAGACAAGAACCTTTCAACTTTTCGGAGAATTACGTTTTTGGAAAATTCGACGCTTTCTGTAGACGGCTCATGAAGATCATATCCATGTTTGATTTGATTGATGATTACAGTGGGCTCTTTCAGAGGAGGATGGAAGGTCTGCTTCTTGGTGATGGTAAGATTGAAGATTGAAGGGGAACTTAGAGTAGACCATCTGTTTTTCCTAGCTTTGGAAGAGGCCATTCAAAAGTTCACCGAAGTCAAACAAATTGTCATGAATAAAACCTACGATTATTTGGATCAGAGAAACAATGAATTCGAGAATGACTTCAAAAGCTTCTTGGTGCACACTGATGAACTGAGAGATAATATTGCCGAAACAATAGAAAGAAACTTTGACAGTGTTTGGGAGACGCCACAGGGGATAAGATTCCTGACGAGATTTGAAAAGGTTGGTGAAAACTTATATAAATACGGAATTTTCAATTTTAGGTTAGGTTAGGTTAAGTTTACTGTCTGAGAATATTTTTATCGATTTGTATATGAGATTGGATTCTTTCAATCTCTCCGCACACAATTCAATAGCGTAAATTTCGGCTTCAAGTACAGTCGCATAGGTTCCTAGGTAGGTTGATATCTCCATCCTGGGTCTGTGACTGAAAACACCTACACCAGAATCAAAAAGTGTTTTTGATCCATCTGTGAACCAACAACTATCAAACATACATACATACCAAAGTTAATTTTTCCATTTTAAAATCATTTGCTTTCTTCATTTTTTTGTAAAATTCACACATTTTCTTCACGAAGATGGAGAAGTAGAAATCTAAAATATTTTTTCTTCAACCATGTACTTTCATTCCAAACGAATTTGTCTAGACTAGGAACGCTACAAGGTTTCAATTTTCAATCAATAATTATGATTTTCCTCAACAATTTGTTAACTGTGAAAAATATCGAACTGGAGTTTTTCAAAATCTGTAAGCTTTTGTTTGATATCACAAAGTTATTAAGTCTCCCAAAACATTTTGAACACAATTGTGTTCATATTCTGCAGGTTTCATGTTCTATACAAGATTTATTTTTAGGTTAGCGAAAAAATACCTTTAGCGAAAATGGACGAGAAATATGACAGGATTCTAAAATATTGTGAGAAAGAGGTCGAAAGGATTATAAAGATGTACAAAAAACAAAAAGATGATCCTCCAGTACCAAGGATGTTTCCCCCAATAGCCGGTCAGTTGTTATGTTTTTATCAATAAAATTGAATTTTCCACTTATCTGACATCGACCGTCGAACGAGACTTTACTTCTGTCTGTCTCTGCATGGGTTACTGAAACCGAACGTTTTGTTTTCTTGTTTGTTTTATTATATGATCACTAAGGCATTCTAACCGGATAAAAGAACAAACAAGAAGATAAAACGTTCATTTTGAGTGGAGACATGAAGACGATAGCACAGCCGTGTATATAGAAGAATCTTTTATAATTTTTGGGTACGCAGTCAAAGATGGGATGGTAAAATGAGATAACTCTTTTTTTTTGTTCGAGCTTTCGAATCTTTATTGGCTCTTCATCAGGAACTGAATGTGAGGTTGATAATTACTTTTACTAGCCAATATTTGTGAAAATAACATGACAAACACTCTTGGTAAAAACAACATGACTATGAACCCTTATATTATGTATGGTCTGATTGAATTATTTGAAAACCAAATTTTTATTAATAATGGTATACCATGGAGATTATGATGAAGTCAAAGAGGATGTGACAATTTTTTTTAATAGTTATTATTCAATAGTATCAATTGGATCCCTACTCATTCGTTTGTTGGATCCGTAGATTTTTGTTTCAATGTGAAATTGTAAATTATCGATTCGAATACAATTTTAGTTTTTCATTTTCCATAATTCGTGCTTCATTATGAAGTTTTTCACCAGATTTCCCAATTTTGGTAAATAGCCCTCTTCTGATAAACGTGCACAACATAGTTGATTGTGATATTTCCAATCACTTCTGAATACTTTTTTGTAACATCCAGGAATTTTCATTTTTCAGGTAGAATCAAATGGGCGAGATCTCTTGTTTCTCATCTGGATGAATTGTTGTCAAATGTCACCACTCATCACATTCTGAAGAATCTTCCAGCCAGTGTAGAACTTTCCAAAAGACACAAAGCAGCTGAAACGATGCTGAAAACCTTCGAAACCGATATGGTTGCTTTATGGATGAATCAACATGTAAGGATTTTGAGAATCAACTGAATATATTCAGTTATAGTCATCAAATTGATCAGCGAATTACCCGTTGAGAGACAGTAATTTTGTTTTGTTGTGGGAAAAGGGTTTTCAATAGACTATTTTCTGCGACCGTGTGTGACATGAGTGTTTACTGGCCAAACTTCAATGCTATGGCTTGTGTATGACTCTCCAGATTTCCGAAAGAATGTTCCCTGCAAGTGGTCGTCGATGCATATCTCTCTAATACTTCCACCGTCAACGCTGGTGTTCCTCAAGGATCCATACCGTCTCCATACCTCTTTTATTTGTACATCAACGACTTATTGTAAAACACCAAGAATTCAATATATTTCTTTGCTGACGACAGCAATCTTATCTCGTCATTCCATTTGGATCCCGGGACATTTCCCGCAAAAGCACATCTTCACCGGCAGCAGTAAGTTGCATATCTTAATGGTGATCTAGAGGTGATTTCGAACTGGAGTGAAAATAACTAGGTTCAAGGGTGCCACGACAGGAGTAGAGGGTTTTACAATGAATTGTTATTATATTATCATTGGTCTAATAATTTGAGTAAAAAATAATATATCACCTCGAGGAGACGACATTAATGGACAGACAGACGGCATCAAATATTCAAAAGAGCAACTGGGCAGTAACTTAATATATTTTCTGCTATATTATGGAATCGGCCAATACTTGATGAAAATCCATAACTAACGTATTCTAAAAACACTTCATTGTGTGATTTTCACTTGATAGTTATACAAAAACGCAATACGTGTTTCGCCATACAATGGCTTCCTCGGGCACATTAAATGTTATATATTTTTGATGTGTAGAATTGGTTATTAAGACACGTCCGAGGAAGCCATTGTATGGCGAAACACGTGTTGCGTTTTTGTAAAACTATCTAGTGAAAATCACACAATGAAGTGTTTTTAGAATACGATATTTTCTGCTGTTCTCATACTCATATTGGTTCAATTACTTAATTATGGAAAATATCTGTTCTCCACTTTGAAAACTTTCTGTTTACAGGTACACGATGTGGACAATTGTCTCTTGAGAAATTTGATTGCTGTTTGCCCTGAGCAGCAAAAACTCAAAGTCAACATACACCATACCATACCCCTTTTGATAAGAGAATCGGATCTGATGATCAAGATGGATTTGCCCGTTCCTATGGTCGCTTTGACACTGTATACGAAGCAGGAACACTTCAGTATTGTTCAGGATTCTCTTCAGGTAGTAGTAAAAGCATGTGGACTGTTCAAAAAATGAATACATACATTCGATAAGCGATTTTTTCATATTGGTACTCTCGTCTCGAACATATGGTCACAGTTTCAGCTGTTTAACATGTTCAGTTTGTTGGTGAGAGGCATAAAAGTTAGAACTGTTTTGTGTGTTTAGCGATTTTCAGCTATCGAAAAAAATTCAATAAATGTGTTAAAAACGGAATCAATTGCTCAAAAACACTTTAAATAATGACAGTGGCATACGGTGACTGTACTCTGAGTCAGAAAAATTTTCACAAGTGGTTCAAGCTTTTCACAAAAGGTCGAGAAGATGTGAATGACGACGTTTTCCCTGGACACCCTAACACATCAAGAATAGATGAAAATGTTGAGAAAATGAAGAAAATTGTTATGGAGAATCATCGATTCACTATAAGAGAAGTTGCTAAGGATATCACCATATCTGTTGGCTCATGCCATGTAATCTTTATCGAAAATTTTGGGCACGAAGTATGTGGCAGTGAAGTTCGTTCCAAAATTGCTGAGTTTTTATTCGAAAAACAATCGTCTCATGAGCATCGCCGAAGAATTGTTGAATGATGTCAACGATGATCTATATGTATTCATAACTAGCTCTTCTTGTATTTTTTTTTTATCTCAAATATAGCTAGTAATATATTACTCTTTGCCGATGACTTGAAGATTTTCAGACCGATTGAATCAACTGTCTTATTCTGCAAAAGGAAGTTAATTCCATACGTGAATGGTGCATACTAAACAAGCTTCCACTGAATATTCAAAAATGTAAATTTATTAAATACACCCTCGAACACAACAATATACAGTTTGACTATGCAATAAATGATATCACTTTAGAACAAAGCACTGAAACTTGAGATCTGGGCATTATATTAGATAAGAAATTTAGCTTCTCGTCACAAATCAATCAAATCACATCTTCTGCAAAAAATGCTTGGCTTTATCTTCAGAACGTATAGAGACTTTCAAAACCAATAATGTTTTATAACACTTTTTAATGCATATGTCCGATCTCGTCTGGAATATGGCTCCCTGATATGGTCACCTATAGAGGGCTTTTCATGATGAGTGCTAATTAGCCGTTTCTGACAAACTATTTAACGGATCAACCTGAAAATTTCACAAGAATAGATCAATCAGTAATGTCAATAATTCTGTCAAGTACATATCCTCAGCTTGAGAGTTACACACGAACAAACATATATACATTCATACATACAGGTGAAGCTACTGAAAGCGTGTTAATGAAAATCAGGCGAATATGTTCATGACATCGAAACCAAAGTCCAGTTATCCCAATGTAAGAGCCCAGCAGAGCCAACCCCAAATAAGCACGCCAAATTTGATCAAAAGTCAAGGTTTCGCTCAAAGTTTTCTTCGATTACAGAGGCGTAGTGCACCAGGAGTTCTTGCCACATGGTCATACGGTTAATAAGAAGTATTATCTTGAAGTTATGCGCCACTTACGTGAAGCACTCGTCCGGTATTATGAAAAAACAATTCATGGCTTTTGTATCACGATAATGGACGTGCTTACTCGTCATCGCTCATTCGTAACTTTTTGGTTTGGCCAAAAATAACCCCATAATCATGCTCCAGCCACCGTATTCACCAGATTTTGCCCAATGCGACTTTTTTCTGTTTCCAAGATTGAACAGACTTACGGAAAGACGGCGTTTTGCGATGATTGAGGAGATAAAAAACGAATCGCTGATAGAGCTCGCGACAAATCAAAGAGTGTATATCAGAACTACCTCGAGGATTGAAAAAAACCCTGACGCAGGTGTATTGTATTTGAGGGGGATAGCTTTGAGGAGGACCAAAGAGAAATTGATGGAATAATTAATATTTTTTGGGAGTTCACCTCATATTATGAATGGACTTCATATATGTATTTCCTTTATGTTTATGTTGATATCACCGGTAATGATCTTGAAATCTAACTTATGTTGTTCTTGCTGTTCTGAGTACTTACATGTCCATCATTTGCTCACAAAAATAAGTTCTATCAAAATCGTCATCCATGAGCTCCTGAGTAGGTATCATATTATAGGGATGCATTTCATTTTCTTTCAATATCGATGTATGGCTAACATTGAATGTAGTGGATCTGTTCAAAATCTGTTTTTCTGTTTATCAGCTGTCGCCCCCATACGAACGACAACTCTCAGAAGTTGAGAAACTTGTGCGAGCTAAGGACTAACGAGGTCTTACCTTCTGACGTGTGATTTCTAACACGGTTGCAGGATCATCCCAGCTTCAACCAGATGAATTCTCTTGAGAAAAATATCTGGTCGAGGCAGGAATCGAACCCACGGTCTTCCGATCGTGAGTTGGGCGCACTACCACCACGGCCAATTCCACAAAAGATGCCTGTCTACTCGATGTATGTGGGTTGTCCTCAAACTCAAGCATCACATCTAATTCGACTTAATCACTCATTGCATTGGCAGCTGCTTTTTTTATCTGCCCCACATGATCAAGCTTGCGGAACTGCTTCTCTATTTTGCTTATTGTTTCTTGAGACATGGGCGATAAATTAGGAAATTTCTCATGAAATAGGCAAACCACTTTCTGCTCGGGTATCATCTCCGTAACCAATCATTTGTGAAACTGTTATTTTATGCATTTCCTCTAGTCTAACCATTTGCCAGACTTGAAGTTAACGAACTTTAAACTTGAATTAAAATACTGACAACTAATGTTGCAACATACAAAACAAGTTGACAAGGCGTTTTGGAGTAACTTTGCCACGAAAATCATTTACAGGTTTTCAAAGGACACCATCAGAAAAGAGCATTGCTATGGATTTTGTTTATTTCATCATCATCAATAACTCAACATGAACTCACTCAAGGCGATGTGCAGGGGTCAATATGAAACTAGTTTTGAGTATATTCCAATAAGTTTTGAGCGTATTTTATTGAATTTCCGTTATTGAATGATTTCAAATAATTTCATCTTAATTGTCGCAATCAACCTGCAAAGCGATAACATCTTTGAATAGAGAATGAAAATACCTTTCAAACGATATATCACAACCTTATACTTCCCAATCAAAAACTTGGGGGTTGTACCTGTCATTCGACGGGGGTTGAAGGTAGGGGTAGCATTTTTCCGTTGAAGTATGTTACATCATAATTAAAATTCGACGTGTTTCGGAATTAGGTTAGAATGTGTATCGTAACCGAAATAATGAATTCAATCCATTTGGCTTTCACACACTGTATGATATTTGCCTTCAAAAACCATAATTATGGTCGCTTAAGATATTGGAGCATTCCAAATAATTGAGAGTGTTTCCAGGTTTCACCATCTTCTTCGATATAACACAACTGGTTATAGTTGAGTAGATAATTGATCGTGTCCTTCCTGGGTATATGTTTGAAGTGGAAAGTCTTCCTAAATCTGTTTAAAATCTGTTTGAAATATGTTTTTTCGTTAATCCGATGTCGTCCTCATACGAACGACAACTCTCATAAGTTGAGAAACTTGTGCGAGCTAAAGACTAACGAGGTCTCACCTTTCAACGTGTGATTCCTAATACGGTTGCAGAATCATTCCAGCTTCAACCAGATAAATTCTCTCGAGAAAAATATCTGGACGAGGCGGGAATCGAACCCACGGCCTTCCGATCGTGAGTCGGGCGCACTACCAACGCAGCCAATTCCACAACAATGAAGGAACCTTTTTTTGTAAGACAAGTTGAAGCCGCTGTGTGTGTCGGTTTCAGGTGCAACGGAATGCTTAATTGATGTGGAGTTGTTTCAGTATTTTTCTAATAATCACTGTGGAAAATTATGCACACAAATCTATCAGGAATCAATCATTGTGATCTTTTTGCCAAACAATAAAATTCGTTCGATTGCTGACTTACTTATTTTGTGGAAATTCATATTGAATATAGAATGAATAAAATAACTTTTGTCAAATTTCTAATAAGTTTATTACTTCACCATCTTGAAGATGATCTAATAAATCGAAATTGGTTGTAGCGAATAATGAACTCAGTAGAAATAAGACAAAAGTTACTTTCTTCATTCTATATTAGGTTTTCAGACAAAAAAATATTATCGGCAGAAATTTCAAATCTGGTTATGGGTATGAATAGAATAATTTTTGATGAAATCGTAGTGAATAATAAAATTATTGTTGTCTAAAGTTATTCAAGAAGGTTTCAGACTAATTGAATTCGTGAATGGAATCGTAAACTTTTTTATATGTACTCATGTACCGATTATTATGTAAATGCTGTTGAAATTTTGATTTATTGTGTATACCATGCTTCACAGCTCATTCATTTTGTTTATTCTCTATGCATTTTTTATCAACATATTTTTATGTTTCGTGTGTAATCTACAGTCGTTAACATTTACCGAGTGGAATTCAAGGTTATCTTCACAACTATATTTTTCATATTGAAAAAAACACCTTGATGATATAGCCGTGGTGATGAGACAAGGTTCAGACATAACTAGGGACATCTTCATTCAGCTACATCAATTTGTGGAGGAGAAAAATCGGTTACTTCTGGAAAGTGGATTTCATAAATCACACTTGTCTGGAATCCTCAATTTAATTAAACAATTTGTTTGAAGGTGGTTGACAATGTTTCATGATGAATTTCACTAGTTCGGACTTCCATTGTCTACTATATAAGTCAGTCCCGTTGTTGTCTACCATATAAGTCAGTCATCACCCGAAGACGATTGTAGGTACTAACAATCGAAACGTCGTGAACTAACGTGACTTGAAATCTCTTCACTTTTATTTTCTTTCTTTTTTCATTTCTTCATTTTTATTTATTCAATTGTTCTATTTTTACTCGTATTTTATTTCACTATTATTTCATTTCAGGTTCATTTTGGTTAATATAATTATTATTTTCAGCTATCTCATTTTTAATTCTTCTTTTTCAGTTGTTTCAGGGATTTCAAATCATTTAATATAGTAGACAATGGAAGTCCGAATTAGTGAAATTCTTAATGAAACAAGTTTCGAAAAAAAATGAGCATTAGAAATTCAAACACATTGTGTACAAAATGTTGGTGATTTCAAAAAAATATTAATCTCTATTTAAATGTTCAACAGCCATGAAAATAGTTATTTCACGGCAAACATTTGCCAAATTCTACTGTATGAATCTGAATGGTTGGATTTTCATTTGGAAATGTTTCTCAGTACGTATCTAGCTCTTCTTTATCATCCTTTTTGACATCCTTCATCAATTTTGTAATTCGAGCACAAAGTGAACATGAGATGATTATTTTGAACGGATTGAAATTTTTGTTTGATATTTGTACTCTCGAATCAAAGAGATTTCTATCACACCAGTCAATGGGAGCGTAGCAATTTGTCACATGACCAGTTTGTTCGGTTGGTTACGCGATCGGTGATAACGCGATTAGGTTAGGTTAGGTTAGGTTAGGTTAGGTGATAACGCAGTTAGGTTAGGTTAGCCGATAGCGTAACCAACCGAACAAACTGGTCATGTGAGAAATTGCTACGCTCTCATTGGCTGGTGTAATAGAAATCTCTTTGGCGATCTACTTTTCTTCAGATTTGTTTACTGTCTGTCTTCAAGCATAGCACACTAACTGATAAGAAAGGTAAAAAAGATTGATAAACAATGAATGATTGGGAATTCAGAATCGTTATTGAAAACTCAAATCACTTCAAGTACTCAAGAATTAGGAACCAGTTTGAAATTGCAATGATGCTGGACAACTGCTACCAAGCGCTCTAAATATGAAGTTTCATCATCCAAATTAACAGCTTCCAGAATTCCTTTAAAGTCACCATTTTCCTTGAGATCATCGAATGTTGTGTTCTCCCGATCTACATAGTATAGTTCTAGGCAAGAAGTCATTATAATGAATCCGTAAATGGAGTATTTCTCCCAATGTTCTACAAAGGTATTGTAAGGAAACAGTCTTTCCACGTCTGATCCCGAGTCTTGTAGAAATCGCGACAGGTGTCCATAGTAAAATTTGATCAGCTCTCCGATTTGAGGCATGTCTTCACTGGAGAGAGCCCCGTATAAAAAATATGACAAATCCAGAACGGGGGAATGCAGGTCATATGTTTGCCAGTCGATGATAACTACGTCCACGGGGTTTTTTGGGTCGTTATCCTGGAAAACAAGTGAATAAATGACTATAATGTTTGTTTTTGTTTTTTTTTTTAATCTGAGGACACAGTAAAAATCAACCACACTCTGACTACTTTCATTCATTAAATCACATAACTAAGTGTGGAGCCGATTTCGTTCTTTCACTATTGGAGTGCGCTTATATAAAAAAAAAATTAAGGATATTATAGATGATTTTGTGGTAAGTTATGGCGATTTCAACGGCTCTTCAAGAACTCAACTCTTGAAATATGCGGTTCAGACATGTGTGAACATCGGAAATGTATTTAAACTTGTATCCCGAAATACCACAACCACATCGAACTATTTTCAAGTTATTGGATAAAAATCTCACCGAGTTTGATTCATTCGAAAAGCCGAGGAGAAAATACGGAGACTAATGAAAATTTGATAAAAGAGGTATGTATGAGGTAAGTTAGACATTGTCTTCTTTTCAAAAGAAATCAACAATTTGCAGATAAACATGAACCAGGGGAAATCTACACGTTAAATTCCCTCCGAAATGAATATTTGTCATACAAGTGCTGGGAGACATGTCAAAAAAAGCAGTTTGAAATGTTACAAAACATATCACATATCTCAAAAATGTCATCCAGGTGATCCCGAAAGACGATTAGAATCTTGTAATTGGCTATTGAGAAGGCCTGATTTTCAATGTAATTTGGACAGATGAAAGCACTTTTACGAACTGTGGGATATTGAACCAAAATAACGATCACATTTGGAGTAAAAACAACCTCAAGCAGTTCCGAAAAATTCGACCTCAAGTGCGGCAAGTGATTAAGATGTGGGCAAGAATTTACAATGATAGAATTTTGGGTCCTTATTTATTTGACGGAATTCTGAATGGAGGAACCTATCACCGGTTCTCAATGTCGATTTTCGAAGACTATTTGGATGATCTACCTTTGGTTAACTATAACAACATCTGATTTCAGCATGATGGTGCTCCACCGAATACTACCAGACGAGTATCTAATTACTTGACTGAAAGGTTTGGTGATAAATGAGTAGGGAATAATGGGCCGGTGAGGTGGCCAGCAAGGTCTCCAGACTTAAGTGTTATAGATATATCCTTATGGGGTACGCTGAAAAATAGAGTTGATGGTCAGAGGGAATATCAAAATATTGAGGATCTTCAACATAGCATTCTTAGAGAGTTCGGAAGATTGGGGTGGAGGAAAATTAACCGTGCAGTGAATAATATACGAAGAAGGCACAGTTGTGTTATCATAAAGAACAACTTTTGTCTTAAATTTTAGATAATCATTGTTATTTGTTCAAAGTTCTATTTTCATTAAAAAGGATACAATGCCTTATTTCTTCATATTATTTCATTGGCTTTTCAAACGAACCAAACTCGGTGAGATTTTGATCCAATAACTTGAACATAGTTTGATGTGGTTGTTCGTCTTTGTAATAAATTTGTATCATATCTCTTTTTTCTTCATTCATGAAAGCTATTTTTCGCCAAAAATGTAATGACTTGTACAATTACAAAATATCATTGTGTGTAACAAATTGAAAGTCAAATTTAGAAACACGAAGTGATAAACATTTATTTTTTTCAATAACTCGAATTCTTCGAAAAAGAATGATAACTTATGATACATCATTGAAGAAGTAAAAGTCTATTTGAAACAGAAAGAATTCAATGTAGCGCCCATGAGAAAAAACAAAGTTGATGATGGTGGCTGAAAGATGAAACGTCGGATAACAAATCTGAAAACACCATTATGTAGCAGGGAAAAATTGGCAACATGGAAGTGCAATTCATTTTCGAATCCATCGAAAAATGAACCCAGAAAAAAATAAAAACCATTTTCCTAAATTTTGTTTTATCCGGATAGCTCCGTATATACTCGAAATTTCAGAACTTTCTCAACGTCATATTGTTAGTCAGCTAAATGCGCAACTTGGCTCCAATTTAACCATCTTCGTATCTCTCATAGTTTCCGAGATCCCAATGGTGAGGATCAAATTTGAAACACCCTGTATAACGATGCATATTACTCAGCTAGTAGAAACCTAGAAAATTCAATCTGAAGTCTAATCATCATTTTGAAAAGTGAGGTTTTGGGTTTCTACTTCTCCATCTTCCAAAGAAAGGAAGATTCAATTAATTTCATAAAAACAATTCACAAAGATGTGTAGATCATGCAAAAAAGTAATTTTCAGACAAGGAACTGAAGCACAATTTGTGAAATGATCATTTTGGAATTACTTGCCTTCTTTCTTTGGAAAATTTCCCTTTTTCGTATGAAGATGGAGCAGTAGAAAGTCAAAAACTCTTTTTTCCTAAAGCTGTTTCCTTTTTCGTTTTTGTCGTGCTCAATTCGAAGAAAATATTGAATGGGTTGAGAATGACATCAAATACAAAATCGACACTTCATTTCGAGACTCACCCACAACTCTGACATTCAGATTCATAGATTCACTGAACAGATTCATTTATTTTCGGAAGTGTAAATAACAGGATAACATTCAATGAAAATTCTTGTACAATCAATAAATATTTGTTAACTAACAAAAAGTAGAAGAATTTCATTTTCAGATTCAATCAATTATTCATTATCATATTTTGAATATAAATTAGCTTTAATTCAGTTTTTCGATATGAATGTTACCAAGTTCCTCTTGAATAGATGGAGAGAAGAAGAATTTTTTATTTTATTCGGCAGTTTATCAAAACTGTCTAGACTTTTGAAAAATAACGAGTTCATACTGCTTCGTGAATTTGTTCTTGGGATGTAAAAAATTGGTGTTCGATCTAGTATCATGATGATGTACTTCACTATTTGTGATTAAAAGGTTCACTAAGTATGTTGGTTGCAATTTATTTATTATTTTAAATATGAATATCATAGTTTGATAGTATAGTCGTTGAGAGACATTAAGCCACCTTAAACTACAAAGCATATTATGTATCTTTCTATTGCAAAGCAATATTATTCGCATTCCACGATTTTGTAATTTTTGTAATTGATTTAATTTGTTCTGATTCAAGAGATATACCTAAGAGAGTCCCGCAAAAATCATAATGAGGTTTTATTATGCAATTATAGCACGTCATTTTGGCATACATTGATAATATAAATGCCACTCTAGAGAAAATATTCAGTTTCTTTGATAATTTACTTATTATATAGTCATCATGATCATTCAATGAAATTGTATTACCTACAATGAACTCTAGATACTTAATTTTACTCACTATTTCTACATCAGTTTCGTTAATTTCAATTTTGACTCTGTTTCTCCCAATTTTATTTTGTTTATACTTTGTTGTGATGATCATCGCCTTAGTTTTAGTGAAATTGAGTTTCAGTTCATTCATTCCAAGTTACAACTCAATATTTTTCAATGAATTATTCATCTTTTCAATAGCGACTTGCTAGGTTTCATCGTAGGTATATATTAATGTATCTCTGCAAATAAGTAATCATATGATCACTATCCACGTAATTGACATCGTTTATATAAATTAGAAATAGTAAAGGTCCTAACACACTACCTTGTGGAACTTCAAAATCAGTCACTAGCTCTTGTGACTTTTTGAAAAAAAAATGGCTTTTCATTGAACGCTAATATCTTTGAATTAAAATGAAACAAAGTGTGTCGAGATATCATAAATTTTTTTTATTCACTCGAAAAACCTATTGATGCCATTATGTGTGGAATATTACATCGTTCAAATGACTGCTACGGTTTTTCTAGATGAAGCGCATTCAAAACCTCAAATTTTTCATAACTCCGGCGATAAATTTGACCAATCGATGGAATGGGTTATATTGACCTTGAGGACCGCTATAGTTTGTGGCGTATTCGCATACACCTGTAACTTGAGAAAACCCCACAAGAAAAATTCCAACGGAGTCAAATCGCGCGATCTTGGTGGCCAGGTCACATCACCTCCACGTGAGATGATGCCCCAAAATCGCTGGTATAGAATATCCAATGTGGTACGTGGCGCCGTCCTGTTGAAACCACATGCCGTTGGTTATCATCGACATATAGTGACATTGAAAGCCTGGCAAACGTCGTTCTCAAAGAAATATGGACAGATAACGCAGCCAGCCCAAAATCCACACCAAACAGTGACTTTTTCGGGATTCAAATGAAGAGTTATTCAAATAAAACTTATATCATACCTCATATTTGAACAGGAAGTTACCAATGTGACAGTCACCATGTGTTATCACAGCTTCTTTCGGAACATCATTGAAAATATCCAACATAATTGTTTCTTTGCTCCGATTGATCACTTTCTCATATGCAGCTACCAAATCTTCCCTCCCAGTTTTCTTCAAATTCCTCAGACCCCTGTCTTCATTTCTGTATATTCCCATAGTCAGCACCATTTGTTTCATCAGCGAGACCTGGTCAGCTGTCAATTCATTGAATTCCTGGCTGCCTCGATCCTGCAATACGAAGGACATCGCGTGAAATTTCGCGTAGTTTTCCAAAACGAGCCGGACATGATTCAAATTCATTGGGCTCTGTAAATCGAGCACTGTGAATTCTCTGCTTCTCATATTTTCCAGAACTACAGCTTCGATATCGCCAGATATAAAAGTTTTGTAGCACTTGGGAATGGCATCGAAATTGTTTTTCATATCTTTAGCCGAGTAAAACTTGCGAAACATAGGAATAACCCTTTCATAGAAAACCAATTCCCTTCGATAAACCTGTCTCATGAGTTCCTCGTTGCTTCTTCTACCCACTTTTATCAACAAGTCAATTTCCTTATGATTACTGTAATTGTCAGTTCCAGTAACTTTGGCAAACACCAGGATGGATGCGAGTCCTTCAGTTTTTTTATCCGTTTCCATAATTTCGATCTTCATGTTGGATAATTTTTCTGGATCCATTGATTCTCTGATCCAGGATTCTATTCCTTGGTTTTCTTTTTCGTCCATGACGTACGCCCTCACTTATCACAACTAATCGTAGAAAGCGACACTATCGGTACGATCCTGACGACTGTACTTGTGTAACTATATGGATATGGTAAAATAAAATTGAATGTGGAACTTTTGACTACATTATAGTAGGAGAGTTCGCGATAAAAAATTGCAATGGTTCGCGTTTCAATATGATGTAGAAGGAAGACTATTAAACATCACAAATAATGTTTGCAAAGCGCTGTTTACAGTCAAAATTGTAATTTGAATCTAATATACAGTGCTTTTTTTTAATGAACGCCCTTTTTATTTTTTGAACGGGTCAACTCGAAAAATTCAAATTTAGGATGATGAAATTAATGCAGAAATACTTTATTTTGAAGTGGCTCCTGACAAATGCTTTACAATTCTAGAATATAATGTGAATATCTTCAACTACTACAAAATGGCGGAACTTTTGATAATTGCCTGAATACATTGACATTTAACTACATAATATGACGTGATAATCTTGGTTGCCTCGAACTTCTTGACATATGAACAGCCGATCCGATATTTCACGCCGAACATTTTCGAACACAGTAACGTCAATATCTCTACAAATATTTATTATTCTCTATGTGCATCTGCAGNAAAATACATACAACCCTAAATTTTTACTCTCCTATCACCAACCCCTGTTTTTTGATAGCCATTTTAGTAAGTTTATCATGTATCAGTTATTCTCGCCAGGCATCTACCGGATCACTTCTCATTCAGTGTCTTTTTCACGCAATAAGACTTCTCACACTGCCTATACAGTATTTTGCAACTATTACTGTTCATTCATCGAGCGTAGATACAGTTTGCGATGCCACCAAAACTGTTAATTATTCAACAGACTTTTGGAACTCATTGGATTTGCCAGGCATACCACCGCATAATTTACAACTGAAAGTATCATCGTTTCGTAACTTGAATCCACCACGGCTGTGCAACGGCACACAACATTGACGAAGCCAGCATTTCAAATGGCAAATTCCGAGTTGAAAATATATTGATATCACGCATCCCTATTATACTTTCAGATGTGCCAATTCATTTTAAACGTGTGCAATTCCCAATAAGATTGGCATTTACAATTACTGAAGAATATTACTGGAGTTTTAATTTTTTTTGTAAAAGGTTATATAGTTCAGTCTCCGTATATATGACTACTCTGTATATGTATATTGCTTGGTCATGATGTTATATGATCGACCAGCTGTTCCAGTTCAATTGATGTACCGGATCTAATTGAAATATTCATTGACGAATCCAGGTGTGCTACTTCCGTTGAATAATTAAAGCTTTTTGAAGTTATGTCACGTAGAATTGTGCTGCAAAATGGAACAAAGATTCCATTTGACAAAGACATTTTTGCCACTATGACGTGATTTTTTTCGATCGATGACGGGATCTGATGGGATAATCATTATACAAAGTCAAGTCAAAAACGTATATTCAATTTTGGGTCGATACACAGTTTGTGATGGGGTTTTGAAGGGGGCCTGTTATAGGCTCATTCCTCTTCATAGTGGGAGAGGATGTGAGATTTGTTCTTGGTTATCTCGTGTTTGATTCGATTTTTTCGTGGTTCCGTTGGGGGTAGTCCAGGTCCATTGCGGTAGTTGATTTTTCTTTAGGTTCAGGTGGATAGGCCAGGGGTGGATGTTGTAAGATCTCAGTTCCTTCTAAGATATAACTGCATAAGAGGTTTTTTATCTAAATTCAAATATTTGAAGGATTTCTTGAACATTACCCAGTTGAAAACTGTTTATTCTTCCTTGATAGAGTCCTTACTATCTTATGGGATTTTGGGCTGGGGCAGGGTCAATGATTTACTACCATCTCACCAATCATTTGCACTTGGTGTTCTTCAGGAACGGACGGATGACCTGGGGCTTTTTGTTATGTACACTACCGGTAGTTGTGAATTTGGATACAAGTTCCCCCAAATATTTTCTACAGATAGGACGATTCGGACAACGTTCATTGAAAATCCTTTCGGTCTTGTGAAAGTTACGCGTCGCACCGTCAATAAAAATCGCTTCATTTTTTTGTTTCAATGGACAAGTATTGATCATTTTAGAGATTGTTGACGTGGTACCTTTCTACTAGTTGAACCGAAAACTAAATGAGAATATTCAAACTGAACAATGATGTTCTTTGTCGTACTGACATTTTTTGGCGTTTTTATGAACAAAAAATAACTTAACAAACCTTAAGGTTTGTTGAAATCACTATATGGCAGATAAAAAGGAATATTTATAGAAATATCGATATTATCATGTTTGTCTTCAGGGAATTATTAAATGAGAGGTTTTTTTATCTAAATTCAAATATTTGAAGGATTTCTTGAACATTACCCAGTTAAAAACTGTTTATTCTTCCTTGATAGAGTCCTTACTATCTTATGGGATTTTGGGCTGGGGCAGGGTCAATGATTGCTTCTTGAACCAAGTGCAGGTTCTGCAGAGATGGGTTCTGAAAATTATGTATGGCAAAAAGCTGACATTTTTTCCTGACGTACTCTATAATGAATCTCAATGTAGAGATTTGAGACAAATAATTGTTAACAAAATTTTACTTTATGTCAAAGCTAATAAAATTAAACTCACCCCTCATGAACATTCTTGCAATACCAGAAGAGCTGATGCAATTTTCTTTCCCAGAAGTGAAAAATGTATAGGTCAATGAAGTGCAAATTACCTTGCTCCATGAATATATAGTTTGTTACCAAATGAGCTAAAGAATATATCTGTTGATGAGTTATTCAAAAAGAAAATGAAAAAGTGGATTGTCAGTAATAGACCACTAATCAATACAATTTTCAAGTAAAGACTATGGAGAGAAAAAAAAACGAATTACACCTATTACAACTAATTACAAGTATCTGTGTCTATATGTCGTATTACATTTTTTTATCGATTATGTCAATTGTACTCTTATATTAAATTTATTTTGTTACTGCGTTCATATATACATATATAAGTAGCTTTTGCAACTACTTCTGTGTTTCTTCCGTGTTTATTCACCACTTATCCTAATTTATTGAGTTACTGTATTTTCGAATGACTATGACAATGATTTCCTTCCCTAACTCCAATCTGGTTTTCGGAAAAATCATAGTATAACTAGTGCCCTGTGATAAATGACCGACGAAATTTTTTCAGACACCGATAATGAAAAAGTTACCATGACTCCCAGTTTGATCTGCGCTAAACTTGTTTTTTTTTATTGAATATATGACTTCATTGGCTTCCTTTTGACGAGCAGAATGCACCTTGTGTCAGGAACCTCTATACCCATCACGCGACATTCGGTAGACTAAGGTGTTAAAGACACCATTCTGGCATGCCATGATGATCTTCTCAGTTTTCGACTTGAGCCCACTTGACTTGAGGAAAGCCAAAGTCTTCAATTTTTCTGAAGAAGACCCCCATGTAGTGGCTTATTCTTGGGTTGCCGCAGAAGTGATATGATATTTGCGGCTTTTATATGAGCCTTTTGCTAAACGGGTTCCAACTCGATGATAGAGTTGTGATCAAAAACTAAACCGAGTTCCTCAGCTGCTCGGGCAGCTGTCCTGAAGAGAAATGATCCAACTGCTGATATCTCATAGTTGCGGACCATGCAGAGAAGAGGATCCGAACTCCTGACGACTTTACAGGCTATATCCAGTACCATTCTGTCATGCAGACACTCCAAACTCAAAAGTCCACGGCCTCCCTGTTGTCGGGGAAAGTACAACCGTGGAACGGACGATTTAGGATACAAACTCCTATAGAGATGCATCATTTCTCGGGTCGAGTTGATACATCTCCTTCCGAGTCCACTTCACAGATCCAAACGAGTAGAGTAAGATTAGAACGGAAAACAAATTGTTTTCAGCAACTTTGTTCTTCCCCGACAGTTCCGATGACTAGATCTGTCAAAGTTTTTGCTGATACTTGCCGCGGTCAGAGTTCTTCACTGCTGTTACCTCTTGTTAGTAGCGTTTTTCCACCACGAGGTAAGTATATGTATCTCTGGCATCCAAATGGTGTGGAATGCTTCCATCTACGAGCTGCACATTCTCTCCGTTATTCCCGCATCGTACTCTTCCGAGATGGACCATTGCCCATTTGTCTATCCCGAATTTCAAACCGATAGCATGCGTGTACTCTTCCACCACCCTCAAAGACTGATGGAGATCCTTCTCTCTAGAGGTATAAAGTCTAAGATCATCCATGTGAAACAAATGGGTGACCTTGTGCCTCCGGTTTCCGGGGGTGCCACAGTTATACCCTCGACTATTTCTGAGCGCAACGGATAATGTCAATAGTGAGATGCAGAATAGAAGGGGACTGAGGGAATCACCCTGAAATACACCCCTTCTGAAAGTGACCCACCCTGTTTGGACTCTTGCTTGACCAGATGTTATGATGAAGCGAGTTCGCCAGAGTGGTATCAGTTGTTCAATGCATCTCACTATTTTGTTGGGTACCGCAAGGCATCTGAGCAAATACAAGATGAGCTCATGCGATATTGTATCAAATGCCTTAAGGTAATCGATGCAGGCCATGGAGAGATTATGCTTACATTGTATCGAGTCCTGAGTTACACATCTATCGATGAGCAGGTTCTCTTTACAATCAGCGAATCCTCTCTTCGACCCTCTCTGCTCGAACACTCAGTCACTACGGTGAGTATTCGTATATATAAGATGCTTGTAAACAACTTATAACACGAATTCGACAAATCTCCGCTTTTGAGGATGAAAACGGTCCACCCCTCGACAAAACAATCCTGAATTGGCTGTTCTCCGTTCAGCCATGAGTTGGAAACTCTGGCCAGATGGCACCTGGTGTTTGTTCGGTTTTTCCACCAATAAGTAATCAGCCCATCTGGGCACGGGTCAGGAAAGTTCTTGGAACCCACAAGGTCTCTTTGAACGTCATCTAGAGATATCGGGTTGCGCAGTTCATTGAGCTCAGGCTATTGAAGCTACGAACTGTGCTAGGGCTGGAGTGTCTAAGTTGAGTTGTTGCTGGTGTTTTTCGCGATGCTTCCCGCTCGCCTCACTAGTGACTTCTTAGTAGCCACTAACATTCGTATCCTATCAAGACAGTGCTGTTTGGTGGTCAGCAGCACGCCTTGATTCAAAGTATGATGTATACATCGTAGTTTGGCGGCTATTCGTTCGGCGTGAAAGGCCTGTTGGCCGCTCTGTGATCCATCAAACATTGGATACGAGACGCGTGATGTTTCCCGACGTGATCTTAGCCTTCATATTGTGTGAACGCCGTTCAATCTCCCCGATTGCAAGGCCGGGATTTCGCCCTTTTGATTTAGAAAGCGATTGGACGACGCTATACAGGGCAGTGTTGATTTGCCAGATGTCAGCCTCTTCTGTTAGAACACTATGAACCTCAGCATCCAAACAAGCCAGTTCTTGTGGCTTCAGGGGCCTAATTCTGTGGAGCGCCCTGCGTGTTCTGATTGACTCCATTGGTGGCATGATGCGAGTCTTCTCTCCAGCCGTGCCAACGGGTGGTAGAACTGTCACTTTTACCACTACGTTAGCAGACTGAGAAGGAGCTATATAGCTCTGCCGCCAAAGATAGGATACTTATCTCTTATATTATGCGTCCACTCAAAGCGTCCGTTGTCATTGCCAGGGTTATCGTCGGTAGGCAAGTCATCGTTATGGGCCCTACCATCTTGTCTCTGACTCCTCCGAGTGGGTCGATTGTGGCGGCCCCTTTCTCGATTACCAGGAACCAAGTTTTGGGTCCACTGGGTGGTTAGCCCTTTGTTAGGATAGTGCCGGTTAGGTTTTGCACCGGTTGCTTTAGTAAACTTTTATAAATTATTTGAAATAATATGATAGTCGAGTATTACATAAATTGTCCGTAAATCACCTTTATACAGTATTGAGCTGAAAAGAAGCGAAAAATGAAATTTGGAAAAAATGAACAGCATCAATGTATAGAGTACAAAATTTGGACGGAACGATTGAAATAACGTAATACGTAACAACTGTTATTGTCATAGAAATAAAATAATACATTGTAAAAACTCTAGATTCCTTAATTCTGGAATATATGATAATCTGAAAGATGATCCTACAAATCTATCATACTATTATTCGGGATGGAAATGATTCTATCGCAAGATTCATTATTATAAATATAATGTGAAATCCAAAATTAAAAAATATTCAAAATCAGAGCTGTTCTTATGAACTTCTACATTCCATTGGAGTGACTTTTCCTGTAATTTCATTTGATATATCCAAATGACTCTTATGCTCTTCGACAGACGATGATAAACTAACAGAGGCTGGTACCACAACTTCCCAGCAGCAGTCTGACTGGTCCTTGGTGTGGGAATGCTTTGAAAAACCTCACATTCTGCTTGGAGGCGGAATGGCTAAGGCTATGCAGGATGTGGTGAGAGGTGCACTAGGAGAGATGCGCAGATACTATAGCAGGAAAGTCATTGACGTTCTTGTTAGAGTAACCAGAATTTCATTAGATGCCTTGCGAAAAAGATTTTCGATCGAAGGTAAGCCTTTTCCCGATATATATTAAATAATCCTATGGTGTTGACCCCATTTTCCATTATGTATCAGTTATTCTCGCCAGGCATCTACCGGATCACTTCTCATTCAGTGTCTTTTTCACGCAATAAGACTTCTCACACTGCCTATACAGTATTTGGCAACTATTATTGTTCATCCATTGAGCGTTAATACAGTTTGCGACGCCACCTAAACTGTGAGTTATCCAATAGACTCTTGGAACTCATTGGATTCAGGCATACCACCGCATGATTTACAACTGAAGGTATCATTGTTTCGTAACTTGAATCCACCACGGCTGTGCAACGGCACAAAACATTGACGAAGCCAGCATTTCAAATGGCAGGTTCCGAGTTGAAAATATATTGATATCACGCATCCCTATTATACTTTCAGATGTGCCAATTCATTTTGAACGTGTGCAATTTCCAATTAGATTGGTATTTACAATGACTAAATAATATTACTGGAGTTTTTTCCCAACACCAAATCGTTTTTTCTAACACCTCGACATGTGTTTCGAGCACCAAGTAATCATCTTGAAGAGGAAGATAAAACTGGAAAAACTTGCAAGGCTAACCCTATTTATACTATACAGGTATACCATATAGGTGAACTACACATACAGATATACCACACCTTTGGTGTCTTGAATTAATTTTACAATTTGCCTTATCTATTGATTAATGTGGTTGGCATTATTTTTTCATATGCTGTTTTCTTGAAGTAAAAATATAAATTAGAATCTTGAAATATGCAGGTAGGTTCTTTGTATGGCGTAAATAAGCACCAAAAAAGGTAACCAGAAATTTCCACCCCAAGGGGAAAAAGTTAATTTTTCAGTTCTGAAGTTGAGTCTGTCACGAAACTTAACGTGACAAACCTAATTCTATGCTGGCGAAACTACAGGCAACAACTAGTATATACTGAATTATTTTATTTTTGAACGTATTCAATACTTTTTCACCTGTCCTATATGCCACTTGCCCTGATTCCATTTTATCTGACTACTCTGTATATGTATATTGCTTGGTCATGATGTTTTATGATCGACCAGCTGTTACAGTTCAATTGATGTGCCGGATCTAATTGAAATATTCATTGACGAATCCAGGTGTGTTACTTCCGTTGAATCATTTAAGCTTTTTGGAGTTATGTCACGTAGAATTGTGCTGTAAAATGGAACAAAGACTCCATTCGACAAAGACATTTTTGCCACTATGACGTGATTTTTTTCGATCGATAACGGGATCTAATGGAATAGTCATTATTCAAAGTCAAGTCAAAAACGTATATTCAATTTTGGGTCAATTTTGGTTTGTGATGTGGTTTTAAGGGGGACCCTGTTATAGGCTTATGTATAGGTTTGGAGAGGGTGTCAGATTTGTTCTTGGTTACCTCGTGTTTGATTTGATTTTTCCGTGGTTCCCTTGGAGTAGGTTCAGGTGGATAGGACAGGGGTGGATGTTGTAAGATCTCAGTTCCTTCCAGGATATAGCTGTCCGCTATCTGATCCCAGTTGGTATTCCTCCAGGATTTCTTGGATCTGCTCCGATGGGTCTTTCATTGCTCCCAGGAGTCTGGCTAGGGGAAACGAGACCTTCTTCATAGGTATCCTTCTGGTGCCACCACGGGGTGTCCATGGTGTGGTCAGCGAGTTTATGACAGCTCTATTCATACAGTATGTATGATATTTATATCATACAGTACAGGGCAGGACTTTAGTTTGTGGGATAACGCAAACAAAAGGAAGTGGCATGTCAACAGAAATTACAATCTTTCCATTTTGACAGTCATAAATTATCAGCCTACAATTCAATGTTACCAGAGCATTCTCGTTATCTTTGTTTGCCGATATTCTCGATAGAAAAATTCAAATAAATATACAGGTAGATCAGAATGACGGTTTCAACGCAGACACAATCCAGACGTTGATCAGAAAACATAGCCTCTAATTTACGTAGAGATTATTGCAATATTGATATCTAGAAGTGGCATTCAGGCCAGGTTATCTAATTTCTACCTTGACGCCAAAGGTAAAATGGACAAGTTGGAGAAATCTGGAGTTTATGAGCTTAAGTGTATCAGTTATTATGTTGGATAATATTACCGTAATCACCAAAAACGGTATGCTGAACATGAAAGGTCCTTCAGACTGGGAAAAAATGATTCGACGTTTTAAAACCATTCCTTGACATGCAACCACAAGTTTTCGAATCTAACCGATACGGAAATTTTGCACTATGCAAGGAAGGGTTACAAACTCAATTATTTAGAATCCTTGGAAATTCACAAGCATACACATTGTGGGTGCAACCTGTTGAATGATCAAATCGATTCAGTACACTCACCGGTTTTCAAATTGGCACACCCGCATTGTAAACTCTAAATTCAGGTACTCAATTAGGCCAAGTACCTCCATTAGTACCTACAGGGGCTAATGTAATGAATCATTATTAGTTTATTGTATAAGGTTGAAAATGTCCGTATAGGACGAAATTGCAGTAACGTTAGTCTCAAATAAAAGTGGTAAAAAACATAGAAAGTTCCATTTCTATTTTCTTCATTGACTATCTTGAAAAGGGAGCGTTTGAAGAACGGAATCACGTGAAAACGGTCCCATACGATGTGAAAAAAGTACTGTTAGATCGAAACAATTCATCGTGTTACACATCAATGGAAACGATGGCAAAATTGCATGAATTGGGCTTCGAATTCCTTCCGCATCCACCGTATTCTCCCGATCTGACCCTCAAGCGACTCATTTCTATTCTCAGACCTTGAAATAATGCTAGCTGCAAAAAAATTCGTAATAATCGTTGAAATCAAGGCCTATTTTGAGACTGAAGACAAATCTTACTATAAGAACGGCATCAAAAAATTGTATGACCGCTATAATCGTTAGTCGCCCTCGAAGGCAACTACATTGAATGATAAAATCAGAATTTTTGAAAATTTCTTCTGAATGTTAGCCAACGAACTTCTCAGCCCAACTGACTTGGGCTGATATGTTCGTCTGATATGGTCATTTCCATCTTTTATTTCGATCATTCCATTTCTTTTTCATTTTATTGTATGTTCATTTTACCAGCACTGTATTTATATTATTCAACAGGACAATTATTTACTCAACAGCGTTAGTAATAATGGTTGAAAATCCAAAACCTTCACAGCGCAATATATTTTTTTTTCAGTTTTTGATAAACGACTTTTTGCGAACTGTCAAGAGTGTGAAGTTAGAAATGAGGCCTTTATTTTTACCACATCTTATAAAGTTAACAGACAAGATCAAACCAGGGCTTACCCAACTCAATTGGGTATCTTCGAAATGGCAACAGTTCGTGGAAAAAGGAAACGAGGCTATCAAGAATTTCAAAATTCTGGTGAGTTTGAACTGATACGATTTCCTTTTGAAGTTTATAATTTACCATTGAGAAAATTGTCTAGGAATTTGCAAAATTGATGAATTTGCTACCGAAAGAATAAAGCAATTTTTTTAGATACTGGAAAAAGATACAAATATTATAGTCCAGTAATTTTATACATCACAGCATGTGTCAAATCCGTTAGTTCTGATTTTTTGTAGACTGGTTTATGATGTTGGCTCAATGAATAAATAATCCAAGTTTGTGACCTCGAGCGCCCAACGCAACTTTGCCAAAAATAGAAAAAAACCGCGAAAAAATTATGTTTTTATAAGTTTTGGCGATTGAAATCCTGTTACTTGCAAAGCAAGTTTTTGAAAAAAACTTTCTTTGTAAGTTTTTGAAGACCCAATAGTTTCCGAAATTAAACCTTTCAAAATTTATCATTACTTTAGAACTTCGCAATTTTTTGCAATTCTGTCTTTCTGATTGATTTAATTTTGACCCTGAATATACCATCAAAGCCTTTTTTGATGGGATGTTAAGAAAGAAAATGAGAAGTGTGAACGATGATGTTTAAGGGTGAAGAATGAGCTAGGAAGACATTGAAATAAACAACTCAAAGAGGAAGAAGGGAAATGTAGAAGAATTGATGAATTCTTATTTATGTAATGGAACACATGTTTTAAAGATAAAAGTCAGTTTTGAAATAAAACAATATCATCTTTGATTTCGTCTATTATTTATTGAGCTACGAATAATGAACTAAAAAAGTACAACAATACAACATAAGTTAATAAGTTTATTTGTAGGAAACTGAGTAATATTAAAAGTGAATCAAGTTGAGTAATACATCAAATTAGTAGTAAATCAAGAGAGTGAATCAATTGAGTAATAAATCAAAAAACTAAAATAATTTAGCCCTTTCGGAAGGTCTCGGTTGATGTTCGACCGTGTTTGGATCATCGTATTGGTATGGCATATCCCCATCAGGGGATGGTGATGTATCGTCGACGTCCAACACCAATAGGAAAGCCCCCTGGCTCTCCACATAGACAACAGTGTTCTCTGAAATTTAACTACTCAGAGACTGATCACGTGGCCCTTGATGGCGTAATTTTTGATTTTCCACTCCTAACAGCTGCTTTGACCAACTTCAGATTGTTGTATTTTATTTGACAAGCACTGTGCACATAAATCTCACTTACACCCTTCAATAAACGCTGATTTTCTATGTTATTAAGGGAAATACTCGACGCAAGAAGGGTTTTTACACATCTTCCCTTCACTGGGCGCACTTGACCTTCACTTAAAGTCTCCTTACATATAAAACACAATCCCAGGTTGGGACTGGTTTCAGACATTCTATAGATTCTGAGTTCAAACGGCACTCATGTTATGGGCAGCCGGCCAGTCAACATTTCAAACACTAGGCCTTTAGGGTTATTATCGCCAAAATTGTAGTAAAAACCCGATTTTTCGCGGTTTTTTCGATTTTTGACAAAGTTGCGTTCGGAGCTCGAGGTCACAAACTTGGATTATTCATAAGGCCAACATCACAAACAAGTCTGCAAAATATCAGAGCTACTGGATTTCGAAAACTACTCCCTCAGAGTAATTTATGAATGTGTTTCTATTTGTGTATGTACGTAATCTCCATACTTGACATCTTCCCATTGCAGACCGACAGAGTCCACGATGTATACGTCAACAGGGTTCTAGAAGTTCTACAGAGCATGCAGACCATACAGCTCCATGCCCTGCCAGAAATGGACGAAGAGCCCTGGAGTGTCGAAACTTTCTGCAGCAAAATTGATACAGTTTGTAGATGTGCCGCAGTTGAACTTCACAAGAAGAGCTTGATGGTTGAAGAAGCTGTGGAGGAAATTCTCTCGCTAGTCAAAAAGGTTGATATAGATCCGGATGGAACTGCAGAGGAAGAAGAGTTTATATTTGAAGGTTGGTGAACGAATCGTGACACAATATAAATGTGAGGAAATAAACTGCTTGAAATGATGCCACAGATTAATCAGTGTTATTCTCGCTAGTTGATCAAATTATAGTTTTTCTATTTGCGTGTATGGATATGTGAAACGGAAGTTCTCATGAACAACTTCGACTTTGATATTTTTTGATATGTATTTTCGAATTGTTCAAAATCAGAAACCTTTTGGAGCGAGACGATAAATATTTATACATTCAATATTCTAAACATGAGTCTGCTATTCTGTAGGAAAGAAATGTCCATATAATATCCGTTAGAATAAAACGAAGAAAATTATGTTTCCTATGAACAAAATCTCTAAACCTTTGACATCAAATGATTTGAGACCTATGAATAGTACCAGCAATTCCAAAAATTGTAGAAAAGGCAGCATACAGTCAAATAAATCCTATAACAATAATTTCCTTCCCCAACTCCAATCTGGTTTTCGGAAAAATCATAGTATAACTAGTGCCCTGTGATAAATGACCGACGATATTTTTTCAGCTACCTATAATGGAAAAGTTACCATGACTTCCAGTTTGATCTGTGCTAAACTTGGTTTTTTTATTGAATATATGACTTCATAGGCTTCCTTTTGACGAGCAGAATGCACCTTGTGTCAGGAACCTCTATACCCATCACGCGACATTCGGTAGACTAAGGTGTTGAAGACACCATCCTGGCATGCCATGATGATCCCCTCAGTTTTCGACTTGAGCCCACTTGACTTGAGGAAAGCCAAAGTCTTCAATTTTTTTGAAGCAGACCCCATGCAGTGGCTTATTCTTGGGTTGCCGCAGAAGTGATATGATATCTGCGGCTTTTATATGAGCCTTTTGCTAAACGGGTTCCAACTCGATGACAGAGTTGTGATCACCCTTTCAGTGTCGAAAACTAAACCGAGTTTCTCAGCTGCTCGGACAGCTGCCCTGAAGAGAAATTATCCAACTTCTGATCTCTCAGAGTACAACCGTGGAAGGGACGATTTAGGATACAAACTCCTATATAGATTCATCATTTTTCTGGTCGAGGTGATACAGCTCCTTCCTAGTCCACTTCACCAATCCAAACGAGTAGAGTCAGATTGAAACGGCAAACAAATTTGTTGCAGTTCCGATGACCGGATCTGTTGAAATTTGTGCTGGTACTTGCCGCGATGAGAGTTCTTCACTGCTGTTACGTCTTGCGAGTGGCGTTTTCCCACCCCGAGGTGAGTAAACGTATCTCTGTCATCCAAATGGTGTAAGATGCTTCCATCTACGAGCTGCATATCCTCTATCCCGAATTTCATACCGATAGCATGCGTATACTCTTCCACCACCCTCAAATACTGATGGAGACCCTTCTCTTCAGAGGCATAAAGTCTAAGACCATCCATGTGAAACGAATGGGTGATCCTGTGCCTCGGGTTTCCGTGATTGCTACAGTTGTACCCTCGAGTATTTCTGAGCGCAACGGATAATGGCAATAGTGAGATGCAGGAGAGTAGGGGACTAACGGAATTGCCCTGAAATACACCCCTTCTGAAAGTGAACCACCCTGTTTGGACTCTGGCTTGACCAGATGTTATGGTGAAGCGAGTTCGCCAAAGTGGTATCAGTTGTTTAATGCATCTCACTATTCTGTCGGATACCGCAAGGCATCTGAGAAAAAACAAGATGAAATTGTATCAAATGCCTCACGGTAATCGATCCAGGCCATAGAGAGGTTACGCTTATATTGTATCGAGTCCTGAGTTACACATCTATTGATGAGCAGGTTCTCTTTACAATCAGCTACTCCTCTCTTCGACCCTCTCTGCTCATATATCCATTTGAACACTCAGTCAACTGCGTTAAGTATTCGTCTATATAAGATGCTTGTAAACAACTTATTCGACACGAATTCGACAAATCTCCGCTTTTGGGGATGAAAACGGTCCACCCCTCGACAAACCAATCCTGAATCGGCTGGTCTCCGTCCAGCCATGAGTTGGAAACTCTGGCCAGATGTAACCTGGTGCTTGTTCGGTTTTTCCACCAATAAGTATTCAGCTCATCTGGGCACGGAGCAGGAAAGTTCTTGGAACCCACAAGGCCTCTTTAAACGAAGCTACGAACTGTGCTAGGGCTGGAGTGTCTAAGTTGAGTGGTTGCTGGTGTTCATAGATATCTTTCCTTAAAGTAGTCCACCTGATCAGAGGTAGGTGGATTATCCACAATACGTGAAGGCTCTTGGAATAAGCGAGAATGTTTCTCGTGGAAACTGAGGTTTTTCGCGATGCTTCCCGCTCGCCTCACTAGTGACTTCTTAGTAGCCACCAACATCCGTATCCTATCAAGATAGTGCTGTTTGGAGGTCAGCAGCACGCCTTGATTCAAAGTGTGATGTATACATCGTAGTTTGGCGGCTATTCGTTTGGCGTGAAAGGCCTGTTGGCCGCTCTGTAATCTATCAAACATTGGATACAAGTCGTGTGTTGTCTCGCCGACGTGATCTTAGCCTTCATATTGTGTATACGCTGTTCAATTTCCCTAATCTCAAGGCCGGGATTTCGTCCTTCCGATTCGAAAAGCGATTGGACGACGCTATACATGGCAGTGTTGATTTGCCAGATGTCAGCCTCTTCTGTTAGAACAACATGAAACTCCGCATTCAAACAAGCCAGTTCTTGTGGCTTGTCAGCCGTGTCAACAGGTGGTAGAATTGTCACTTCTACCACTTCGTTAGCAGGCTGGGAAGAAGCTTTATAGCCCTGCCGCCGAAGATAGATACGTAATCCCTGAGATTTTGGGCAGGAAAGACGGCATGCTCCGGATGTGTCTCACACCACAGAGCGTGAATTCTCGCATTATACCCTCTTCGCTCGGGCTCACTAATCTCGTAGTGATGCATAAGGTTATCTCTCAGCTCATACGTCCACTCAAAGCATCCGTTGTCATTGCCGAAATTGCTGGGTGCGCCTGGGCTGTCAGTCCGGTTTTGCACCAGTTGCTCTGTTAAAAGTGGTGGTACAACTTATTATTATCATTATATCTATGTTATTGTGTTCATATAGCTATTATGAATTATTTGAAATAATATGATAGTCCAGTATTGCATATATTGTCCGTAAATCACCTAACAACTTCAAATAGTAATGAGCTGAAAAGAAGTAAAAAGTTTAAATTTGGAAAAAATGAACAACATCAATATATAGAGTACAAAACTTGGACAGAACGTTTGAAATAAGTCAATTCAATGATTCTGGAACATACGATAATCTGCAGGATGATCCTGTAATTCTATCACATTGTCGTTCAGAATGGAAATTATTTTATTGCAAGATTCATTATTATAAATACAATATGAATTCCAAAATTAAAAAATATTCACAATCAGAGCTGTTCTTGTGAACTTCCACATTCCACATGACTCTTATCTTCTTCGACAGACGATGATAAACTAACAGAGGCTGGTACCACAACTTCCCAGCAGCAGTCTGACTGGTCCTTGGTGTGGGAATGCTTTGAAAAACCTCACATTCTGCTTGGAGGCGGAATGGCTAAGGCTATGCAGGATGTGGTGAGAGGTGCACTAGGAGAGATGCGCAGATACTATAGCAGGAAAGTCATTGACGTTCTTGTTAGAGTAACCAGAATTTCATTAGATGCCTTGCGAAAAAGATTTTCGATCGAAGGTAAGCCTTTTCCCGATATATATTAAATAATCCTATGGTGTTGACCCCATTTTCCATTAAGGGAGTCTTCCAAAGAAAGGAAGGAAGTAACTCTATACATGGATGTGTAGATCATGCAAAGAAGTAACTTTCAGACACAAACTGAAAGAAAGTCCTCCTGAAACAGCTACTTTCATATAAACATTGAATTATACGAAAGAAAAAATTCTTTCGAAACAACTACTTCTATATGAACACTGAATTATACAGAAGATACTTTTCTCTACTTAGTTTGTATTTCATATATTCGTTGTGGAATAAAAAATCAGATATCATTCACATGAGTTCTACTTTAAATGAATGGTAACAAATTGCACTTACATAGAACACTGCCATCCTCGCTGGTATACACCGATGTTTCGCCTTAAGACACTTGCCCTAGCTCTTCAGAATCAAATTGGATAACATTATAGAAAATACACACACTTCATTCATGAATTACGATTTTTTAATGTCACGGAATAAGCTTGATCTGCTTATGTCATCGATGACATCGTAATGACATTCATTCACCTATTTGATTTAATCCCAGTATGTTTCGCCTTAAGACACTTGCCCTAAGGCTCTTCAGTACCAAATTGGATAACATTATAGAAAATACACACACTTCATTCACCGCTTCATTCCTCACTGGTATACACCGATGTGTATTTGATCGAAGGATTCATGAAAGTCTAAATAAAGAACATCGACTTGTTTTTGCTTGTCCAGGTACGTACAGAGATATTGCGAAACACGCACTCAGAGAAGGAAACCACATGATTCTGTTAGAAAGTACGAAACGTATTGCCCTCAACCAGGGATACCATAGTCGACTGGTACGGGAGGCAATAGAGATCCACGAACACACGGATAAGTTCAACAGAAAAGAAGCTGTGCAACTCAACCGAATATGGAATCCCATTCTAAGGGCTTCAAGAATAACAAACCTCATGACGGCAGGTAGAACAGGGTCAAAGAATATTATTGACAATTCACCTAATTCAGGTACAATAATTAGCGAACTAAACTACCTGAATCAACAAAACTATGCTCCACACAGTCGTAATACCCAGTCATCAAAGATAAACTCAAGATGTATGAACCTTCGAAGCTAGTTTTGGACCCGAATAAAAATAGTGACACTGAAAACCTTGTCCGCGAAAGCCCAAACCATTTTGTCAGATGTCTTTTTTGGAAAAATTCGAAAAGTATTTGTTGTTTTCTCATAATCATGTCTCAAATGAGAAAATGCACAAGATTCTGTTATGTAATTTGTATCAACTAGAGAATTAATCAAGAGATGGTGAAAAGAAAGGAAGTATCGAACGAAGTGAATGGTTCAACTGATAAATGCCAGGAATCATTTCGAATACTGTTACGCAGACAGATAAATACATATTATAACAGGATATTACAGGATATTTTTGACAGGAATCAATAAATGAACCTTCTTATTTATTTGTTGTATGTCCTCTAGTAGTTCGATTGTTTCGTGTTTGAAATCTTTGAAAATTCCTGATTTCTTTCATGACCAGATAAACAAGAGAGAGCTCCAGTTTTTCTACTCAATTCCATGCTACTGATACCGAAAGTGGGGATAAAACCCAACCTGGAGGAAGTGCAAGAGGTGTTGCTATCAGCAGGAAAAAGTATAACATCGGTAGCAAAAGGAGTTGGACAGTGGACCGCTGGACTGTTGCAGGTAATCACGAGTTTGAACAAATCTGTAGAAACTTACATGTAAAAGTGTGTTTGTATCAGCCTGGATGTAATAGATTTAGTTCTCGATTTGAGAGAGAACATTCACCTGTAAATATTCAATAAACCTCGCGAGAACCAAAATGATAACGAGACATAAAACCATTATTCAAATTCTTTGGAATGTTTTTGGTTGCATAGGTAACCATCTGATGTCAAAGGCATAACTTTCATCCAATGATATCAATCTGGGAATCAGAAAGTCATCGTATTTGTCACTGCAGAACTGATGCTATGCAAAACATAAACTATTTTGAGGCGAGAAATATGACTCAATATGTCTGAAATCCTTCAGCAAACATATTATTGAAATGCAACTGTGTGTTCATCATCTTTCACATGGAATGATAAGGATCGGGATCTCGATAAGTGTCTTTGTTGAAAATATGTCAGTAAGTTCAGATCTGGAAATATTTCTATCACATTTTTTTGTGTTCCTCAACGTATTGTTTCCTATTCACAAGTGATATTTCTGGAGAGGACCATTTTCACAGCCTATGCTGAACTTGATTGTTTTTTGTTTGTTTGACATCAGATACATTGATTTTCACGTTGAATTGATTTTGGAAATCACCTCTGCATATTAGATGAGGTCGTGGAAATGAACATTTAATGTTTTCTGTGGATTTTTTTGTGAAGATACAAAAACTATTCTACTAGGCGAAATTATAGTGCCAAATAGTATTGAGCTGAAAGACTGGATCATCTCGGAATTGATATCACCTTATCCTGAGGTGGGTTGAAGGGCACGACAGAAGTAAACGTAATCGCATTGCCGACTTTTCATCCAAGGAAGCGGTGAACTGAGAATTTTAGGACCCAATGGCACCTACGGCCTGATGACTTCGACAATTTCGGAACCAGCCAAACGTCACATCCATGCTCAATCTCTAAAGAGAAGGAATGCAAACTTGTCAGGGTCACCCTGGGCGACCCTGGAAAGCTGGCGACGAAGAAATATCTGGCAATGACCAGGAAGAATCTACGCCTAACAGTAGGATTCTTGAATGGCCCATGTCAACTAAGGAAACACCTCCATAATATTGGGCTAGTGGTTACACCTCTATGCAGGATGTGTTGACAGGAATATGAAACTGTCAGGCATGTCCTGAGCCAGTGTCCGAAGTTATCGTCAATAAGAGAGTGTGTGTTCGGCGAGTCTTGGCCTACACCTGCCGATATAAAGGAGATGTCTTCCAGAAACCTGTCCACCTTCTTGGAAAGGACAGGATGGACGATGACCTAGGACAGCTCCTTTGGAGGGTGAACGATAGGTCACATGTGACCTAACTGCTGTGGGCCTACAGTCACCCACCCTATTCTACAGATACAGATCAACATATGATCTAAGATGAACAAGACTTCGACATCATGGTAATCATCGTTATTCATTGGGAAGAAATCGGGTGAGTTGTTAAACTAGAACTTTTTTCTTATTTTCGTGAATAGATACAAGGTCATTCAATTGGTGAATGATGATCTATCATTCTGTTGAAAATTTTGCATCATTCAAAAACTGGAGCCAAGTTCCTTACTACAAAACAAACCCTTCGCTTCAATTGAATGTGACATTCAAATCTACGAAATATAATCGCCTTTCACAACAGGCGGGCATACCCTATCGTTATTTTTGGTGTCTCTGCTGATAGATTGTTTCCAATGTTTGCTCACATATTCCCAAGGAAAAGCTATCAGTTCCTTCAGAGGTGGGCGATAAAAATATACTCGCCTGATATGGATTTTATTAGTAACGATGTATGGTCAATTGTTGTGTGATACTGGTAAATAGTCTGGATACTGTATAGGTAAAATTCTATAGAGAAAAAAGAAACACATTTATTGAATTTTTTGAAACAAAATTAGATTGACGCATTAAGAAGACGTTAGATCAAGATAGTTTTCAGTGGTACATATCAATTGATATTGCTTATGATTCTTCAATGAAACCAACAAAATTCATGTAACGCTATGGATCCCTGGGTGTGCAACTTTTTGTTTCAAAGATATCGGCCTTGAAGATGAGCCCCGCAGTGGATGACCTACAGTAATCCAGGACTGATATTTGAGGGCCCCGATGGAGACTGACCCATCACAAACGGTCGTGGGATGACGGAAGAACGTATTAGAAACCTGAAACAGCTCATTGAGTGGGTGCCTCACGATTTGAACCATCAAAGAAATTGTCACGTTTCGAGGTCTGTTTCCTTTTGCTTGTGCGCAACCGACACCATCCTTTTTTGGATCCGATTGTGATGAAAACTGGATTCTCTATGACAACAGAACAGTGGTTGGGCACCGATAAGCCAACCAGGTACTTTCCAAAGGCGAAAACCATGTAAAAATAACATGGTACTGTATAATTATCAGTGGCTGGTGTAATTCACTTAAACTTTCTGTGAGGATTTCGACGAAATGTACCGAAAATTGTGCCAATAGTAGCCAGTACCGGTCCAAGTGATCGGAATCTGCCCCACAAAAACGCTCGTCCATACGTTTCACGAATCACCGTCCCACCATACTCGCCAATCAAGCACTTCGATACCTTTCTCATCGGTATAACCTTCGCCAATCAGGACCAGGCAAAAACGGACTTCGTCGGCTTCATCGGATCCCGATGACACTATTGTTCGAAAAACCGAATAGTATAAAAACGTCTATTGGCAACTATTGTATAGCGAAATCGTATTGCGGTTTTGTTAACTGTATAGAGAATTTCTTTAAGTGAAGTGTTTCTTCCACTATATAAGTGAGATATATTTATCGAAAAAAACTTAGATCAATGTATTGAGAATACGTTGGATAAATTGATCTGAAAACATTTTTTATCAAACATCAAATAATAATACTTTTTATTCCTCGATAAATTTAACAAGTTCTATATACAGCATCTAGATAAAATGAAATTTATACATTTAGGAATTCACTAATCTTATTTTTTTCTTCTTCCCACCCACAACCCCTACATCCACCACGACACTGTAAATAAACACCAATCACCCTGTATATAAACACAAAACCACCACGAATCCTCCAAATCTGCACATCCACCCTTGAAACTTCATCCACTCCTGGGCATGCCGGCTTTGTAAATTGCGGCCCATAAGGCACCTCCTCCGAAGAAATCAGTGTGGAAAAAAATTGCCGGGACCAAATCCCATCTAATGGATATTGTAACTCGTTCCCGACATGATCAGAAACCCGCCAAGGGAGCCGCGAAAACGAAGGAGGAAGATTTCAGGATGAGGAGGAGGAAGCTGTACAGGCTTTTGACGGAGGAGAAGCTTACGTTTCCACATCAGCAGAGGAATTTTTATAACCATGTGATGGAGAACAAGGAGGTGATCAAAACATTGTCGTTGTTGTCTACTTGTACTCTGGATATGAAACAGGTGAGTTTAATTGTGTTGATGTTGATTATTACTAACAGAATGTTATGCATTCAGATCTCTAAATATAATAATAATAATGGTCCATCTCGAAAGAGGATGATGCAATAACTACAGATGGAAGCATCCTGCACCATCTGTAACAACAGTGAAGAGTTGTCTTTGTAACAAGTATCAGTAGAAACAGACAGATCTAGCCATCGGAACTGTCGAGAAACAACGAAGTTGCCCCTACGAATATGCTTCCCGTTCCAAACTTACTCTACTCGGTTGAAGTAGTGGATGGACCTGAGAGGAGCTGCTTCATCTTGACGTTGAAACAATGTCATAGGACATTGTATCTCAAATCACCCGTTTCACAGTTGTACTTCCCCCGACAACAGAGAGGCCATATACTTTCGAGTTTGGAGTGTCTACATGACAGAATGGTACTGGATGGAGTCTGTGAAGGGATTATGAGTTCGGATCATTTTCCCTGCATGGTCTTGACCATGAGAGAAGAGAAGTTGGAACATTTCTCTTTAGGGCAGGTGCGCGAGAAGAGGTGCACAATTGAGGGAGTTTTTCTGTAGCCAGTTCCTTGCCTTTATTCAAGGCGGAGCTCTTGGCGCCCGCCGCAGGAAGTGCCCTTGGTGTTGGAGATAGAGTGGGGGAGGAGGAGGGTGCACTTTCAGTTACTGCCACTCCTGTCTCCTTCGCTCTCTTTCTTCTTTTGGCCTCGGCGCCGCAAATGCGCTTACGCCTTGGCCTCTGTATTACATTACGAGATGTCCAGCCCCATTCTAAGCGGTAGATTGGGGTGGACATTTCTGTTCATCCCCAGCCACTGCCTTAGGCTGCACCTATATTGAATCCGTATTTCTCCCGACCCGATGTGGGAGGATCATCTGACGCCGCGCGATCCGATGCAGTCCGTTGTAACTGCCTACACTGGACTCACTTCGATCCGATAGGTTGAAGTTGAAGATGTGTTTTGGGGGTAATTATGAGTGACTCTGAAGATGATTTTTTGTGGTGGCTTATACAAGACAAGAATGTTCTCCTTAATAGGAGACGTAGGAAAAAGGTATGGGTGCATCAGTTTAATAAAGATAAATCTGAAGGGGAATTTTTCAAAACTTTCCTACTTATAAGAAACTATCCGGATAAATTTAAGGACTACCATCGTATGACTATGGAAACGTCATCTTGAAGGCATAAAATACGACATAACTGGTCAGTCTAACTTCAGAGCATGCATCAGCCGTTTCACCAGTAATTGGTCCCCAATAATCTCCCATAGTTTAGTCTTAATATCACCATTATGGTAATCCTTGTTTCGCTGTTACCACAAGCGAGGCTCATCTTTCACAAGAATCATCAAAAACTCTTTATCAATTTTATTATTCATCATTACCACTCCGTCGGAATGAAAGATCGGACTAAAAACAAACAAGTGTTTGTTTTTCTTCCTATGTTGTCCGATGGTCGGACTACATCGGGTCGGGAGAAATACGGATTCAATATAGGTGCAGCCTTATATTGAGGTGATCACTTCTGTCCAGCCTCGGGATTGGTTTTTGTTTTTTGTTTTTGTGTTGTTTCATGCATGTGTGTTATCACGAGTAGCAAGGGAAGAGTTGGTCACCTCTGGCAGTGCCCCGCATTACAACGTGGCTTCGCCCAGTTCCCTGAGGGGATCGTTCGTAACCGCATTTCACCCTGCGGCCATTCGGCTGTTGGCACGATCCTCACACCTTAGCTTGGGTAGGCTGGTCCACGGTGGCGTGTTTTGCAAAGGCTTTTGGAAAGTTTTAGTTCCCCTTACCCTACTTATTTCTGCCACTGACCAGGAGTCCGGCGACCCCGTCCGTAAGGCAACATTGGCTTCCCAGACAGGGCCTCCAGTCCCCTGGCCGTTTCCCCATCCGCCACCTGGGGACGCGCTCGATAGGTAGCCCAACCCACGGGAGCTAAGCTTGATTTAGTTATTTTCGAACATCGGAGTGAGGATATATTCGACGTGGAGTTTTCAGTTCCAGGTGAGACAGAAATGTTGTCCGAAAAGAGGAGGAAAAATGGATGTAATATCGGGATTTTCTTTTCAAACTACACATATTCTGTCCAGACCACTCTGTCGGAATGATTGTGTTCATTGTTGGAATCCCTGTTGGAATTATGTCCTCTATACTCAATCTCAAGAGATTGCCGGCTTGCCGCACTGAGACAGAAATTTCAGCCGGACGAATGCAGAAGGCTGCCCGCCTAGGTCATATGATTTCTGAACCCAATGATCACTTTCATCATGCTGTAGAGAGTGATCATTTGTTGATGATGCTGGCACGCGCCTATTTTCGGATAGTTCAGCTAGTAATGAAACGTTTATAATTCTGCGAAAAAAAGTTCACTTCTTCAACAAATTCTATTGTTAGTTGAAACGCAACCACAAAAAAAAGAACACTATTTCTCTAAGTGTATAATAATATCTTTTTTTAGGACATGAATCAATTTGTTTCAAGATGGAGACCTTATAATATTCTGTGGAGAAACGAAAAGACCCAAAGAGAATTACTAAATGCTTGTCTGACAGAGTTCGAGACGTCTTTGAGAAAGCACGAAGAACTGAATGAGAGATTGACAACTGAACCCGATATATTTGTGATCGCTAACTGTTTGGCCATTTCCTCGGAAAATTTGAAATATGGATTGATGACGGAAATAAAGGCTTGTTCACATAGGTAAAATTTGGGTACAGTTGGTCATCTTTTTTTAACATCAATCATTTATTTCCGTAATCTAACTACAATTACTCACTATCTAGTTATCTTCTAGCTTGTTCTTTCATATGGCTAATACGCAATTACAAAAATGGGATTGATAATCATGAGCATAATGTCGCGAAAATATGTATCAAATTTCTTATTACAAGGAGAAGAATAATTATATGTTTCAGGATTGGACAAGCTATGAAGAAAAAATATCGCCGAGAGATGGATTACGTATATGCTGTTATAAATGAAATGGAAAGAAAGTTGGAACGTACTATAAGGGACCTAGATGATGTTCGTTTGATAATGGATACTCTGAAGAAAATTAGGGAACAGGAAGTTGATATGGAGCTGAAAATAGAACCAATAGAGGTGAGTAATATAATGGAACATTGTTTGGATGTCAAAAAGTCAAACAAAGTTCTTTTTGTTCAGTTATAAATCCCGGAGAGGACTGAAAGGAAAATAATGATATACTGTTTTTCCAGGAAGCTTTCAATGTTCTTCACCGTTACAAGGTGACAGTTGAGCGAGAAATAACAGAGCAGGTAGACAATTTGCGTTACACCTGGAGCAGACTGCTTGAGAGAGCTTTGAAAGTTCAAGTCAACCTTTTGGATATGCAGCCACAATTCCAGCAAGATTTGAAGAACAACCTGAGCAAATTCCGACAAGACAAACTCGACTATTGCAATGAATATCGTACAGCTGGACCTATGCAGCCTGGCTTAACTCCCAGAGAAGCTTCAGACAGGTTGATTCTCTTCCAAGTGAGAACTTCAAAACATTTAATGTAATTGCTGTAAAAAATCTGCTTTCAGAACCGTTTCGATGGAATGTGGCGGAAGCTCCAAACTTACCAGAGTGGAGAGGAACTGTTTGGCCTACCAACTACGGACTACCCTGACATGGCACAGATAAGGAAAGAGCTCAACCTGCTGCAGAAGCTCTACAAACTCTATAACGACGTCATAGACCGCGTCAATAGCTACTACGATATTCCTTGGGGGGAAGTGAACATTGAAGAGATCAACAATGAACTGATGGAGTTTCAAAATCGATGCCGGAAATTGCCGAAAGGGTTGAAGGAGTGGCCAGCTTTCTTCGCCCTCAAAAGAACGATTGATGATTTTAACGACATGTGCCCTCTGCTAGAGTTGATGGCCAATAGAGCGATGAAGCCGAGACACTGGCAAAGGATAATGGATTCGCTGAATCACATATTTGAATTCGAAAGTGAAGGATTTTGTTTGAAAAATATTCTGGAAGCGCCGCTACTACAACACAAGGAGGATATAGAGGTGATTTAAGGGTCAAAGTTGTGGTAGGTACTGGCAACTGATTCAATCATATTGTTTTGTACTGTGGTGATGTTGTAAGGTGATGTTGAAGAAACTGTTCACTCTATATTGTATTATTTTGTAATTTCGATTTGGCAGCTGCTGTTACCAGACATGGATTTCTCCACATCAAATTTCAGATGTTGAGGCACATCCGAAAGAAGCTTTGAATTCTACCTCCTACAGGAAGAGGAGGTCTTCAGTTGCAGTTGAAAACGATCTTGAGAATTCACAGATATTTCTTTCTAAAACGTTTCTATGCTAGGTTTTGGAATGAAATCCAGCTTCTGAACTTATAATACAATATTCAACAGTGGAAAAATGATAACAAAACAGAAACCAACAGAATAATACATTAATGAAACGAGACGATATACTGACATATCAATTATACCTATCACTTTGACTGAAATGTATAGTTCCTCGCACCCTGCGAACAACCTATCGAAAAATTCAAATTTATGTGTGTGTGTGCTTGGCCGACACTTTCGGACCGGTCCGACAAATGACTCAATTATTAGATCCACTCTGTTTACTGATTTCTGGCTAATTCCTTTCCAAAATTGAATTAACGGTTTCTAGCTATATACAGTGATCTCACTGCCGCCTTTATAGATTGTACCGGCTAATCCTGTCTCTGCGCTGCCCAGTTCGTCAGGGTAATCCTACAGGTTCCAAAAAAAAATAGTTATCACTCTGAATCGCCGATGACAGTCAACAGAACAATCGCCACCACTATCATTAATTCACCTTCATTCCCAACATCTCACGTTTGTGTCGAGGCTAAGGACAAAGTCTACCACGCCGACGACCTAGGTTCAATTCTCATATCGATCCCTTTTTTTAATTCAATTTCCTTCAGCTACCGATGACCACTAGGACCACCTGACTGGTACGGGATAAGATGGCTCAGGAGTGAAGTCTTCGAAAGGCCCGAGGAGTGGGCGGAGTCCCAAGGGAGTCTACGCCCTTTGAATCCCTCCAATATTCATTCCATCCTTCTCTGCATCGATTACGTCACACGTTTTCTCTCCTACTCACCAAATGACGCGCGACCTTGAAGTGAGCTCGGAACAGGCTTGCTGCTCTACTGATTTGAATTTCCCGCTATACGCGCGGTAGCTTCTGATTGGTCGAATGGGTAACGACGAAAAGTGGAGGAGTGGAGGAGGTCTGAAGTCTGGCAACCACTCAGTTTCAGTGAACGAAATTTATATCTATTTCTCTCATTAAACTATCCGATTCCTACTCTAACCACACGGTTTCCGTATCAAACTTTTGTTTTCGAAGCACTTGACGACGCTCGCTCAACTAAAAAGTCTCACTTGGCTCCCTCGCGACGACTGTCGCAAAAAAACTTCAAAGGATTCGCGGTTACCCTGTCATAATTTTTTTGTAACACCCCTCAATCAATCGCGTGAGATTATTTCTTATCTCAGTTAATCTCGATTTGCCAAACTTATGATTGATTAGCCTATGGCCACACCTTAGTTGAGATGGACGCTAATTTTCTTTTGTTCTCAGCTATCGGGCCCACACACGACGTGGTTCAACGAATAACCCATATTTCGCTTATTTGAGAAGCCTACAGATACATGGTCTGAAATAGGATATATTTTCGTCTCTCTTCTGTCGACCCAATCAGTTGGGTATTTCTTAAACTGGGCGATCTATTGACAGACCGCAGGTGGTTTTTGTCAACATTTATCCATAATGTCAATCGATAACCGATAATATTTGCTTCGACGTTGTGTTATTTACAAAATAACAAATATTTTCTGTGAAATTCATATTGACTTATGAGTTTTCCTCATGCATCGTCATTTTCAGGATATATGTATTTCTGCGATGAAGGAAAAGGATATTGAAGCCAAGCTACGACAAGTTACCAATGAGTGGACCGTTCACGAATTGACATTTATGACATTCAATAACAGAGGAGAACTACTTCTACGTGGAGATACAACTGCAGAGACCATTGGTCAACTTGAAGACAGCCTGATGGTGTTGGGTTCCCTACTCTCCAACAGGTATGAATTGGTCCTTGCTTTCAGAAATATTGATCTTCTATCCTGTTTCAGGTACAATGCTCCTTTCAAGAAACAGATACAGCAATGGGTTCACGATTTATCTAATACAAATGAGATATTGGAGCGTTGGCTGCTTGTGCAAAATATGTGGGTTTACCTTGAGGCCGTTTTCGTAGGAGGTGATATAGCCAAGCAGTTACCGAAGGAAGCTAAGAGATTTTCCAAGATTGACAAGTCTTGGCAAAAAATTATGCAACGTGCTCATGAAACACCAGGAGTGGTAGCTTGTTGCGTGGGTAAGAGACGCTATTCAATCCAGCATTTCATAAAAAATGTCACTTGTACTGAGTGGGTCGAATTGGACACTTTTGAAGAGAAACTCCTGTTTCCACCATGGAGTTTTTCATGAAATTTGATCCTCAGTTTTCATCTATATACATAGTTTGAAAACAGGAGTTTCCCTTTAATGTGTCCCACTCCTTACACTTCCTTCACCTTCACATATTTTTAGGTGATGACCTCCTCAAACAGCTTTTACCACATCTCCAAGAGCAACTGGAACTCTGTCAAAAGTCTCTCAGTGGTTACTTGGAGAGAAAGCGTATGATGTTCCCTCGGTTCTTCTTCGTGTCCGATCCCGCCTTGTTAGAAATCCTTGGCCAAGCCTCTGACTCGCACACCATACAAAATCACTTGCTCTCGATCTTCGACAATACCCGATGGGTAAAGTTTCACGACATAGAATATAATAAAATCACAGCAATCATATCATCTGAGGGGGAAACGATTCCGTTGGAGAAGGCAGTCAGAGCGGAAGGTAGCGTTGAAACCTGGCTGACTCAGTTGTTGGTAACTTCTCAGATGTCCCTGCACTCCATCATCAGACAGGCTTTTATCATGATCAATGATGCCAACTTCCATTTGCTGCAGTTTTTGGATAAAATGCCAGCCCAGGTGAGTGTTTTGGGGATGCAAGGCTCTAACTTCAAAGTCGATACAAATAAATCAGAATAATCTCAGCAATGAGGACTTGAAACTTCCGTATTTAAATTTTTTAGTGTGAAGAAAAAAAGGGCTGCATTTTCAGTTATTTCCTTGTTGATATTTCGTCTCATTTTCTATGGATTGATACATGGCAACATAAGAGACATCATTATATTGAGAATATTGCAGATTCCCATATTCTCAAACGGAATGCACTCCTGCATTTATTGTACATTATTCGATATGTGATCAGTTTTTCGCTATCAATCATTACAAAGCAGAAACTGAGCTGAGAAACTCAGTTTTGTTGTTGTCAACATTTTTTGTTGCTGTCAACATTTTTTCTTGTTATCTTTCGCTTTGGTTCATACTTTCACCTTTGTAATTGACTTAATAGCTGATAAACCATCATGAAACTCAACGTTTTCATTTTGAATTTTCAAAAATTGGCTCTGATTAACATTCTGGAAAATATCTAGAGTCCATGTTGTGCAATTTATGAAATATCGTTTTGGGATTCATGTAATATCAGTTCGTCAAGCAAAATATGAATCTTCATATTCCTTCTTTCTCATCTGAATTCAATGAACTCTTTCCGTAGATCTGTTCTATAATTTTCACTATCTCACAATATCAAATTCCACAGATATCTTCTCTTCATTCCAGAGAGTACAATTTGGGGTCGATCATCTTATTGAGGGCTAGAAGTAGTCCTAGTATTCTGCTTTGTGATATACCTTCGTATTCTGTCCAGAAACATGACTGTCCTGTTTGTATCATCATCGGTATCATATTTTTTGTCAATTATACCGTTTCAGGTTGGTTTACTGGGTTTGCAAATGATCTGGACCAGAGATTCAGAACTTGCATTGATGCAAGCGAGACATGATAAGAAAGTGATGCCCGATACTAACAATAAGTTCTTGGAACTCCTGAATACACTCATTGATCAAACTACCAGGGATTTGAGTAAAATAGAAAGGACTAAATTTGAAACCCTTATAACCATCCACGTTCATCAGAGAGATATATTCGATATTCTGGTAAGTTTTTTGTTCGTCTTTACATTCTAGTTCGTTACTCAGAAGGTGAAGAAAGAGAAATTCACACTGGAAGATGATCCTTATTTCTTGTCATCTCTTAATTTTTTCTTTAAACTATAATTTGCTCTGAATGCTACACATGATGAAAATAATGAACATTCTGACTTCTGATTTGTTATCAGTTGATTCATAATAGAGAAAAAATATTTGTTTTAGTGTCGGCTCAATGTGAGGCACGTCAACGATTTCGAATGGCTAAAACAGTGCAGATTTTATTTCAAAGAGGAACAAGACAAAACTCTCATCGTTATAACTGATGTCAATTTCTCATATCAAAACGAATATTTGGGTTGCACAGATAGATTGGTGATAACTCCGCTAACTGACAGGTACAGAAAATATAATGCATTCAATAATAGCAGCATAATAACGGCAAACATAATATATCTTGCTGTCATCAATAAAATTCACCCAATTTTTCAGATGTTATATCACGCTGGCTCAAGCTCTAGCCATGAGCATGGGAGGAGCTCCATGTGGACCAGCTGGTACGGGAAAAACAGAAACTGTGAAGGATATGGGAAAAACTTTGGCTAAATATGTGGTTGTATTCAATTGTTCTGATCAAATGGACTATCGAGGCCTGGGACGAATATACAAAGGTTTGACAAATGAACAATATTGTGTATAATAGACTGATGAGAAAATGATGTTGAGTTCAATACCACAACATATTGAAAAGCGATTGTATTGTACAATATATCTCCTAATAATATTTCAGGTCTTGCTCAGTCAGGATCTTGGGGCTGTTTTGACGAATTCAATCGGATAGAATTACCAGTTCTCTCAGTAGCGGCTCAACAGGTTGCTGTAGTACTAGCTAGCAAAAAGGAGAAGAAGAAAAGTTTTCAATTCACAGATGGCGACATTATCGAAATGTGTCCCGAATTTGGAATATTCATAACTATGGTAATTAACACAGAATTTATTTTCAAAGATTTCATTTCATTTCATGTATTTTGACTATAGAATTGACAGTTTAGTTATTGATCTCTAAAGATGCTTTGAAGATGCTCTGTTAATAAAAATGATCATCATCAGAAGATGACTGAAACTGATGATGCTCACTTGGTTGATGAAACGCGAGTCATGAAACAGCCATTTTTTCTGATGAGAAGAGAGTGTTTCCAATAGATATTTGGAACACTATCCTTGAAGTGACCTTTTGCAGATTATTTCGTTTTATTCCAGAATCCAGGCTATGCAGGACGAAAAGAACTTCCCGAAAATTTGAAAATTCAATTCAGGACAGTTGCAATGATGGTCCCCGATCGCCAAATCATCATCAGAGTCAAGCTGGCCAGCTGTGGTTTTCTGGAGAATATAACTCTTGCAAGAAAGTTTTATACGCTTTACAAACTGTGTGAGGAACAATTAACAAAACAGGTAAGTACCAAATTGAGATCCATCACTCCTGCATTTACAGAAAAACTGATTTATAGGTTCACTACGACTTTGGCTTGAGGAACATTCTTTCTGTATTACGCAGTCTTGGTGCTTCTAAAAGAGTCAACAACAAAGATACAGAGAGTACAATCGTCATGAGGGTTCTCAGAGATATGAATCTTTCAAAACTGATAGATGAGGATGAGCCTCTTTTCATTTCACTGGTTGCTGATCTTTTTCCAAATCAGGCTCTGGAAAAAACAGCCTACCCAGAGCTAGAGGAAGCTATTAATACCCAGGTTGAAGAAGCTGGTCTAGTAAACCACCCATCGTGGTCTTTGAAATTAATACAGGTAAATATTGATCTATTAAAAAACCTCATAGTCATTAGTAAATCATCAACGTATATTGTTTTTCAGTTATATGAAACACAAAGAGTCAGGCACGGCATAATGACTCTGGGTCCAACAGGAGCAGGAAAAACTACATGCATACAAATCCTAATGAAATCTTTAACTCAAATGGGCGAATCTCACAGGTGAAACGGGTTATTTCTGTTGATTGGAAAATGCTATGTGATGCTCGATTAAAGTGATATTCTCAATTATAAATTTCATTTCAGAGAGATGAGAATGAATCCGAAAGCAATCACAGCTGCTCAAATGTTTGGTAGACTAGATGTGGCTACAAACGACTGGACAGATGGAATATTTTCCGCTCTGTGGCGAAAAACTCTGAAACTGAAACCTGGTGAGTTAACATGATATTGAAAGCTACAACTGTATTCATTCGTTCTGACTCGTAGACCAAGAATAAAGAGCATTTGAGTATTTCAATGATTATAATATATTCTGAAGGGTGTACATATTAGAGCTGCAAGATTACTGATTGCTTGCTATTGTTTTATGGGTTATTTTTATTATGATTGATGATAATAAGTTTCTCAGAAACTCAAATTCGCTTCGAATTCTGATTAGTGCTGTCTCTCTTCTCATACTACTGATTATGATTGCGCCAAGCGCAATAATGCCATCTGATCATGATAGAGATGACGATATTGTTAGTATTGTTAGTAGTAAACTTCAAGAATGTTTCAATTACTTTGAAAGTGATATTTTCACTTAAATCAGTATCAGTTCTCTTACTGTTTTGAATTCATCTACCAAAAAAATTTTTACAAAAAACCAGAAAAGTGACATCACTCTTTCCGATCTGTTGATCGGTGAGTTGGAATGAGTGCTGTGGATGTTCTATAGTGTCTCTATAACATGTCTCTCATTCAAATCACTGTTCAAAAAGCGATCAATGAAACTCAACATTCCAAGGATGTTGAAGTTATACAGTTTCTATCAGAATCCTTATAGTATGTGATCGAGTGAAGCAAATTATAAAAAAACTTAGTTGAAGATCATGATCATTTTATTGGAAATTCCAAAGGTTACGTTCATAGGCAGTGTAATGTCAAATAAAATATTTTCACGCATATGAGTTGTATGATATTGTATGATAATGAAATCAGTTGTATCATAATCACCTCAAGAGGTGAGGTCACCTTAAGAGGTGACGATGAATCTCTAGAATTGGTGAAGTGAAAAAATAAAAAACATTGTATATCGATGAATCCGAAATCAAGATTCAAAGGAAAACTCATTTGCAGTTTTTAGTTATTATACATTTTTCATACTTTATAAGATTCTCTACTGAACCAGAGATCATAGACTCACATCCCAACACGACACACATTTTTATTTCTCAAATGAATCGTATAAAACTTGTTTCATGACTATCGAGCACATAGATGGCGCTAGTCTTACTGCACTCACCGCTTTTTCAGTTGGTACTTACCTTCAAAAGAAATCTGTTGGAATTCTACTCATGAGTTTGTGAGTTATTGTGCTAAGAGTGACACTACTTCAGTTATTTTCAAAACAATGGATCAAAAACAAGTTTACGTTTTAATTGCACACAGCTTCTTGATGAGGAAAAAATACGGGTTGTGAAGTGTTATGAGGACTCCGCTTCATCAAAATCAACAATTGAACTTTGGTTTTCTGACTTCAATTGTGGTCGTAGAGACTGTGATGATGTAGAACTGATGTAGAACGCAGTGGAAGTGCAAATAAGGCAGTAACACCAGAAAACACAGGAAAACATAAAATCGTTTTGCATGATCGAAACTAGGGGTTAAGTGAGTTAGCTGATATTGTAAAGATACCAGGATAACGTATTGGCTTCATATTGCATGCTCATTCGACTATGAGAAAGCTCTGTTCAAAGTAGGAGTCGTGCAAGCTCACTGTTGACGAAAAACAAGAACGTCTTGATGATTCTCAGCAGTATTTGCCCATATTCAAACATGACACACCGAGATTTCTACGTCGATATACGACAATGGACGAAACATGGATCCATTACTTCAGTCCGGAATGAAAACGATCGTCATTCGAGCGGAGAGCAACTGGTGAACCTCACCCAAAGCGTCCGAAAGCACAACAATCGGCTGGAAAGGTTATGGCCTCTGTATTTTGGGATGTGATTGGTGTAATATTCATCGACTGTGTTGAGAAGAAAAATACCAGCAACAGTGAATATTATTTAGCATTATTGGAGTGTTTGAAGGCCAAAATTGAAAATAAACGAGCACATATGGCAAATAAAAAAAATTTGGTTCCATCAAGACAACGCTTCGAATTGCTCCTACATCCACCGTATTCGCCAAATTTGGCTCCCAGCGATCACTGGCTGTTTGCTCCAATGAAGAGGTTATTGCTGAAACTGAGGCAAAAGGTAATTCGTTTTAAAAAAGTGGTATTGAAATGTTATAGCGGCGCTAGAATGATTGTGTGGTTCTTGATCGAGATTGCGTTGATGAATAAAGCCGATTTTGAACAACGGAAAAATGTGCGTCTCGTGACGCCCGACAGAAGTGAAAACTTCACATAAATGTGAAGGTATGACATTTGTCAAAACAAAAAAATCCAATACATGTTTAAAATTCTTCCGTCAATTTATATATTCAATTCATTGTTTTTCGCCCATTTTTACTGCTCTGAAGAAGCTTCCCATTTGAAGCAAAAGCTTGGCAAAGTGAAGCAGAGTTTTGATTTTTGATTTTTTGACTGAGAGACCCATTAATTAATTTTAATGAACATTTCCCCAGTCGCTAAGATTCTCAACTCGATGTGAGGAAAGATATAACATCATTTGTTGATTATTTCGAGTACGTACATATATTATAGTTACCATAGTTATAGTTACCTATAGTTAGAGAGAGAGAGATAAATATACTTCAGTGTTCAAAGAATCAAGTATAATGTACATGTACACAATTTTTTAACCCATGTTTCACATAATTAAAATATATTACGTGATTACTGTCATACTATACTGTAAACAGTATATGTCTAACGCACATTAAACACTGAGCGTATGCCCGACAGAAGAGGAGACGCCTACGTTTCACTGACGTATGCGTGAAAGAAAGGAAAGCCAGACAAACTGGTGCCGATACGCATCAGGTAACTTTCTTCATGATTTTGAGTCATCTGAAATAAATATTCAATGATCCAATCTCGTTTGGGTTTTGCACTGAACCGAATTCTGCCTGAATTATTATTACTTATGAAAGCTATTATTTTTTATGAATGAATAAGTAATTTTCAATATTTTCTGAAAGTTTACCTTTTCTTAAATTCAACCTACCCAGATGAGTCATATCCTCTTGAGATATCAGCACAATATTAATTTTTTGAATTGTTCAGGTGACCACGTTTGGTTAGTACTAGACGGCCCAGTGGACAGCATTTGGATCGAAAACTTAAACTCTGTCCTGGACGATAATAAAACGCTCACGTTAGCCAACGGAGACAGGCTCTCGATGGCTCCCACATGCAAAATAATCTTCGAACCTCACAACATCGACAACGCTTCACCTGCCACCGTTTCCAGAAATGGCATGGTTTACATGAGTTCCTCTGGATTGACTTGGAGGCCGGTGATCAAAGCTTGGCTCAAAGGAAGAAGCCCAAGAGAACAGGATATTTTCAATAATCTCTTTGATGAATCATTCTCGAAGATGTATAGTTGGGGAACTCAGAATTTGACGATGGTGATTGAAGTGCTGCAGTGTAATATTTCCCTGCAGATACTTAAACTATTAGAAGGTGAGAAAAATTGTTAGAGGTCATTTATTTTCAAAGATGGTTAACACTTCTATGGAATAGTAATTATTTTTATTCTGCAATCTGTTCAATTTCTTCATGATAGAAGATAGACCAAATCCATGACTTTTTGCACCCATTGCTCATTTCTTCATGATGAATTGAGTTATCGAATACTTGTTGTATTGTTTTTTGAGGTCTTGTTCCACTACAAGTAGTAGAAGAGGATATATCAGCCGCTAAGTCGGATGCTGGTGACTTGGACGATGATCTACTGGAAGAAACCGAAAAAATTGAAGAAAACAAAATTCTAAGCAATGAACACTTAGCTAAGCTTTACGTTTTTGCCTTGGTTTGGGGAATGGGAGCCTACCTAGAAGCGGACGATCGACTCAAGTATGACGTTTTCATGAAAGAGTCTCTGAGATTCTTAGATTTACCTAAAAATGACAGAAAAAACGTTGGGGTGAGTGGAATTTATCTGCATTGAGTTCAGCTCTTTCTTTAATAGCTTCAATCGATGAATTTATCCCTGTAGAAAGTTAGTGAATATACCAGAGTGATCCCAGCAGCTCCATAAACTTTTTTCAAAGACGTTCAATGGGTTAGATACCGTTTTTATAATAAGTACTGTCTTGCTCCTCAAAATAGCTTCAACTACCCATATCACTTCTTCATCGTTTAAAAATCTTCGAGCACTGAGTCACTTTTTCTTGGTAACAGAAAATAATCCGACGGGACTGAATCTGGCGAATTAAGTACATAAGGTGGCAATTCAAACTTTAAATCGTTAATTTTGGTCATTGCCATAATGGATTTGTGAGCTGTTGCATTGTCTTAATGAAACAACACTTTTTTCTTAGCCGAATGCGTAAGTTCGCATAATACTCGCCGTTGATAGTTTCATCATTTTTAAGATAGTCAATGAAAATTTATCCAACGCGTATCCCAAAAAACCGATATCATGATCCTGCCTGCAGATGAAATGGGCTCCGTCTTCTTTGGAGCCAGTTTCCTCTATTGAGTCCACTGAGTTGATTGTTTTTTGTCTCGGGTGTAAAGTGACGGACCCATATTTCATTCATGGTTATGAAACGACTCAAGAATTCTGTTCAGTTGCTGTAAAACTTCGCTAAACACTCAATTGAAATATCTTCACGACACTGTTTTTGCTCGAGTGTTAGCAAACGCGGCACCCATTTTGCACACAGCTTTCTAATGTCCAAATTTTCAGATAATATACGATGTGCTGTACTTTCTGAAATGCCTACTGAGTTTGCTAACACCTGCACTTCCAGTGAACGACTATTCAAAAGGCTGCTTCTCAAAAGCTTGGAAAACTGTTCCGAACTGAAAGCAACTGTTGATGCTTTATAGAGCTCAGATCAGACCTTCTTTGGAGTATTCTTCTCATGTATGGATCTCTGCCCCAAACATACCCTGAAGTTGCTGGATTTCACCCAGAAAAGAGCCATCTGCCTGACTGGAGACGTGAACATCACGTGCAACCTTGATAGCCTGGAACATCAAAGAAAGGTTGGAGATTTGTTTCTCTTATATAGATACTTTCACGGAGGTCTTGGTACAATTGATTCCACCAAGTGCATATCAGAAATACGCAACGGACTGTGGCTACTCATCGTTTTGAGGTACAACTCAGTACACCTCGAAATTCACTGTTTCAATGTGAATCGCTACTTTCGCCCAAGCATCGCCATGAGAGCGCTTTGAGGATTTGCCTGTAGTGCTTGTGTTATGTGATTGAATGGAAATCTCAATTTTCACAAGTTTACCAAAAAACGTTGGCTATTGACGGCTGCCAAACAAATACCAGACAATGCAGCGTCTTCAAACGTGAAACATATGCTTCACAGGTTGTGTACTAAATTGTATGGAAATGACTTAGTTCAACATCATTCCTTTCAAGAAGACCTCACCTCGATCAGTCAGTGGTGCGAGGATTGACTTCTCCCTCTTAACGTCGACGAATGCGTCGTACTTCATCAAGGAAAGAACAATCCACTCCATACGTACACAATAAGCGGCCAATCGTTACGTACAGTGTCCTCACATGTAGGCTTGGGAGTGACTAAATACCGACTCAACATGGTCCGAACATATAATATCCACATGCAATCGCGCAAACACACTGATTTACACTATCCGCAAAACGTTCCTCAGTCTATCATATTCAAGTTCCATAAAACTCTACAAAACCTACGTTCGTCAAATCATGGAGTATGCAGGTCCAGTGTGGTGTCCTGTTCTGGTGTGCGATAGGGATTTGTTGGAAAATGTACAGCGTCGAGCCACACGTATGACTTTTGGTGAAGTGCGTCCAACCTATCTCGAAAGACTGAGGATGGCACAACTGCTAGCTTTTGACCAACGTCGACTCCGTGGGAACCTCATTATATCTTTTCGTACAGCTAAGTATAACTATGCTAATCAGAAAGAACTTTTTGTTTTCAACAATATATCAATATATCACTTTCACGCTTCTAATTTTCATCGAGTCGTTTACGATTAATTCTAAAACCGGCAACGCTACATTGCCCCATAAACAATGATTCATTGTACAACCGGCAACGCCGAACCTGCCATGCTGGCATGTATTGACATTTGACAGATGCAGTCTTATGAGTCTAGTGTTTACAGTGTCATTCTTCAACCAATAGATAGTTCAACTAGTGACTCATAGATGACTTTGTGGGTTCTATAACTTTTGTTGTTTTCATATACTTTTGTATCGATGAATCGAGCGCTTATCTTTGTGTGGTTACCGATAACAGGACATGAAACAATTCTGTACGATAAATTCTTCAAATGAATCTCTCAATATCCTATACGCAAAGCCACGTAAATTCATACGGAAAACTATGGAGGCTCTTACACACACATACACATCTTTATATGAAATATTAATTATTTTCCAAATCTAAGTATATTTTCCTATCTTCAACATGATAATGATGATAAAACTAACGCTGTAAATACCCAACATTCGCAGTTAACTCCAATTTACGTTGGTGTGGAGGCTAAGGACAAAGTCTACCGCGCGGACGTCGTGGGTTTGAATCTCTTAAATATAAACTTTTTTTGATTAAAATCACTTGACCGGAACGTGACAAGGGGGCCGAGGGGTGATGCGGAGACGCAAGAGGGGCTGATAGGTGAGGCGGAGTACTAAGGGGGCCGAGAGCAAGGGGGTCCACGCTCTTTGGACCTCTCCGATATTCATTTCATCCTGCGTCGATGACGTTTCCCCCACTTCTGTTTGCGCCAGAATCGGCCTTGTTCATCTATTATTCGCGGTTACGTGGTCACACACTAAAATAAAAAAAGGAAAAATTCGCAACGAGGCAGAGACAATATTTTTTGGTGAATCGTATTTTCGAAACACCGAATAACTTACCCAACGATATTATGAATTCCGACTCAGTGAACAGTTTCAAAAACAAAATAGACATTTGCTCATTTGCTTAATCGGCTCTATGCATATATTAATTATTTTTATTTTCCTTTTGCATGCATTGTATTAACTTGTTGATATCCTTCGTTTTTTGGCTTACATTGGACACTGTCCTCAGCCTTATAGTAATAATAATAATAATAACAATAATAACTTTCTACAGATGGGATCGAATATATCATTCTACTACCGGAGAAGAAACATCATTCTTCTTTCTTATTAGTCAGTGGGTTATGCTTGAAGACTGGCAGTAAACAAATCTGAAGAAATGTAAACTTTGTAGGTATATCCAAGACTGGCTTGAACATTTGAAGTTCATTTCTTCAGATCCTTCTTCTTTCCTGTTTGGGGCTTTGTTCACGAGATGGATCTTTCTTAGACTGAGGTTTTATACATGCAGTTGAGCCGCGTTGTCCGAGACACTTTGGGTCGATTCTTTTCTGCATTGATGAAAGCCAAACCCTCAAAATCCGTCTGTAGGTGAAGCTGCTCTATGAAGGAGAAACATCTGCGATGCGAACCTCTGTGGGTATCTTGCATAAATGTCTGTCGAATATCATCCAATATTCAGCGTGGTATTAGCCAGGAAACTAGTTGTTTTCTGGCAGGCATTTACCAGAACCTACGGTGTAGGTTGTTGGGAGGGATGAATATTTAGAAATTCCATGTCGAAATATTAATTTTCTAGTACATATATATCTCTCCTCGATGAAGCCTTCAGACCTGGTTATTATTATTATATTATAGCAGCCTCTGAAATTTCAATTTTTTTTCTAGGCAACTGTCTTCGACTATGTTGTGAACTCTGATGGAGAATGGGTTCCTTGGAGTTCCATGGTTACAAATTACGTATATCCAGAAACTGCCACTCCAGAATTTGCTTCCATATTGATTCCAATTCCTGATAACGTCAGAATAAATTACCTGATTGATACCATTGCTCGTCAAGAAAAAGCTGTCCTACTCATTGGAGAACAAGGTAATATCGTGAGTGGAAAATGTATTCTCAATTAAATTAATTCAAAAAATGTATGGAGTACTATCAATCCTGATACCTGTTTTGTTCCTTATATATTTCAATTTTGTGGCTATGGTGGAATTACAAATGTTTACAATGGAAATAGTGTATAAGAAATCAAAATTAATGTTTCGAAAGAGTTTAATCAAATGTAATTATGACTCGAATGTCAAAATTTCAGAAATTTTCGTATACATTGTTTCAAAAAGGTTTTCATCAATTGATTTGAAAATAAGAATATTAAATACTCTCATAGTTCGAAATTTCTTCGTCTCATTGGAAATTCATCATGAAAACAACATATTGAAACGATGAGAACGAAAATAGCTTCTTCAATTGAAATTTATTCCAAAATAAGAAATTCTGTATCAATGAAATATTTTGAATTCAATAATTTCTCATTATAGTTTCACAAGAACTGTTGAAAATGACTATCCCCCGCTCGGATGCAAGAATCCAATCTTCTCCTCGTCGTCTTTCGAACTCTTTCAAAAAACACCAGGATCGTTTCTGATTGTGTTACACCCAGCAATTATCCGATTTCTCAAATCTTCCACATCTTCCACTGAAGTAGTATAAACTAATGAAATTAGGTGGCCCCATAGTAAATAATCCAGGGGGTTTGAATCCGGTGATTGAGCAGGCCATCAGTGAGGTCCATCTCGATCAATTCAGCAATCTCCGTATGTTACTGGTAAAAACTCTCGAGCGAATATGCTAAAATGCGCTGGTGCACCATCGTGCATAAACCACATTGCATTTTTCCAACCAATGTTGGACCGGTATGTACCATTGGTACATACCGGTCCAATTAGGAAGTCACCTAAAACTTCCACTCCAACGTTCAACGATACCTGATGTTATCAGGTATCATGGAAATTCCTTATGATATTTCTTGAGAAACTGGCTCCACCAGTGAAAATAATAAGCGTCAGTAGTTGAGGGATTTGAACCAATGTGAGCAAAAGCCATTGGCAGAATGCAATACGTGGAAAAATAATCTGCAGGAAGAAGTGGCTGAACTCGTTGTGTGTGGTATGGGTACAAAAAATAGTCTCCAAGAATGTTCCAAACTGTCCCGTTGCTTACATTTGAAGTATTTGCAATTTTTCGAAGAGAGGTACCTGGATCTTCTTTCATCATAGCCAGCACATTCTCTTCTACTTCTACCGTTCTTACTACCATTGTCCTTCCCCGTCCTCTATTTTGCTTCCATGCTCCTGCTTCTTGAAGTCGTTGATGAATACTTTTGAAGGTTTTCCTATTAGGCACATTACGATTAGGAAATCGTTCACTGTATAACCGCCTATCTTCCAATGAATTGCCATCAGCAAGTCATAAATGGAATGCATATCTGCCATCTCTGCGTTACTATAGCCATTGATGATAAAGAATTTCACTAACAAGACTTTATCTATTGAAATCAGTCTCAACATATTCGATACATACCAATGATCCCCATGGGTTGGGTTACCTATTGGGCGCGTCCCCAGGTGGTGGATAGGGAAACGACCAGGGATCTGGAGACCCTGCCCGGAAAGCCAATGTGGCCTCACCGACGGGTTCGCTAGTCAGTGGTAGAAATAAGTAGGGTGAGGGGAACTAAAACCCCCGCAAAAGCCTTTGCAAAACATGCCACCGTGGACCAGCCTACCCAAGCTAAGGAGTAAGGAATCGTGCCGACAGCTGAGTGGCCGCAGGGTGATATGTGGTCACGAACGATCCCCTTGGGGGACTGGGCGAAACCTCATTGTAATTAGCCTACTTCTGGTGATGCGGGGCTCTGCCAGAGGTGACCAACTCTTCCCTTGCTACAGAAATTTCCACCCCAATCTACCGCTTGGAATGAGGCGGGACATAGCAGATCATCTCCAACAGCAAGGGCACTTCCTGCAGTGGGTGCCAAGAGCTCCACCTTGAATGAAGGCAAGGAACCGGCTGCTCCTGCAGGAAAGCTCCCTCACTTGTGCACCTCCACGGAGGGAACCACGCAACGACAGTAATATCGCTGCACCTTGCAAAACCTTCCCAGAGGCCACCGTGATACACCTCAAAGTTGCCAAAGAGAGTGTGTGTTCAGCGAGTCTTGGCCTACACCTGCCAATATAAGGGAGATGTCTCCTGGTGACTTGTTCACCTTCCTGGAAAGGACAGGATGGGCGATGACCTAGGAGGACAACTCTTCGGGAGAATGTACAATTGGTCACATTAGGCCTAAGTGCTGTTGGTCTACACTCACCCTCCCTACTCTACAGATACAGAGATACCAATGATCACTTAAGAGATATAGGTACTACTCAAATTGAATGTCTGCAGCCATTTGTAGTAATCGGTTGTTGTTGATAGGTACAACTACTTGGTAGGTCCAGTGTAGTACGCTATATTTTTATTTCTGGTACGTTGATAATTTTAAAATTACCAAAATTGTTATTGTCGGATGAAATATCCTTCTAGTAGTCGAATAGTTAAATTTTTTGCCGCATGTTTAATAAACACCCTGTGTACCCAAAAACCCTTAAGATTTGAACGAATATGATAATATATTCGAAAATTTTAATGTATTGTTCTTTTTTAAATTTCTTTAATATATGGGTAACATTGTCTTTGCTATGGATATTTGATGTTTCTTAGAATTGATGAATTCATCATTCTCCATTGACATTCTTTGGAGAATATTAAATATCGTGAAAGATGAGATACAAATGAAAAATGTTCATGATGATTTCCTACCACATAGTAACGGCTACTTTCATCAATTTATTTTAAATAGTGTCTCGCATAATTCAATACACACTGAAGGGTATTTATTCATTCATTTATTTTTGAATCTTCACAATTTCCAAAGAGTTTGATAAATTACTCGTATCATTGCAGGTACCGCAAAAACCATCATGATGAAGTCCTACATGAAAAAAGCAAACCCAGAAGTCTATCTGAATAGGGCTTTCAATTTCTCCAGTGCCACAAGTCCCTATCAGTTCCAAAAAACACTCGAGAGTTACGTAGAAAAGCGAATGGGAAACACTTTCGGCCCTCCCAATGGAAAGAAAATGCTAGTGTTCGTTGATGATATAAACCTGCCAGAGATAAATTGTTGGGGAGATCAGGTAAAAAAGCACTCATCATCTTCTGAGGTCGAAACGTCTACCACTATTTTCAGATAACGAATGAAATCGTGAGGCAGGCCATGGACATGGGTGGTTTCTACAGCTTGGAAAAACCAGGCGAATTCACAACAATCACTGACCTACAGTTTGTAGCTGCGATGGGGCAACCAGGAGGCGGAAGAAATGATATTCCTTCAAGACTGAAGAGGCAGTTCTGCATGTTCAATTGCCCATTACCGACAGATAGCTCTATCGACAGAATATTCGGTGTTATCGCTCAAGGGCACTATAATATCAAAAGGGGGTTCACTTTAGAGGTGAGGAATTTGATCAAGAAAATGATTCCACTAACGAGAGTATTATGGAGAAACACGAGACTGAAGCTTTTGCCAACACCAGCTAAGTTTCACTACGTTTTTTCACTGAGGGATCTTTCGAGGGTGTGGCAAGGAATGGTTTGTATTTTAATTATTATTATTCCATTTTCATCACTTCTGAATGTGATGCTTTGATTGATTTCATAAAAACTCGATTCTGATGTAGATATCCCGTCGTTTCTCATCATTCACCTATTAGAAATATTTGGTGTCAGGTGTATACCTGTCAGAAATATTTGGTGTCAGGTGTGTACCTCAAATATGTGATGGCCGATATTTGATGAAAGTACATAACGTATTCAAGAAACATTGTGTTTTTTTCAAACTATTTAGTGACAATCCCAAGGTGAAGTACCACAAAATTATTTTTTATTTCAGATTGGCACTCTCTCTACAGTTATTGAATCAGAGGGATGTATGATGGTTTTGTGGAAGCACGAATGCACACGAGTGTTTTCCGACAGATTCACTATAGAAAGTGATAAAAAATGGTTCAATGAGGAATTACTCAACTTGGTGGAAGAACATCTAGGACCTGAATTTCGAGTGAAGACAGAACCAAGTCCCGTATTCGTTGATTTTATGAGGTAATTGATGAATTCGTCCAAAGTAATAGTAATGATGAAAGGTCTTAATTTTACGTGTCGAAGTTTAGCAGAACGCTAATCTTCCAGCAACCACGTTTTGAAAAACATTACGAACAATGCAATTCTATTCAGTTTTTTATACTATTGAACTATAAATATATGTATAATATCTTGGCATTGTCCTTGATGAAATACTGACCTGGAACGCTCACTTGGAAAAAGTTTTACACAAAGCCAGACTGTCTCTATGGACATGTCGAAGGATTCGTGGTAAAACTTGGGGTTAAGGTCCCAAACAAATCCATTGAATTTATGAGATGATTGTCAGACCAATGATCACTTGTGGTGCAATTGCTTGGTGGCCGAAGACTTTCCAGAAAACGGCCTAAACGAAGCTCTCTAGCTTACAGAGACAGGCTTGTTTGGCTATCAGTGGTGCCGTCAGTACCACACCGTCAGCGGCCATGAAAATCCTTCTGGATTCACCTCCTCTCCACATTTTCTGGAGAGAGAGGCTAGATGGACTGCATACAGACTTGTGCACATTGCCAATTGCATAAATCGATTCTATGCAGAGTGCAATAGACTGTTGGTTGACACTGGAAGTCACAGCATTCTGGAAATGACCTCTGACTTTATGCCCCCAACTGTCAACTATGAACTGCCTTATGAAGTACTATTCCCGAGTAGATAGGACTGGATCCTCCGCGAGAAGGAAAGGATCACAGAAGGATCAAAAACATCTTTCGGTTCTGGTGCAGGTGTTTTCAGTCGCAGACCTAGGACAGAGCTATCTACCTGCCTAGGTACATATGCGACTGTATTTCAAGCGGAAATTTACGCTATTGAACTGTGTACGGAGAGATTGGATAAATCCAACCTCTTACAGTCGAGCGGCGTTGGAATCTCTTGGCTCCTACCGAGCAACATCTAAATTGGCAGCAAACTGACAAAAACGACTCTCCTCGATAGGAAGACTTAACAGATTGTCTCGGGTCTGGATTCCTGGCCATATTGGCCTGGAAGGCAATGAAGTTGCTGACTCTCTTGCAAAGAAGGGTACTGCGAGCGGCTTCATTGGACCAGAACCTGTCATTGCATTGCTTTGGGATTTGCCAAACAAACACTGAACACCTGGATGGCAAGAAGATTTATGGACTTCTAGCCGAATCTTCCAGGATTGGCTCACTCCAAGGCGTTTGTTCACCCTTCGAAACTTGATACCAAACAGTTGTTGGCACTACAGTTGGGATGAACTACGATGTCTAACAGGCCTTCTTACAGGTCACTGTCATTAGAATCATCATATGAAGAGACTTGAACTGTCGAAAGACAGTGTGTGTCGCCTCTGTCTGGAAAATGATGAAACAGCAGAGCATTCACTTTGTGCTTGCCCCGCTGGGGACCGAATCAGGTTCTTAGAGTTCGGCAAATCCGTACTCTCACCATGTGACCTGAAAGACCACTCACCATAAAAACTAATCGGCTTCGTTAAGAAGCTGGGTTTATTTGGTCGAGTGGGAATAGCTGTGAGCCACAATAAACCCTTGTGGGTTGCGGTGGAGGGTCGAATAGACCCACCCACTTCAGACCTACCTACCTACCTATCTACCTACTATTAACATGAATATTTGTGTTTGTAGATCATTATTGGCTGAGCAAACTCTTTTTAGGTTAGGTATTGGAATAGCGGTAATTACAAATATTTCAAAGTTTGACTGAATCAATCATAAATTGGTACAGCTTGATACGTGACGGATCGTTTATAGAAAGTATGTTATGAAGTTCCGTGGATGTATCTGATGTCTTAATTCTTACGGATGTTGTGAAATCCAGAAAAGGGCAATATCACAGTGACTGAACATAGATAGAATTTTGAGCGATCTGGTGGAGTAGTTTCAATTTGAATACCGATGTTTCAATATATATTTTGATGAACAAAGATTTAAGATCCAAAGTACTTTTTCAAACTTGTCTATATTGATCTTCACAGTCAAACTGATTAATAATAATCGCGATTTATTTTGCCAAGAAACATACATGTCCAATAAAACAAATACAGACTCCAGAGAATCTACTTGTAATGCACTGTGTGGAACCTTGGGTGTAATGAATTTTCCTGGAGTTTTCTCCCAACACCAAACCGTTATTTAACACTTCGACGCGTGTTTTGATCACCAAGTGATCATCTTCCAGAGAAAGATTGAACAGTTCAATCTTCCTTTTGAAGATGATCACTTGGTGATCAAAACACGTGTCGAGGTGCTAAAATAACGGTTTGGTATTGTTTTTTCTGATTTTGTATATTGAATTTTTGAAGCAACTAATAGAGAATAAATCAATTCAAAATATTTCAATGGACAAAAAATCTCATTTTGAATGAAATTCCAATTCTAAAATATCATCACCAAAATGAGTTTCTATCTAAAACGAGACCCAGAAATTACGAATTAGAAGAGTATTCATTTTATTTCATTTCAGGTTTTTTTGCGTAATATAATTCTTGTTTCCAGCTATTCATTTTTATTTTATCAATTTGTGCTTTCAGAAATTTCAAATCAATTTATATCATATTAGATAATGGAAGTCCGAACTAATGATATTCACATTGAAACATTGTCAACCACCTTCAAATAAACGAGTATGCAATATGTTCATTATGGAATTTAATTGGATCTTTTGATATAGACCTTTTCAGGATAAACATTTACGAAGATTTCTGATAATTCAATAACATTTCATCACATTGAAGCTACAATGATATTTAATCAAGGTCCTTTGGAATATTGTTGTTAATTTCTTGTTAAGAAACAAAACGGGTCCCAGTATTGATCCTTGGGGTGCCTCACCTACTATATTTTTTTTAATAATCATGTCTCCCATATAAAACTACTGCTGCCCATTCTTTTGGAACTAATCATAAACTAATCCTCGGACACCCATATCATGCATTATTTTCAGAATTATTTCATGACTGCAGTAGCACATACTTTCTGTAGGTCTATTGAAAGAACTCCATATTTTCTATCGATTTCAAATATAGCTGGAATTGGGTTATGGAGTCTAATACTTATACGGCGGACTCCGTGTCAATACGGATTTTTAAAAGCTCCGATACGTTTGACACGTATTGGAACTTTTCTCGAATCTAACATACTAATCATTCCTTCTATTTCTTCTGATTTGGTAGGGTTGCATGGACGATAATTTTGATTACTCTTCATTCTGAGTAGAAATGTTGGATAATAAAATTATACCTACACTAACAAAATAATTGTTGGAACTCACACGAATATCTTGTAGATTTTCAATTTTGTTTCCATCCACAGATATAATTAATTTGACTTTTTTGTCAGAGATGCACCGGAACCAACTGGTGAAGAAGGCGAAGACGCTGATATGGAACTCCCCAAAGTGTATGAACCTGTTAGTGATGAGAATGAACTCCGCGAACGTCTAGACATGTTCTTGGCTCAATTCAACGAAATGGTAAGAGGCTCTGGAATGGATTTGGTCTTCTTCCCTGATGCCATGCTCCATTTGGTGAAAATATCAAGAGTGATAAGACATCCCAGAGGCAATGTTATGCTTGTTGGTGAGTTTGGTGAAATGAAAGTACACCCATTGAATAACAGATCTATTGTGAATTACAGGAGTTGGAGGAAGCGGAAAACAATCGCTCACCAAACTCTCCTCCTTCATAGCGGGCTACAAAACGTTCCAGATATCTTTGACTCGCTCCTATAATATCGCCAACTTTCTGGAAGACCTGAAAGTCCTGTATAGATCCTGCGGTTGCCAGGGAAAAGGAACGACATTCATCTTCACCGACCTGGACATCAAAGAGGAAGGATTTCTGGAGTATCTCAATAATATCCTTTCCTCAGGAGTTATTTCAAACTTATTCACTAAAGATGATCAGGCGGAGATCATTCAAGAATTGACTCCAATCATGAAGAGAGAAAATCCAAAAAGAACTCTCAACCAGGAAATTGTTATGGAATACTTCATGAACCGTACTTGCCAGAATTTACATGTAGTATTCTGCTTTTCCCCTGTAAGTATGATCAGCTAACGCAGATGTGTATATGACATCTGGATTATGATTCATAGATAGGTATCAATTGAGGTAATATTGTTACAGGTCGGTGAAAAATTTCGAAATAGAGCCCTTCGGTTTCCAGCTCTGATCTCTGGATGTACCATCGACTGGTTCCAACCGTGGCCCCGAGATGCTTTAGTTTCTGTGGCGAAGCATTTTCTCACAGAATTCAAAATTGCTTGCACAGATGAAGTGAAATATCAGCTGGTAACCGCACTTGGATCCATTCAAGATGTAGTTGCTGCAACTTCTTTGGAGTATTTCCAAAGGTATTATCACGTATTGTATATAGAGGTCTTGAATGGTAGCAGCCTAGGAAATAGTAACTACAAATTACTGCTTCTATGAATACACTCGCATTTGCACCAATTAATACCGAAACTATTTGTATTCCAGATTTCGTAGGGCAACCCACGTTACACCGAAATCGTATTTGAATTTCATCGCAGGCTACAAGAGCATCTACAACAATAAACAGAAAGAATTGAGTGATGGGGTATTACGCATGGACACCGGTTTGGAGAAACTTGCCGAAGCCTCCTCTTCTGTGTTGATTTTGAAGAAAGAACTAGCTGTGATGGAGAAAGAACTAGCAGACGCCTCTCAAAGAGCTGAAAGAGTTCTAACAGAGGTAAGAGTTGGTTGGCATGTTAAATCACTGGTTCAAAATATTCAGTGGAAATCATCATCAGAATATAATTACAAGATTTTTCTTGCCAAACTATATCTCTTGAATGTGTCTCGTAAAATGTGTCTCTTGAAATGTGTCTACTAGAATATCTCTCTTGAAAGTGTCTATTAGAATGTCTCCCTTGAAATGTGTCTATTAGAATGTCTCTCTTGAAATGTGTCTATTAGAATGTCTCTCTTGAAATGTGTCTATTAGAATGTCTCTCTTGAAATGTGTCTGTTAGAATGTCTCTTTTGAAATGTGTCTTTCAGAATATCTTTCTTGTAATGTGTCTATTAGAATGTCTCTCTTGAAATGTGTCTATTAGAATGTCTCTCTTGAAATGTGTCTATTAGAATGTCTCTCTTGAAATGTGTCTATTGGAATGTCTCTCAAGAAATGTGTCTATTGTAATATCTCTTTTGAGATGTGTTTTTTGAAAATCTGTCTTACGAATAAGTCTTGAATGTGTCTCTCAAAATGTGTCTATTGGAATTTGCCACTTTTTAAAGAAAAAATTGGTTGGTTGGAATATTTTTTTTATAAATGACAGAACACAAGCCCTACAGAAAAATCATTAAGGCGAGTCATTTTTCAGTTTCAAGTACATTATCTGCATCTTTATTATCTTTTTCATCCAATGAAACCGTTTGACATAGAAATTTTTGTTTACTCATTTTATTTTTATGAGTCTACAATATATTGTAATATCTCATTGAATTGTTTATCAATTCAATCGAAATAAGCGACATTTTAATCAGTGTACTTTTGCGAACGTAACAGAAGTTGAATAATTGCGTGAGTATACGTTTGATACTTGTCAAATTCATTCGAAAGTACCAGAAATGAAAATGAAATCACTTTACAAATAATAATGACGTGGGAAAAAAATGCAAAGCAAATGAATCGTAACAACTAAAATAGTGAACAGAAAATAGCAAAAGGAATCAATGGACCTTTGTTCTACTTCCAGGTGACAGAAAGAGCGATGCAAGCGGAAATTGTAAAAAATCAAGTTCAAAAAGTGAAAGAAAAGGCGGAAATACTGGTTTCGTCTATAGCAGTGGAGAAGGCTTTGGCAGAAGAAAAGTTAGAAGCTGCAAAACCCGCTCTTGAAGAAGCAGAAGCAGCCTTAAATACCATAAAACCGGCTCATATTGGTGAGTTATTATTTCTTCTATATCGCTTGACATCGACTAAACTTGATGGAATGGAAAGTGATGGCAGAAATATACTGTGCCTTCCTTCAATGACTCCCCCTTTATTTTTTAAACTGGTCAACTCAAAAAATTGACATTAGGGATAATGAAATTATTGCATGAATACTTTACTTTGAAATTAACAGATGAAACTTTCAAGATGGCGACTGGGCGCCATCTGGAAAAAATAAAGGAGGGTCTTGTGATACATTTATTTGAAGCTCCTAGAACCCTAGAATATAATGTCAATATCTTCAACTACTACAAAATGGCGGAACTTTTAATAATTGACTGAATACATAGACATTTAACTACATAATATGAGGTGATAAGCTTGAGGTTCGTTCAGAAGATACTCGAAATGGTTGCCTTGAACTTCTTGACATATGAACGCCGAACATTTTCGAACACAGTAACGTCAAAATCTCTACAAATATTTATTATTCACTGCCATAAATCCAATATTGAAGCAGGTTCAGTTTCGTACACCTTTTGCTTCAAATAGCCCCATAAAAAAAGTCCAAAGGTGTCAAATCTGGCGAGCGAGCTGGTTATTCAAACACAGTTTCCCTGTTAAATTTTGATCAATAAATAGAGGTCCTGCAATATGGTTTCCCAATATTCCTGCCCAATCGTTAATTTTTTCTCGATATTGGGTATGTGTTTCCCGGAAAACGTGAGGGTTTTGTCACCCCAATAACGGCCATTTTGTCTGAGAACATTGCCGTTTAAAAAAATGTACATTCGCCAAGTATTTATGAAATAATTTCATTATCCCAAATTTCAATTTTTTGAGTTGGCCCGTTCAAAAAATAAATGGGGTGGGGAGCATTAAATAAATGCACTGTATCGTAAGCTTTGACAGTAGTTGATTTACTTTTGAAAAACTCAAAAGTGCTTCTTTTGGCTCTGGATCTTTTGGATCTGGGTAGTACCAGTGATGAAATCTGTGGTAAAGAAAAATGACGAAAATAGTATCTGTTCTGCAACGGTCTCAGTGCAGAAAGTCGAAACCTCTTCATCATACTTTTTTTTGCAGCAACTGTAAGAAAGTTGGGCAGACCACCACATTTGATCATGAGGATAATGGATTGTGTACTGATTTTATTTCAAAGGAAATTACATCCCATTATTCCAGACACTGGGGCTTCCTGTCCGAAGCCATCCTGGGCTGAATCTTTGAAGGTAAGAAAAATTGAACAGGGTATATTTTTGCTATCCGACGTTTCGTCTGCCGGCCACAACCATCAACTTTATTTTTTCTTATGGGCGCTATATTGAATTCTTTCTGTTTTGAATAGAACCAGATTTTACCTTTCCAATGATGTATCATAAGTTATCATTATATTTCAAAAATTGGAGATATTGAAAAAAAATAATTCTTATCATAATAGGCTTTGACTTTCATGTTTCTAAATTTGACTTTCAATTTGTTACACTGAATGACATTTTGTTATTTTACAAGTCATTGAATTTTTGGCGAAAAGTGGCTTTCACGAAAGAAGAAAAAAGAGATTTGATACAAATTTATTACAAATACGATAGAAACAGTGTTAGGACATCGGAAAATTTGTATCCCGAAAGACGACAACCACATCGAACTATGTTCAAGTTATTGGATCAAAGTCTCACCGAGTTTGGATCATTTGAAAGCCGAGGAAAAAATACAGAGACTGAATGGATCAGAAAACTGGCATTTATAAGCTATTGTCTGTTCAGAAATGAGAGAGACTACATCAGTATATCAGTTCAGTATATCAGTTCAGAAATGAGAGAGACTACATCAGTATATCTATATATATTTTAGTGCCATAGGCGTACTGTATTCAAATTATTTACTCTCAACGAATTGAGTAAATGAATTTATACGACTAAAATACAATATTTATTCTTGAAAACTTGAAAAAAAAATTACAAATCTACTATGACAAATGTTAGCTTTTTATTGGGGTTATTAGTGATATTCTTCAGTTTACTTCGAGAGCGCGTTGAATAAACAGCTATACAACATGGAAGCTAGTTGTTCGGAAATCGTGAAGCGTCTGAAATTGTCACCATTAAATATAAATGAAAAAACAATTATTATGAATGTATATAATTCTTTTAGAATACAATATCCACCCGAAATAAAAAGTCCTAAGGAGGAAGTAGTGCAAAAATGCGCGAGTATGACCGGTGTCAATAGATCGACAATTTTTAGAATTCTCAAGAAACTCAAGGAAAACAACAACTTTTTTGAGCCGAAAGTATCCACTGGTAGAAAGTGTTTGGTTATCGATGAAGAAGTCAAGAATCCTATTAGGAGAACAGTGCACTCTTTTTACATAAAAAACGAAATACCCACATTAAATAAAGTTTTGTCAGTTATTCAAGAAGACAGTTTTTTCCCGATATAAGAAGAACTCGATTATGGAAGAGCTGAATTTAACTTTTGGAAAGCAAGATTGAAAGAGCATGTTAATATAAAAATCAGAGATTTTGGATTGGAGAAGAAACTATTTAAGAGAAATAAAGAAAGCCAGAGCACTAGGTAAATATATCATTCATTTGGATGAAACATGGATCAATGAGTGTCATACCGTCTCGAGGGTTTGGCAAGATCAGAACATCAAAAGTGGAAGACAAGCCTTTATGGAAGGTTGGTCCACTGGTTTGAAAATTCCAGTTGGAAAAGGTCGTCGTCTCATCAGCAGCAGTGAAAGATTCGTGAAAGATGACTGATGATGTTTGAATCGAAGAAAAGTTGGGATTATCATCAAGAAATGGATGCCACAGTATTCGAAAAATGGTTTGGAACATTCTTGTAAAACTACCGCAGGGATCCGTAATAGTAATGGGTAACGCAAGTTACCACAGTAGACGAGTCGAGAAGCTGCCGATGTCGTGTTGGAAGAAAGCAGATGAAAGCTATTCCTTTTGAATCGACCATGTTAAAAGTGAAGCTCCTCAACTTGGCTGAACGTTATAAGTCAAAATTCGTCAGGTATGCCACCAATGAGATGGCGAAAACTGAAGGAATGTCGGTTCGTCGGTTGCCGCCTTATCACTGTGAAATGAATCCATAGAGTTGCTTTGGGCTCAAGTTGAAGGATTCATCGCAAGGAATAATAAGACCTTCAAGCTGTGTGAAGTAAAGAAATACCTATACAGTACTTTGGAAACAGTCGACCAAAAAGCTTGTGGAACAAGCAGAATAGAAACACAGATGTGTGATCTGGGTGATCGCATAGACTCATTATCAAAAAAAATCATTCCAGTTGTCATCAATTCTAATGAAACTGATTCATCCAGTGAAGAATCACTCAATGAATCCCAGTGGACTATTTTCATATTAAAATTATCGCGATGTCTTATTCGAAGTAAGTATTCCCATTAAATCTATAAAATTGTTTCTGATTTAACTATAAAATCCAATAAGGAGTATATAAACCAACCAAACTAACAAGAATATATGAAGTGCATCTCTCAGTGTAGCCACACTTTTCTGCTTCCTGAAAATGTCAAAGTCGAAGCCGAAACGTCAAACAACGCAGAATTTTTAACGCGGTTCAACTCGAAATCAGATATTCAAATAACCGCGGAAATCTATTCTATTTGTACACTTATCTGGCGATGTTTCGAATACTGTATCTATCTTCATTATCATACCGACGATCAATTTGATATTATCAGTGTCAATGATAATAATAATATCAAATTTATTCACATCAAAAGACGAATCATAACTACAGATTATAATGTTTTGATTTGAATAGGTCCTTCCGAAAATAAAAATATTTAAACAAAATTAGTTTTCACCATATTTTAATTATCTTCTCATCATACAGAATATACCACCAGTCCAACGCCTATCAATATTATCTTAAACGTAATATCAGAAAAAAACATCGAGCGGTTTTTCTGGCTGTATTTTCGTATTCTTTGTCGGTGTTTTCGCGTTCTTTGTCGCATATCCCTATTTTAATGGCTCGTCAGCGGCGTCTTCAAGGGATATAGAGGGTAGACAAATCTCAATGATTTTGTGGGTGAATTGCATGCTATTTGCTTGAGGCGACTATGTTGATTTCTTTGATGTAGCGACATGTTTGCATTCTTGAAATTCTTTTACTCTCAGACAATACTGAACGAACTACAATAATCACCAAACAGAGAACCGTGGCATTACTACAATTCACGATGTGGAAATCATTATTATTCTGATTTCTTGACCTCTTCATCGTCGTAATCAGAATGTTTTCAAAACATGATATAAGTTATTAGTGTTCATTTAGTTCGCATCAAGCAACGAACTGAGAACTTTTGTGCGATAATGTCAGTGTTGAATAAAAGTAACAGGCAAGTATCACACTTTATTTTATAAATTATTCAGTGAACTCAAAGTTATGTATGAAGATGCAATAGACATTTCCCCTTCCCGAAGTCAAATATTTTGTCAAAAACTCTTGACCTACTCTTGATGCAGACATACACACAGGGGCCAATCGCTTGATAACCCCAAATTGATATTGTGATGTTTACGTTATCGGCTTCAAACTTCTACATCTTTATATCAAAAATTAATCTCCCCCAGGAATGAAAATGAGTCTAAAGACTGGATTTCTTTATGTTTGTCTGAATGAGACACTATTATTATGCATAAAGAAGTATATTACAGAGTACATTTAATTTGGATATGTGCTCAATAGAATTCCTGTCTGGTGATCTTGTTGGCCACAGTAACCTTTCAATCTCTAGTGCATTTTGTGAAGAATGAAGTCATTAAGTACTGTCATGGTGAAATAACTAGTTTTAAATCCTCCGTAGCAAAAATCATGATGTTATGAATGAAATGAGCTAGGTTAGGTTAGGTTAGGTCCAGAGTGAGTGGGTCTATTGGACCCTCCATCGCAACCCGCAAGGGTTTATTGTGGCTCACACATATTCACATTCGACCAAATAAATCCAGCTTCTCAACGAAACCGATCAGTTTGTATGGTGAGTCTTTTAGGTTGGATGGTAAAAGTACGGATGACATGAGTACTTCATATTTAATGTTATCCAGATGGTGCTGAAAAGGCGATATGGCAAGAGTCTTATAACGAAAAATCGATGTCCGCTTTTAGAGACGACAGTGTTCTATATAATATTCAATTTCACCTCTTTCATGTACTATATTAATTCATTCATTTGTATTTTCTCATAACATAAAATTACAATAATTATTAATATCTGAAAAACTACAGCTGAGGCTAGAAACAACATGTACCGGAAGAGTAATGTTTGTCTTAGTTCCAGTCCTAAAAAAGAAAAATAGAGGAAAAAGAGGATGGAGAGAGAAAACATGTTAATTGTTCATAATGAATATTTTACAGAAGTATGAAATCTTTGAAATCAATGACTCTCTGATTGACCACTGATGAGCTATTTTTTGTAACAGCAATTGAATAAGAAAAATTTACTAACTAATTATTATGAAGTATTATGTTATAATTGAAGAATCGACGATTAAAAGTGATTCGATAGGGAGGAGGGAAAAGTAACCTTCCCAACCTCAAATTCAAAGTGTGTCCCTCACTACGAAATCTCATTTTGTTATACAAATATGATGGATATTTGTTTATTACTATTTTATGGAAGAAAGTAACCAAGTGTAAAACACATCTATTATTCATCGTCAACCATTTGGTTTCCTCAAGTTTATATGAAACTCTGTCATATTTTCTAATACCTACCATATATATACCTAAGACATGATTTTTGAAACTTTTCAATTCTACATATGTACTTTTTATGGAGACATGAACCGTATACAACATCACAATATGCAAAATGACTCAGCACAAAAGCATTTGTTAATTTTCGAACTTATGATGTAACTTCTCTGTACATATTTTGTGACATGTTTTGTGAACCTTAAATATACGACCATATCGATAGACACCTGAATTTTTTGCCACGTTCCCGGGGCATAGTAGCATAGTAGGCTCAGAGAAACCGATCAAGTTTGAAATAGCAAACAAAATCCAATAACTAATGGTATCAAAAGTCTTGGAGTAACAATTCTATGAATGTTTGTACAAACCAAATAGGGGAATGTGTTCTTTGTATAATATTGTGTTTAGTAGTTTCGATAGTACTTTTTTTGTGTATTTTGAAGCCAATACGGAAGTAGTTATTTCGAAATGGTTTTTTATTATCACGCTTTCATTAGCTTCATCTGTATGTATGTTTGTAACTCTCTTTTTCATTTCATATTCATTCCCGTATGAATGCTCGGGATCTGTAGTTGACAGAATTATCGACATTATTGCTTTATCTATTCACGGGAAGATGGCGTTATACGTAACCTTCTTGGTATAATTCGAACTCACTTTACATGTATTTCTTCATTTGAAAAAATAATATTTCTTCCTCATCACACTTTTATTAGCTCTACCTGTATGTATGTGTGTTTGTTTGTAACTCTCCTTTAAATTTCATATTTCATATTTAAGTTCAGATAAAATAAATATAGTTCAAAAAAACACGTTTTTATAAATGAAAAATGAAAAATAAAGATTTCCTCTCAGAAGTTTCTACAAACTGCCAACGAACTTTTAGCTAACTCTTCGTTAAATTCATAGTAGGCTCAGAGAAACCGATCAAGTCTGAAATAGTAAACAAAATCAAATAACTAATGGTATCAAAAGTCTTTGAGCAGCAATTCTATGAATGTTTGGAGTACAAACCAAATAGGGGAATGTGTTCTTTGTATAATTATGTGTTTAGTAGTTTCGATATTTTTTATGAAGGTGGAGAAGTAGAAAGCCCAAAAACTAATCTCCCTAAAATACAACCCTTCAATTGAAACCTGGTTTCGATAAGTCAGGTCATCGTACTTATCATACAGTATCATTTCATAACTATTGTACCAATTTTGTTAAAACTTGTACTTGTACATAATACGATATAAAAAATTTTGATTTTCAGGTCTACGGTATTGATTGCCATACTGTTCTGCCTTTCTGAACAACTCATCAGACACTCCAATGCTCAGTGTATGTTCATTCCTCAAAATTCATACTCCTGCAAAGGAGTTGGTAACGAAGAATTCCTCTATGAATTTTATCGAAATTTTCGAGAAGATGATATCTACGAAATCAATACAATGACAATTGTGGGGGGTAACTGGATGGTCATAGAGTATTTTCCTAGAATTCCGAACAGCAGGCGATTCAACACCATCGATAGCTTAGCGATTAACAATGCTTCCGTCGAAGTAGTTGGAAAAAATGCCTTCAAGGATTTTTCGAATCTTAAAAGTTTGGATTTGAGTAGAAACCAACTTGAAACCACTCCTTTCGTTCAGTACTTGCCACAGTCATTGAAAAGGTTGAATCTTGCAGGTAACAAGATCAAATATGTTGATACATTCATCAGGATGAGCCTGACTTACTTAGATATGAGTGATAATGAAATAAGTTCTTTGAATTTCGAAAGTATTGGTGGAATACAATATCTCAATTTTAGTAAAAATAGGATAACTTCTTTGACGGGCTTCTCAAATAAACCAATAAGCTTGATCAATCTTAGTGGCAACAAAATTACAGAATTCAACGAAAGCAAATATGCAAGGAATTTGGAATCATTGGATCTCAGCTTCAACAATTTGAGAGTAGTGAAACTCTGCTGCAATAAAAAATTTCTGAACTTATCCAACAGCAATATTAGCCACTTTGAAGTAGAAAAAAGTGTGTATTGGAGCGGAAATTATAGAAAGTTGAACGTGAAAGAAGTAGATTTAACAAATATCGAGATAAGTCTAGGTGGTTACATACGAGGATGCTTCAAGCTGAAAAACCAAATGAAGGAAATATCACACCTTGAAGACTTTAAACAAATGGTCATTTCGGGTGCAACCGTTGATCTTTCATATTCAACAATTACCAGCATTCCCAAACACGCTTTCAATAATCTCGATTTGAATTTACTCAATCTGAGTTATGTGAATATAAGCAAGTTAAATATGTCAACATTCCAGAACTCTCATGTGGATATCTTAGATTTATCCCATTCGAATATCAAAACTCTCCAAGCGAATTCGTTTCTCGAAGTGACCTCCAGACTGATAGACTTGAGCTATAATGAAATATCAAACGTAAAAAATGTTTTCCACAGAGTGAAAGTAAACAACATCGATTTATCTTTCAACATCTTCAAAGTCATAACCAATAATTCATATGAAGGTACTGAGGAACTCGAAACTCTCATTCTATCAAACTGCCTAATAGAAATAATTGAATCACAGGCATTCATCAACTTGCCATACCTGACAGTGTTGGACCTCAGTAACAATGCTCTGGTCATCTTGGAGAAGAACACCTTCCACGATTTATCTTTGACGAAGCTCAAGCTGGAGGGAAATAAAATAATCACAATTCGTTCGGAATCTTTCAGGAATCTGCCCAATCTGATGAACTTGAACTTATCCCACGTTCACTTGAACAATTTGGAGCTGAACGCTTTTACGAATCTGTCAAGCATCGAGTACATCGACCTCAGTCATAACGATCTCGAAGTTATACCACCTGAAGTTTTCGTGGACACACCCCGGCTGCAGGAGGTAGACTTCTCCTACAATAACCTGAGCGCCTTGAACAAGTTCTCAAATAAACTGGGGATTCGGAAACTCATCCTAACATTCAGAGGTACCTTCACTTCCAACAAGATTTCGAACATCAACATAAGACATTTAGCTTTGACACATTCCACAATAGACACCTTGAAAGCTGATAGTTTTCAAGGATTATTCGCTTTGGAAGAACTTCATTTCAACGATTCCTTCATTGGTTTTGTAGAGTCCGGATCTCTGAACGACTTGTTCAGTTTGCGTTATTTGGACTCCCCGAATCTTTTTAAACATAATCAAAAAATCGAGGTTGGCACTTTTAAGGATCTGAGATCGCTGAGACTGCTGAATTTATCGATGCTGTCGATTAAAACTGTGGAATCCATGTCATTCAGTGGACTGGACAGTGTTGAAGTGATTCTGTTGAACAACAACAATCTTGTTCATCTGGAACGGGATACTTTTCTAGGTTTAACGACTCTCGCAATATTGGATGTGTCCTACAATCACATCAGTGAATTTGATGAGTATGTTTTCAAACCACTAGAGAATCTTCAGGAACTACATTTGGAGCACAACGAATTGTTGAGGATAGAGCCAAATTCTTTGAAATATTTGACAACTTTGAGAACTTTGCGTCTGGATCATAACAATATTAATCATTTGGCAGCTGACTCCTTCTCAACATTACAAAATCTGCGTGAACTCCACTTAAATGTCAATAACCTGCAGAAATGGCCTTTGGGGGTTTTCCAGTATTTGCCGAATTTGGCTTTCTTGAATTTGAGTGGAAATAAGCTAGAAGCATTCGAAAACGGGGCCTTCTCCAATTTGGTTGGCTTGACTGTTTTGGACTTGACCAATACCTCGTTGAATGAACTGAATGAGGTTGGTGTGTTCTTTTCCATGAGGAAATTGGAGCAGCTGTTTCTTGATGGAAATCGTCTGAAACATTTCGACTTTGGAAGACTGATGACGAATTCGAAACACCTGCGTTACGTGGGAATTTCCCATAATAAATGGCAGTGTACTGACTTATCGATGATGATAGAGACTTTCAACAATAGGAGTGTCAGTTACAAACCCAAAACTCCGGTTTATGATAGTCATAATATTGACGGGATCAGCTGTATAGATGTTTGCGATTATGTATATTGTCAACATGAATATGTTCAATCAAATTTATCATAAACTTTTGTCAATTTGATGATCTTAGTGCTGTTTTATTAAATTGCTTTGTAAATCAGTCTCAAACACAAAACTCCGGATTATGATAGTCACAATATTGACGGGATCAGCTGTATAGATGCTTGCGATTATGTATATTGTCAACATGAATATGTTCTATCAAACTCATCATGAAATTTTGTCCATTCAATGACCATATTGCTGTTTTATTAAATTGCTTTGTAAATCAGTTACAAACCCAACTCCGGTTAATGATAGTCACAATATTGACGGCATCAGCTGTATAGATGTTTGTGATAATGTATATTGTCAACATGAATATGTTCAATCAAACTCATCATGAAATTTTGTCNTTGTGATTATGTATATTGTCAACATGAATATGTTCAATCAAATTTATCACAAAATTGTGTCAATATAATGACCATTGTAAATCGAAATGTAATCATGTGTATTCAAATTCTATGACAGATTATTCTGATGAAAATTCATTGATGAAATGTTGTAACAAGACATATCTCTCTATATTTTTGTAGAAGTTGAGCGAAATATCATCATACAAAATGTCCCAATGAATCAAACCATATGGAAAACTTCTTTATCATCAATTTGGGAAGAAACAAAACATAATAAACATAATATGTAATCATTGGTTATCAAATTATCTCAGGCGTTTACGAATTTCGTCAAAACATGAATTTCGAATAAGATGAAGTAGTTTTTGACAAAATTGAAAATTGTCTTTGAAATTATTTGATAAGAATTAGAAATTACGTTCAATTATGCGAGTGCATCAATTATTTTTCTAATTTCTCTACAACATAAACAATTATTCAACTGTAATTATTGTATATGTGGAATAGTTTGAAACGAAGAGGTTATCACGTTTTCAATAATAATGTTCACTACTGAAATTATCAAAACTGAGATGAGATCATAAAGTAGAAATATTGGTTAAAAATAACGAAATTTAATTGATTTTCCATTGTAAATTGATGAAATAAATTATTTGAAAGTGATTCTTTTTGAAACTAATTTTGAATCTTGAGCAAAATTTGTCTTTCGGTATACTACTGAAAGATTCTGATGAAAGATGATTGCATTTTAGTTTTGGATTCTTGCAGAATTTTCTATGAGAAATAATCTCTTCTTTGGAATTATCAATAAAATTATTTTCCATTTGGTTCTACCTCATATGTATATATTGTATACACATATGTTATATACATGTGAAATATAGCGTAGATTTCAAGAGTCAACGGTATTTTCGATACTCATTTTATAGTTACAAAATATATTGATGGGGCTTCAACACTTTCTCATCACATTCAACTCGAATTCAGTCTAGTATTATTTTTATATAGAATCTCAAATTGTTTCCTGCACATATAAAACTTTTTCATTAGCAAATTTTCCTTCCAAAAAAAAAGTTCCTCATCATCTCAAAGCGAGATTATATACACCAAATTCAAAACAAATCCCTTCACCACACAGGGAGTAGCAAAAATTAGCGATCTGTACGATTGCTAACACAGAAACATACAAAAAAAATTCATTTGTAAAAGTTGTTTCGGTTGAAATAATTTACAAGAATGTAAATTCATAGCCATTAACTCTTCGAAATACTTTTACTCACGTTGGGGCCAATATTTCTATTTCCGCTCAAATTAGATCGAAAGATCTGAGTGAATTGTTTTTCACTCAATCCAAGGTAAAACATGAATTTTCTAGATTTCTACGAATGGAAAATGTGGCAACAAAAGTGAATGAAATTTCTTGGGAACCTAAAAGGTCATGAATTCATACCCAATTCAAACAATTTTCCCTGCTGAACTTTTATATCGATTACTAATTCATGTATAATGAAAAGGTTTAATTTCAAACGTAAGAAGGACCCTGTTGAAGTGTATGGCAGATACCCACTAAAGTAATGATAAATTCATCCAAGGAGAACCCTTAATTTGGTTCTTGTTATTTTTGTCTAAGAAGAGAGCAGTACTTCACAGCAGAGCAGAGTACTTCACTGCAGAGAAATATTTGTTTCTCTTAAACATATAGCTGTCAAATTTGCGAATAACAATATAGAAAAAGGCCACTGGACAAACTGTACGTCCTTGTAAAACATTGTACCATTAGCTTCTAAGATTTTTTTAGATTATTTTTTGGATCCAATCAATTGAGTAAAGAAAAAGAGACTTCAAAATGAAAAGAAATAACTTGACAAACATCAGTGGAGCACGAAAGATGACTATATTTCAGAGTTCTGGGTCTACATTCGAAAATGTACACAAATGTTGATCTCTCACGTAATTTTCCAGAAAACATTGAAAAAGACTCAAAATGTAGAACTGGAACTGTTGAAGTAGAGTGATTGTTATTAGTTCAGCTCACTGTGTGATTCACACTAAAAGATTCACAAAACTGGGACACGTGTTCCGCTCTTTTCCTAAACGGTAATGTCAACCGCTCGGACATAATTTCACATACTTCAAGAAATCATACTGTTGATCCCATGTATCTTGAGAAAAATCTGACAGATTCAACACGAATTCAAGAAATTGTGGCCAAAAATCAATATTATTTGGAAAATCTCGTTGTTTTCCAACAAGATGGTGCGCCTCCACATTGTTTTAGGCCTGTGAGGGATTGATCGGACCAGACATGTGGGTTGGTGAGCGCGGTCCGTTGGAATGGCTTGCTCGCTCGACGGATTTGACTCTTCCAAGTTTTTCCTTCGGAGTTATATCAAATCGAAAGTTCATGTTACGCAACCTGAAATATACAGACATTCAGAGTGAGAATCATCAAAACTTGTTGTGCTAGCATTACGCAGGAACATTCCAGAATGCCACAAATGCCAGAGGGCTCAAAGGGAATATTCTGAACAGTACGGAACATTCGTTGCATTCACAGATTAGGTCGGTATGATCACTTGTCTGAGAAATTACAGTGTGGTGCCTCTACTTTCTGGTTTGTCTTTTCAAGGACAGTTCAGTTGTTCGGCCCTGTATCACTGATGAAACCTGATCAGTTAAAACAGCACTGCCTGATGTTGGAGAACTAGTTCATCTAGTGGCTTCATAGTTTAAGCTATAGTAAAAAAACGAACGAGTCTCTTTCGGATTAAGTTTTCTATAGATCCCATCTTAGTAGAGGAATATGTCATCGCCTTCGTATATTGCATTAACATTATTGAAATATGCCATTGAGAAAGGCCATTGAATGTTGAAATGTTCTATGAGCATCAAAGGATCCGACGTGAAAGTAACCGAGGGCTAAACCACACCACGTGAAGCCGAAGCAAGGAAGCTATTATTCAATACTATTCGTATGAATTATGTAACAACTTGTTATCTTCTTACAGTGAACACCATATTATAATCATTTCGCTATCATTTCAATGTTGCCATTTATATTTTTTTTTAATTTTTAATTTTCGCTGAATGAATTAGTACCAATTGAAAATGCATGAAACATGAATATTTTCTTCCACAGATGATGGCCTCAACAACATTTCTGCTCCAGCTGCAGAACTACCCGAAAGACATCATAAATAACGAGATGGTGGAATTCTTACAACCATATTTCGAAATGGAGGACTACAATATGGACACAGCCAAAAGAGTGTGTGGTGATGTGGCTGGATTACTTTCTTGGACGAAAGCTATGGCTTTTTTCCATAGCGTCAATAGAGAAGTACTTCCACTGAAGGCAAATTTAACCTTGCAAGAGGCTAGACTTAAGGCAAGTGTTCCATATGAACCATTTCTATGAATAATCAAATAAATCTACCTACAGTTTCCATGAGCAACTATCCTTCAGGTTTGCTCATTAACTCCTTCAGGGTAGTTGCTCTGAAGTGAAGGTGAAGTTTAAAGTAGTTGCTCATCAAAATATATGCTCTCAAACTTCATCTACCCTAAAGGGTAGTTGCTCTACCCTGAAGGATAGTTGCTTCTTTCTCCTCCACCTACCAGTTCAGTGTAATTGCTCTGAGGTGGAGGTGGAGGTGAAGTTTTGAGTAGTTGCTCATCAAAATATTCACTCTCAAACTCCATCTACCCTGAAGGGTAGTTGCTCTAAGATGAAGGAGAAAGGAGCAAATTACTTCTGGGTAGTTGCTCTAAAATGGAGGTGAAGTTTTAAGCTCATCAAAATATTTGCTCCCAAACTCCATCTATACTGAAGGGTAGTTGCTCTAAGATGAAGGAAAAAGGAGCAGCTACCCTGAGGGGTAGCTGCTCCTTTTTGGTGGTGGTTGCTCTCAGGTGGATATGAAGTTTTGAGTAGTTGCTCATCAAAATATGGGGTATTCAGATCAATTTTTCTCAAAAAAAACAATTGTTTCCTTGACAACGTTTCGAATTCAATTACATCCCTCTTCAAGCATCGACAGGGAGCCTGGAAACACACATAAACTCCTTTTCGAGCCCTGAAGAAGAATTTGGTTGAATTCGAACCGTTGAAAAAAAATTATCTGATTATCGTTTAAGAAATCGTGTTGACACACGAGTGATTCCTAGGTTGCTATGGAAGATCTAGCAGCTGCCGAACAGCAATTAGAAGAACGCGAGCAGTCTTTGAGGGAAGTCAAAGAGCAGTATGACACGGCTGTGATGGAGAAACAAAGATTGACCGAGGCAGCAAATCTCTGTTTGAGGAAAATGAACACTGCCACTACTCTCATCAATGGTCTCGGTGGTGAGAAAGTTAGATGGACTCATCAGAGCAAAGAATTCAGGGAGCAGCTGGGTGGGCATTTTCGTTCTTAGATTGAGCATGTTGCACCTCCTCAGATGTTTTTGGTAGTTCTAGAGTCCACAGCACGATACAGAGATGATTAGAGATTGTGTCTCACTTGGTTTTACTTTTCAAATTTTACCTCTTTCATGTACCTACTATATGGAGCTGATGGAGCGGGGTCCTTATTACACTTTTCAAGTCATTGCTTCGCTTGAACGGTATTTTTTCCTATCAAGAAGCAGTGTAAACTCAAAACAAGAAATTGTTTTTGATTCATTTTTTTGAAAACAACATAAGTAATGTCACTCTTTGCAAAATAACTCGCTAACTTATAAATAAAATATTATGAAATTTCAACAGCTTTCTTTCGAAGGTTAGTACCAACTGAAAAAGCAGTAAATGCAATGGGATTAGCGTCATTTAAGACCCAATACTTTGCAGCCCATCTAGTGGTACTAAAAGAAATTTCATGATATTCAAAAACTTAGAAATGTGAATGTAATATGAAATCTCCAATCATTAAACAGTTTATAATCGCAAATTATCTCGTAGGATATCAGTTTTTTAATAATTCAGTAAATAATAGTACCAAAAAACATTTAGTTTAATCTTTCTCTTGAAGATGATCACTTGGTAATTGGAACACGTATCGAGATGTTAAAAATAACAGTATTGGGTGATATTCAAAGTAATTTATATCCACTCAAGTTATTTTCGATCCCAGAATATGTGGTCCAATTTATTACTCAACTTTTTTACACTATGTATAAAGAAATGATCAATCAGAAGTTTCCAAATCAGTCTAACTTGAGAATATATTTTCCCCTATGAAGTGATCCTGGTGTTTGTAGATCTTCTTGACTTTCCAGTATAAAGGATCCCATTTCCGTGTAAACCAATCAGGAAGTCGTGGGTCTTTTGAAAATACACTCCAAAGATGAAGAAGAAACATCAAGAAAGGACTGGATCACTTTCGACTTTCGGATTATTTTAGTATACATTATGCATCCTTGATTTCTATTTGCCTAATTTCTTTCTAGGTCGCTTGGTAGGCGATGTTCTTCTTGCAACCGGATTTCTCTCCTACTGTGGACCATACAATCAAGAATTTCGCGCCAACCTGGTAAAAACCTGGATGGAGATCTTGCTCTCAAGATCTATACCTTACACCACTAATTTGAATATAACGAACATGCTCGTTGAGAACGCTACTGTCTCCGAATGGACTCTGCAAGGACTGCCAAATGATGAGCTGTCTGTTCAGAACGCTCTAATAGTGACAAAGTCCAGATCATTCCCCCTGCTCATAGATCCACAGACCCAAGGAAAAATGTGGATCAAAAACAAAGAGGCGGACAACAACTTGCAAATCACCTCGTTGAATCACAAGTATTTTAGAACGCATTTGGAAGATTGTTTATCACTGGGTTAGTTGTTGCTTTCTATCAGTTGCTCAGAATTGTTACTTGAAATAACATTCCAGGAAAACCGTTGCTCATAGAAGACATCGATGTCGAGCTAGATCCTGTTTTAGACAATGTCCTGGAGAAAAATTTCATAAAGTCTGGATCAATTGAGAAAGTTATCGTCGGCGATAAAGAGTGTGACGTTCTTAAAGGTTTCATGTTATACATCACCACGAAGCTGCCCAATCCTCCATATTCGCCAGAAATCAGTGCTAAAACGTCCATAATAGATTTCACAGTCACCATGTTAGGTAAGTAACAAATTATGTTTTGAATTTATTTCTGTTCAGGCGTTACAACAGGAGAGCTAGCTCTACTTTTGAAGTATAACTTCTTCACGTACGTTTGACTTGAGGAGTAAGCTGGTGATTGCGTGACCGCAGCGTTACGAAAAGTGTGATTAGGCGAGGCGAACGGAAGTTGAGAGAAAGGTATAAGTTAGTGAAGATAGAAAGAGAGAGAGAGTTTCGTTTCGTTTATTATTGTAGCGGCAAGAGATATTAGTGCGAGCACACATTTACGGTCAAATAGAAGATATCAATGTTGATTTCGCGTCCGAAGTAGACAAATCTTGGAAAACTTTTCACAAGATGAATTAGAACTAAAAATTAGAAATAACAGAAATGAGCCTACCACAAGACATGGAACGACAATCGATACAGTTTTCTCCAGATATATTTCTAATTTTCATTCTCATACTATAAGCCTATTGTTTCGGTCTTATAATCAACCACAGTGATTACTGATATATCCAATAATAAAATTATGAAAATATTAGCGGTGAATTCGCGCAGTGGTAGTGCGTCCGACTCACAACTAGACTCACGAATCGAACAGATATTTTTCTCGAGGGAATGTATCTAGTTGAAGTTGGGATGATACTGCATCATTACATGGCTGACGGACTGCGAATAGCTATGATGCTCCCTAGGTGGCTCAGGGAGTTATCAACAGTGCCTACCCTGGACACGAGGCTAATAGCCAACGTAGTCGTTACCGATAACACCGAAAAAAAAATTTTGATTCATCAATGAAAATCCATGATGAATTTATGCTTTTTAACGATTAGAAATGTTATTTTAAAATAATATGTTTCAGATATTTCTAATTTTCATTCTCATACTATAAGCCTATTGTTTCGGTCTTATAATCAACCACAGTAATTACTGATATATCCAATAATAAAATTATGAAAATATTAGCGGTGAATTCGTGCAGTGGTAGTGCGTCCGACTCACAACTAGACTCACGAATCGAACAGATATTTTTCTCGAGAGAATGTATCTAGTTGAAGTTGGGATGATACTGCATCATTACATGGCTGATGGACTGCGAATAGCTATGATGCTTCCTAAGTGGCTCAGGGAGTTATCAAGAGTGCCTACCCTGGACACGAGGCTAATAGCCAACGTAGTCGTTGCCGATGATAGCGAGAAAAAAATTAAAAATCAATTAAAAAATGTTAATTTATCAATGAAAATCCATGATGAATTTACGCTTTTCTACGATTGGAAATGTTATTTTGAAATGATATGTTTCAGGGTTGGAGGATCAACTTCTAGGGAGAGTGATTCTCATGGAAAAATCAGATCTGGAGGCGGAACGAGTCGCTCTTTTTGAATCGGTGATGCAGAATCAGAAAAAAATGAAGGAACTAGAAACGAATCTGCTCAGCAGGCTGAACTCCACTCAAGGCTCCCTAGTCGACGACGAGGAACTCATAAATGTGCTGCAGGTTACAAAATCCACCGCGGAAGAAGTCACTCAGAAGCTCTCGGTATCCGTCCATACGGAAAAGAAAATCAACGTCGCGAGAGAAGAGTTCAGAGCAGTTGCAGCGCGGGGCTCGATTCTGTATTTTCTCATCGTAGAAATGAGTAACGTCAACGTTATGTACCAGAATTCTCTGAAGCAGTTCCTAATACTGTTCGACAGTTCGATCACGAAATCGGAGAAGAGCACCATCACTGCTGATCGCATCGATATTATTCTGCGGTATTTGACGCATGAGGTGAGTGACAGTTTCACAGAGAACCCAGGCTCAATGTCCAATAAAAAAAATCGCAATGTCTCAAACAAAGTTGCAGAAAATGCACCCAAGTGACCCAAAAGATGAGAATTTTTTGATGACATCAACAGTAAGCCGTTCAAACAAGTGGCATAAACAATAATTTTCTGATCATGGGCTTTTCTGGAAAATGGTGGTATCAATGATGATACAAAAACCCAATACACTTGCAAAATATGAGGCTCCTACTTCTGGCATACCTGCATATTGATCTTGTTCTTTGGATCTCACTAACGTACTGTGGATGACGTTTGCTTTCCTCGTCGATATTTTTCCAGAAATTTTAGCAGCTATGCAACTTTGGTTGTATTGTAACCAAATAGCTGCAGCAACAAAATCTATAAAGTAGTAATCACATCGGATTGTGCATTTATTCGGTATCGTTCTCGTAGGATATCTCGATATCACTCTGCCCGAGAAGTCTACAATGCTCATTTCCTCATTATAGTGACGAATCACTGATTGCTAAGTACTTTTTTCCTGTACTGACTAGCGCAGTGTTTGCAATATCCCAGAGGCAATGTTCCAAATTCTACCGAAGCTGGTGGAATACGGACAGTTCTGTAACAGCCTCAAATTAGTTTTTGGTATTCCCATTTTCATGAGGGTTTCTATCACGTAGAATATTCGAGTTATTATTACTTCAATCAGTCACTCTATTGTGAAGAATCTATCAACGAAGACAGATAAGTCTCCCTGTGAGTTTCAGCACTAACCTTCTACCAACATCACATTTTTCTGGAGGGAGCAATAGACGTATTTCAGTGGATCTACCTTTTTGTAGCTTTCTAATTGGTTTACACGCTTTGAGATCTTCCATTTTGCATGCAGGTCCTTCGAATTTGATCAACCATTGGTCAGACTTTCCAATTTTCATCATTTGCCTTGGCCTTCTTGGATTTTGAATCATCGTCCACAAGTTTGAGCCGTGTTTGAGGGGAAAAAACTCTATTCCCTTTCAAATTGCTGGAAACTGTTAGTTCCCTGGTATCTGACCTCTATTACATTCGTATTTTGGATAAATTGTAGATTTTGCTGAACATGCGAGGGGTAACAAACTTCTTCGATTTATCTTCGCTAGTTTACAAAAATTTTTCAGTTTTTTCCACTTCTTTCATGTTAGTGAACATGGCCAGAACATTGTTATCAAGTTAGGTTTGTGAACATTGTTAGGATCCATATGAAACACATTTTGGGAGTTGTGAATCAAATTTGGTTTCCTTTCACTTCTGCATTATCATCACCCAAAACGTCCAAAATGTTGTCAAATCCATCATCATCTTCATTAGCAATGGATTTTTCATCTGGAACAGATTTGTCTGACTTCAGATAATCTGCCAATTTTTGCAGTTCCTTGATCGAATAAAACTCAAATAAGTATTAATTGACAATCTGGTGTAGACAGACAAAACACCCTAATACAATCAAAATTGTTTTTATCTCGTCAGGAACTACTTTGGAAAGCTAGAAATGATTTTAAAATTGCAGTTAGCATGTTCAGGTATATGCTAATTTAGATTATTATGAGACAATTATTTTTCAAGTAATAGATTCCAAATGATCTTTGGAAACTAAACTCTCACCTTGCTTTTTAGGTTTGGATCTTCACTCAAAGAAGTCTGTATGAACGACACAAGTCATTGTTCACGTTGATGATGTCAATGAAGATAGATCTGCAGAAGGGTTTGATCACTCACGAAGAATTCATGGCTTTCATCAAAGGGGGAGCTTCTTTGGATCTCAACGCTGTTACACCAAAACCATTCAAGTGGGTCCTGGACATAACTTGGCTGAATTTAGTTGAGATCAACAAGCTAAAGATTTTCTCGGAAATATTGACGAAGGTGAGGTAACTCAATACAACATATTCCCAAATATAAGACCTGTCATCAATGATTAGGCAGGGTTTTCATCAATATATGTTTCTGTGAAAAAAATAAGTAAAGTTTGAATAAATATTGAAGATAACTGGCGGCCCCCTACGCCAGTAACCAGGCTGGATGTCGACGGTTTCGACGAGGTCGTCAGTGCGGCCCTTTAGTAAAAGAAAATAATTTTTATAGAAGAGAAAGTGAATGAAAATGAACACCAAATCGTAATTTTTAACACTTCGACACGTGTTTCGATTACAAAGTGATCATGTTCAAACAGGAAGACTAAACCACCTTCAAAACAATAATGCATTTCCAATCATGCAATCTGGTTTCGGACAAACTGAAACTGTGCTACAGCTTTATTTAACATATTAGATGATATCGTCACTGCAACATTGATTCAAAGAGAATTTGGGAAAATGATCAAGAGATGCCCTCAAGACATGCCCTTATATAGGCATGTCTTGAGCCTAAAATTACTCATTAGTGATGAGTTGATACTATCTATTTTCAACCATTGTGAGGTCGTGCATCATTATTTTCTGAACAAAAATGAGCAACAACGAATTCAAAGAGTTCAAGACTCTCGTTTGAGATTTTCGTACGGTGTCAAGAAAAGAGAACACTCAAAAAGGCAGGTGGCTGGAAATGTACGATAGGCGGACTCTCCATTCTTAGACATTATTTCATAGTTATTGTTAATAGAATACCTCCCTTTCTCTATAACAAAATAACTTATCGATCTGTTGTTATAATGTGAACATCAGGCGTGAAATGATCTATGTTTTTAGACACTCTATCGAACTATTCAAAAGGTCATTCACATTTACAACAGCTGAATTCTATAACAACCTATAAGCAACTATAAGTGCACCCTACTCCTCTCCCACTCCACCTCCAACAGCAAGATCACTTCCTGCGGCGGGTGCCAAGAGCTCTGCCTTGAATAAAGGCAAGGAACCTGCTGCCCCTGCAGGAAAGCTCCCTCACTTGTGCACCTCCACGGAGGAAACCGCAAGAAGGTTGAAGAAGTCACGTGACGACAGTAATGTCGCTGCACCATCCAAAACCTTCGCGGAGGCCCCCGTGAGACATTTCAAAGTTGCCAAAGAGAGTATGTGTTCGGCGAGTCTTGGCCTACACCTGCTAATATAAAGGAGATGTCTCCTAGTGACCTGTACACCTTCCTGGAAAGGACAGGATGGACGATGACCTTGGAGGACAACTCTTCGGGAGGATGTATTGCCTAATAATACCCGCATATCTTCTACGACGGATTGGCTCTTGTAGGTTATAATTGATAGTATGTTTGTATAGATATCCGCCTCATCTTTCCTCTTTATTCGAATAAAATGTACCCGCTATCACAATTACAATTATAATTAGGGCCCTGTGTTTTTTTTCTCATTTTTTCATCAAATTTGTATTTTTTTTCTTCATATTTTATCATGTTATTTGTGTTGTGAATAAATCCATTCATTGTTATTATTATTATTACATGACTTGTAATCATCTTCATATTTTGACTTGACCGGAAATTAGTCTGATTTTTTCAATTATTCCATCATTAGATCGAAAATAATGAAAGGGAATGGAGAACGTGGTACGAAAAAGAGAAGCCAGAAGAAGAAGACATTCCATGTGGCTATCAGAAAAACCTAGACGTGTTTAGAAAACTGTTACTCATTCGATCCTGGAGTCCACCAGCACGCTTCCACTGCGCCACTCTGCTCTTGTTCGATTTGGTTCGAGAATGAATATAAAAGCACAGGGTTGCAAAAAGATTTTGAAGGAAATTATTGGCTAGAGCTAACTCAACTGTCTTGACATGTACATATTCTGATTCATTGATCAATAATCAATTCAGTTGAATGTTAACTTACTTAAATACTTACTTGCTTGATTATTTGCTCTATTACTTGCTTACTCATTTACTCACTAACTCACTTGCTAACTCACTTACTTATTTACTTACTCACTCACTTAATTACTCATTTACTCAACTACTTACTCACTTATCTACCCGTTCATCATTATATTTATTTACTACTCTTGAATAGAATTAATTTCCCATTAAAATAAGGAAGGCGTAAGGAATGTGAAACCTCATATCAATCAGTTTTGGATGTATGATATTTTTTTGCAAATATGTGTATTGATATTGGTTTTTGTACCATCCGTCCATGTCTAGGGACAAAAGCCTCATAATGAATATGAGAAACATCGAATTATACTTGCTGTGTCTATACTAAAATTATGTATTTTGAAATTTTTTAGTTATAGTTGTTGAAACTTCAACGTTTTCCTGAAAGTCATAACACAATCAGTTGATATTTTATTTTTTCCAGATTCTCTTGGTAATGAATATGGAGAACCATGCATTTTGGACCTGGAAGTCACTTGGAGTGAATCAGAACCAAGGACGCCTCTCATATGCATTCTCTCAATAGGATCCGATCCTTCTCCCCAAATATCTGCCTTGGCAAAAACAAAAGATATACGTACGTAAATGTGATCTTTCAGATATTGGCAGAAATGCAACTTCTTCACCGAAAGTTTCATATATAAAAATATAAAATAGTCTGCGAAAGCATATATCTATCTCTCAAGGATAGTTCACACATTTCAAAGTTATGGTCACAAATAATGTAGTAAACGGAAAGATACTGTGACGAATGATTCATTCCTTATGAATTTTCTGTGAATTCATTTTCATATCACAATTTATTTGAAATTTATGAATTAATAAATGATGCATTTTCCTTGCCTGTTCTTCATTCTGTACAATAATTATAGAAAGATTAACGAAAAATCCATAACCTAGTAGCAAACGGTCGAAGAAGATAAGCATAAATCAATTTCTTACTATTGTTTGTTACCTCCTCTAGTAGACGACCTCCACAGAAAGCTATGTGAAGAAAGCATATATTGCCTGGAATATGCTGACGATCTGGTGATAGTCACAAAAGGGAAATTTTCAGATGTCATCTCGGACAATGAAGTGGAGATCCTTTCCGCTACGGGAGTCAAATACTTATCACAGGCTCACGTGAAACATCTACAGAAGAATGTGCGGGTGAACTGGGGGCTGAACCCAAAAATGACACTCTGGTTATATACAAAGGTGGTGAGACCCATGATAACATACGATGTAGTGACTTGGTGGACTAGAACAAGGCTAGGCTACTAGCGGCGTGCGTAAGTGTCACAGGAGCCATGAGAACGACCCTAACTGCAGCACTTGAGATCCTTCCTACTCGGATTTCAGGCTAATGCAGAGGCAGACCCCAATCAACCAGTCACACGGTGTAGAATACTTGATATTGCATAATGAACTGAAGGCAGATCTGATACTAGGAGTTACATGGATAACACAGTTCCGCAGTACAACTTTCAAATATATTTCAAAATCATCATACCAAGTATAGATGACTGGCAAAATGGCCCACCGGTAAGAGCGGAAGGAACTTGGTATATAGATGGCTCAAAGACCCAAGAAAGAGTAGGAGCCGGCATAAACGGAGGCAGAGCAAAGACAATAATCGCACTCAGCCTCGGACATGCAACAGTGCAACAGTGTTCCATGCAGAAGTAGCGGCCATCCAACACTGTATAGGGGAAATAAACAAATAAAATCATTGTCATTTTCTTCGACAGCCAGGCGGCAGTTGAGCCGCTCAGCTCATTTCAAGTCTTCTCAAGACTGGTGGGAAGCTGTCTGAGCACACTCAAGGAGCTAAGTACCCAAAATAGGGTCACAAGGGCAATGAAGAGGCAGAATTCTAGCCCGTGAAGGCGCATCCGAAGCTATGATCAGCCCAGATTTCTTCTGCGGGGTATAAAGACATCCATGAGTCAATGATGCAAGCCAAATCGATAGATTTGTGGAATGAGTTCCCTGGAATGAGGCAGGCGAAAGAGTTCATAAAGAAACCATCGCCCAGATTCACGGAAGACCTGCTGAACCACAACCGTAAGGTTGTAAAAGGGTAGTGCTGGGTCTACTAACGGGACAGAACCGACTAAGAAAACATATGAGCAACGTGGGTCTGACAGGCAGAACCCAATGCAGGTTATGTCAAGAAGAGGAAGAAACCGCACTGCATGTGCAAGATGCGGGGAAGAAAAACCAGAGGCTGATAGTTATATGAAGGGATCAGTGTCAAGGCTATGGAGTCTCATCAAAGAGATTAAGCTTGACAATGGGATCTAACAACCAAGATGCATCACAATAGATCAGGAAAGGTCGCAGTGAATCAGGGCTAGCTCCCCGATAATCT